AATAATAATTTGTGAGTGTTGGGGGAAATGTGTGTCTGAGTGTGTGAGTGAGTGTGTCTATGAATAAGTGTCTGTCAGTGAGTGTGTCTGTGTCTGTCAGTGAGTCTCTGTCAGTGAGTGTGTGCATCTGTCAGTGAGTGTGTGTCTGTCAGTGTGTGCGTCCGTCAGTAAGTGTGCATCTGTCAGTGCGTGTCAAATCAGTGAATGTTTGTGTATGTCATTGTTTGTCAGTGTATATGAGAGTGTGTGTCTGTCAATGAGTGTATGCATCTGTCAGTGAGTGTGTGCATCTGTCAGTGAGTGTGAGTCTGTCAGTGTGTGTCTGAGTAATAGTGTGTGTCTGTCAGAGTGTGTCAAATCAATGAGTGTGAATGTCATTGTTTGTCAGTGGATATGAGAGAGTGTGTCTGTCAGTGAGTGTGTATGTGTCTGTCTGTCAGTGAAAGCATGTGTTCGTTAAACAGTATGTGTGCCAATGACTATGTTTTAGTGAGTGTATGTCAGTGAATGCATCAGTATGAAAGTGTCTGTCAGTCAAAGTGAGACCTTGACAGGAAAGGGGTGGGGAAAATTTAAATATGGGGTGGAGGGGTTTACTAGGGCAGCATAAACCCAAATGTCCGAATTGCTGAATTGCAGAATTGCCAATGTTCCGATTTGCCGAAGTTCCGTAGTTCAGAAGTCCGGAACCGAATGCCATTGGTCCGAATTGCCGAAGCAGACAAACTTTTTTACTTACCTGAATTTCCAAACCGAACCAATTTTTTTGCCTATGCACATCCCGTGTTTTGAAACAGTAAAATAAGTCATAATGATGATATCATCAATTAAACTGCAGTTTCTGTGAAAAAAATGCAAACAAAAAAAATATGAATGTTAACATTGGCCAGGGTTCATGAATAAGTGGTATGAAGAAACCATACATTTAGTTTTTTAACTTTGATTTTTCTCTTTCGGTTGATAAAACTACCGAACACCGACAACCCCCTTGGCTCACTAACTACAAAAGAGAACCGCAGATTAATCGCTCTCCATGCATGCAACAAGATGTCACACGAAAAGAGGCACCGGGACTTGGTCGTCGAGTGTCTGGAACTAAAATCGGACACTCGACTTCCCAATGCCGGTCAACTTCGTGAACGCCTGTTTTTTTTAATTGACCAGACAAGAGAGCGCTATTCAGTAGGTTTGTTCCCAAGAACTACCCATGAGCCAGGGGAACAGTTGTGAATTTGTTCGGTTTTTAGACTTCCCGAAATGGACCGACTGCTACCTTTGAAACTGTGGAACTGTTTTAGGCATAATATCATATGTGCGGTTGGTCAAATTATGACCTCCATGGAAATCCCGAACCCCTGAACCGATCTGTGTGGTTTTTGGATATGCTGGTCCCCCAGATCGTGGCTATAAGGGGATATGTTTGTGGGGTTTCCATGGGTTTTGAGGTACTTTGGTTCAGGGCTTACCTTAGTTGGGAGTCCAGTAGGCAGAGATTTATGCTCACCCTTGCAATTAAACACAGGCCGAGGTGGTCAGGTAAGAATTCACCTGGCCTGTGAGTCTGTGCACGGGGGCTGTGCAGGTTATTGCTCCAAGTCGCAGTACAGGTAAGGACACAAGCAGGAGAATCGTTGAGGGTAAGCCAAAGTCAGAGGATGCCAGTAGTCAGGATACACAAAGGGAAAGCCAAGGTCAGGAGCCAACTGGAGAACACTGGAACACAAACACAGGAACCAGAGTCAATGAACTGACACTGCCCTCAGGGAGAGGCATTGTCTTATACCTGGCTAATCAGTGATGCTTTACAGCTGGACCACGATTGACAGGAGCAGTCACAGGTTAAGTCCAGCCCCCAGTGCTGGAGACTTGGCAAGGATAAGTTTTAGGCCAAACCAAGAACCAAAGTGATTCAGAGGAACACAGGCTGAGAACCGTAAAGCACCCAGGTTCAAATCCCCTGTTTGGCTCTTCTGGGGCGACCTCGTCTGGCAGTCTGGATGTTGCGGTGAGAACCGTGACACTTTGGGTGTTTTGTTAAAATGTATGTTTTTTGTGCCTGAAGATAATTGAGTTTAGTACAATCCTTGACTTAATTATCTCCCAAGCACAAGGGAAGGATTATCCTATTTTATGTGGGAGTGTTCTGGACCGGAGAGCCAGTATGTAATCTGCCATAGTCACCTCCACGTCCAGTGGGGAATGCCCCTGGAATGGCACTGTAAACCCCGTGCATGGGGACTTTCATATAAATTGGCCAGTTGGCTTGAATAAATTCATTCCTGTTGTACCCTTCATCTAGTCTAGGCTAGGCTGCTGTTTCAGTATCCGTCTGATTTACTTGGTGAATTTACTTGGATGATGTATTTCTTCTGGAGGACGTTCGAATCAACACCCGAACTGTGAGCTATAATCACTCAGCCTCTAACAGTTCGGGAGGAAATGAACGAGCGGGTATCTGAAATACCAGCGTTCGTTACAAGTATCTCCTAAAAAAGACTGGACATACCCTATTTTGAATACCCTGGGTTGTCTACTTTTTCAGATGATATGCCATGATGGGGGTAATTCTGATTCCTGGGCTGCCATACTGCCTTTAAAGCAACATACCGTATATACTCGAGTATAAGCCGAGTTTTTCAGCACATTTTTTGTGCTGAAAAACCCCAACTCGGCTTATACTCGAGTCACTGTCTGTATTATGGCAATTTACATTGCCATAATACAGACTGGGGGCTGGCAGAGCTGTTACTTACCTCTCCTGCAGCTCCTGTCAGCTCTCTCCTCCTCCGCGCCGGTCCGGTCAGCACCTCGGTCAGCTCCCAGTGTAAGTCTCGCGAGAGCCGCGGGGTCATAGTGCGGCTCTCGCGAGACTTACAGTGTGAGCTGACAGAAGAGCTGCACGGAGCTGTAGGAGAGAGCTGACAGGAGCTGTAGGAGAGGTAAGTAACAGCTCGCTGCCAGCCCCCCTCCTCCCCCCACTGAACTGCCAATGCCACTGGAACACCAGGGAAGGAGAGCCCCCCTCCCTGCCATGTATCAAGCAGGGAGGGGGGACAACAAAATAAATAAATTAATAATATATAAATAATAATAAAAATAAAAATAAAAATAATATTAAAAATAATATAAATAATAATAATAATAAAAAAAATATATAACAAAAAAATTAAAATATTAATTAATAATATATAAATAATAATAATAAAAAAAATAATATAACAAAAAAATTAAAATAATATTTATTTATTTATTTTTATGCCCACCCCCCCCACCAAGGCTCTGCCACACACACACACACTGCATCACACACACACACACTGCACTCATACACACACACTGCATTCATGCACACACACTGCATTTATGCACACACACTGCATTCATGCACACACACTGCATTCATACGCACACACTGCACTCATACACACACACTGCGCACTCATACACACACTGCATTTATGCACACACACTGCATTTATGCACACACACTGCACTCATACACACACACTGCACTCATACACACACTGCATTTATGCACACACTGCACTCATACACACACTGCATTCATACACACACACTGCGCACTCATACACACACTGCACTCATACACACACACTGCATTCATACACACACTGCATTCATACACACACACTGCATTCATCATATACACACACTGTAAATAAATATTCAATTAATATAATTTTTTTAGGATCTAATTTTATTTAGAAATTTACCAGTAGCTGCTGCATTTCCCACCCTAGTCTTATACTCGAGTCAATACGTTTTCCCAGTTTTTTGGGGTAAAATTAGGGGCCTCGGCTTATATTCGGGTCGGCTTATACTCGAGTATATACGGTAACCAATCTGGCAAATTTCAATGTGCAAAAACATAAACAGGCCAGTCTTATATTTAACCCAGTAACTTTCCAAAACACCATAAAATATGGACATGGGGGGTACTGTTGTACTAGTGAGACATTGCTAAACACAAATATATGAGTGGTTTAGATTAGAGCAGTAAAACATTTAATGCTTATTATATCATCGGTGAAAGGGCAGATTAATTGTGAAAAATGCAAAAAGCAAATATGAACGCTAACTTTGTGTTGGTGACTAAATGGCTACTAAAAAATACTGGGCATAGCCTATTTTGAATACCCTGGGTCATCTTCATTTTCAAATGGTATGCCATGGTGAGGGTATTTTTCATTCCTGGCCTGCCATATGGTCTCAAAGGCAACATAACCAAGCTGGCAAATTTCAATGTGTAAAAACTGGAAAGGGAAAAGCCCTATATTTGACCCTGCAACACAAAACCCCATTATGGGGGGTACTGTTATACTTGTGAGATATCGCTGAACACAAATATGTGTATTTTATTGCAGTAAAAGTTAACAGTATTATGACATTCACAGTTAAAATGCCATGCAGAACTAAAAAAAAAAATTTTTTTATTTTTTTACTTTTTATTCATATAAAATTATGTTTTATAACTATTTGATGTGAAATGAAAGCCCTGCGTCTCCCAAACAAAAGTATATATAATAATATATAATAAGTGTGGGTGCAGTATGAAAGAGGTTAATTATTGTTGAACAAACATAGTCAAATTCCAGGTTTTGTTTTGATTTTGTTTTGATCAGAACATGTACAATTGCCTCTGTCCTTAAAGGGTTAATATATGTATTTTATTTATTATTGTGTTCTGGATACCTGAAGTAATCAAGGACCACCATACTGCTTCCAATTACATCTTACAAATTCTCAATGGTTACATATTCTGTAATACTTAACTCATAAAACAAAATAACAGATAATGAAAACAGTGCAGCATATTCTTCAGTACCTATCTAAAAATGGGCTGTCTTCAGGTTGAAATTATCAGCAACAAATATTATTGAAGGAGGTGGGCTGAAAGCACTGAGTTTCCCCAAGGGCACATAACTGCATGACTTCATACTCTACAATAACTCATTTGTGAGTGAAGCTAAACAAAAGGCATGGATCTAAAATCAGATTCTTACATTGTTATGAATGATGGAAATAAAATTCCAGTGATTGGCTTTGGCACTTATGCTTCAGAAAATGTGAGTATGCAGTTTATCGATAGATGCACTCAGGGGGTTCTCATTACACGTTCTTTCTTATTACTTGTGTGTAGATTACACAGTTTATAGTCCTTTATGCATGCCGTAATTTAGATTTTCTAAATATTTTTTAATTGCTTTTTATTACTAGTTTGCAGGTAATGTGTGGCTTAATGGAAGCTTAGATTGGTGGCATTACTTCTCACAGAATATATATGTTACATTTAATAGTGTTCTGCGACAAACAGAAACAAAAAATGGGATCCCTAGATGACAATGATCTCACTTCGAAAACACCTCTAATATCGGTATAAACAATTCTCTCTGGTAGCATTATTCCAACAAGTTGCACATGGTAAAAGAGCATTGAAAACATGTGCAAGCCTTAAAAAGATTAATGGGGCACTTTAAGCACTATAACCACTGTAATGATTATGTTGCTATGAGCCTTTGGATGTCATGTTCCTGTTTATGTTAAATGGTTTTGCAACATTTTGGAAACAAACAGGGTTCTCAAAGAGACTAAAATCCAGGCATCTCTGCATAAGCTCAGATAAAGTGGAAAATTCACTTCCAAATCATCCATCCTGAGCAATCAACCTCGGTTGATTTGAGGGTAAGGTGGATGTACAGCCCATCCATTCTCTTTAGGATTCCATTGAATTTACATGGTTTGTGGATGAAAGATTACTTTCAAGACACATTTTCTCATAACCATATCACTATGTAACATGCATACCATTTCCAGAGAAAATATGATTTATATTGATTGGCTTACCAGTATGTATATAATTAGGTTGTATGTTTAACCGTTTATACATTCCTAGAAGGCAAGATAAATTGCTTTATAAAATAAATATTAAAAATCACCCATTTTTTGAATATTAAAATGGCTCTGTCACCATAAACTTGCCTTTCTCCCATTGTTTCCTCTTCTCTTCCTTTTTCAGAATCTGTTCATATTTTCTTAATTTATGATCTATTTCTCTTTAAAACACAAGACAAGATAGGGACTAATTTATCTTATATATTTTTCCTACACTTTGCAATCTTGATAAAGTGGGAGCTTAAAGGTTGTAGGCACTGTGTCTGCCTCATCTCATTAAACTGTTTATAGTGCCTTGAGTCCTCTATTACCATGATTTATAGAAACATATGATGTGACAGCAGATAAGAACCATTCTAGTCTGCCCAACTTTTATGTCTAAGATAGCCTTATGCCTATCCCATGCATACTTAAACTCCCTCACTGTTAACCTCTACCACTTCAGCTGGAAGGCATCCACTACCCTCTGAGCAAAGTAATACTTCCTGAAATTATTTTAAACCTTTGCTCCTCTAATTTAAGACTGTCCTCTTGTTGTGGTAGTTTTGTTTCTTTTAAATATACTCTCCTCCTTTACTGTGTTGATTCCCTATATTTAAATGTGTCTTTCATATTATTATTATGTTATTTTTTATACAGCACCAAACTTTGCAGCGCTTCACAGTGGGGGGGACAAACAGACATGTAGTTGTAACCAGACAAGTTGAACACAGGAATAGAGGGGTTGAGGGCCCTGCTCAATGAGCTTACATGCTAGAGGGAGTGGGTTAAAGTGACACAAAAAGGTAAGGATACTATTAGACTAGTGACAGTTGCAAAAGATGAATCTTATACCCACATTTTGTCTTTCCTCCATGCTTTTCCACATTTCGTCTTTACTCCATACATGTTAAGATCATTTAACCTTTCCTGGTAAGTTTTACACTTGAATCCATTAGGCAGTTTTGTAGTACTTCTCTGAATTCTCTTCAAAATATCAATGTCCTTCTGGAGATACGGTCTCCAGTATTGCATACAATGGTATGAGCATTTCCCTCTTTCTTCTGCTAATACCTCTCCCTATACAACCAAGCATTCTGCTAGCATTTCCTGCTGCTCTATTACATTGTCTGCCTACCTTTAAGTCATCTGAAATAATTACTTCTAAATCCCTTTCCTCGGATGTTGAGGTTGTATCAAATATTCTATACTTGCCCTTGGGTTTTTATGCACAAGATGCATTATCTTGCACTTATACACATTAAATGTCAGTTGCCACAGCTCTGACCATTTTTCTAGTTTAACTAAATGATTTGCCATTTGGCTTATCTGTCCCAAAACATCAACCCTGTTACATATCTTAGTATCATCAGCAAAAAGACATACCTTACCATCAAGACCTGCTGCAATATCACTAATAAAAATATTAAAGAGAATGGGTCCAAGTACAGATCCCTGAGGTACCCCACTGGTAAAAAAAAACCTTGCTTCGAATATACTCCACTGACTACAACCCTCTGTTGCCTTTCACTCAGCCACTGCCTAACCCATTCAACAAAATTGGAATCCAAACTCAAAGATTGATAAGTTTTATTGATTAGCCTTCTATGTGCAACAGTGAAAAGCCTTACTGAAATCTAGGTAAGTAATGTCTACTGCACCACCTTGATCTATTATGTTACTTAAACAATCAAAACACTCAATAAGATTAGTTTGGCATGATCACCCGTGTGGTATCTGATCTTGAAATCCATGTGACTTTAGATGTTCAACCATCCTATCCTTTAAAATTGTTTCCATTACTTTCCCCACTACTGAAGTAAGGCCTATTCTTGCCCGACTTCTTCCTACTACCTTTCTTGTGAATTGGAGCATTAAACAGTTTTTAATGTGTTTTTTATGTTTAATGTTAAGAGAGTCCCTAGCAGACCCTCTTCTCTGGGCTGCTTTGGCAAATGAGGAAGTATTAGCCTGAGCACCAATGAAAAGCTGTGACTGGCTTTTAGCCTGTCAGAGCTCCAATTGATGGTATGCATGTGTATGAATACAAGGAAGTCTGTTATCTCTGCCTTAGCCATCGTCTCTAAAAGGGACCGTACTGTCAGTGGCCAGGAACCCTCATGGAGGGACAGTACAAGGGGACTGCAGGTAGTATAACTAATTCAAAGAGATGAAATAATTATAGTGGCTATAGTGTCTCTTTAAGGCAAACTTCACCGTGTGTTAGATTGACAGAAGAACTGAAGCATTCCTTAAGTTCCACCCTTTATCAAGATTGCAAATTGTAGGAAAATACATAAGAGAAAGTATTCCCTACTTTGTTTTATGTTTTAGAGAGAACTAGACTCTGAATGAGGAAGAGAAATAATAGGAGATAAGTAAGTTCAAGGTGACGGAGTCCCTTTAATGCTATATACCATAACTTAAATAACTCCTTGATTAATGTCAATTTTTTTAAGATTTCTTTTTCTATATTTAGTTTCCGAGGAACTTGATGGAAGATGCTACAAAGGTGGCTATTGAAGTTGGATATCGCCACATTGACTGTGCCTATATTTATGGCAATGAAGCAGAGGTTGGCAATGCCATAAGAGCAAAGATTGCAGATGGAACAGTTAGAAGAGAAAATATATTCTACACTGGAAAAGTAAATATCTAAACAGGACTTATTGATTTTGATTGACTAAAAGTGGATCATTAATTTTCACTTACTTTTAACATGTATTACTGTTTTGAAACATATACACAGGGCCGTTGCGTCCATAAGGCGGCACAGGCGGCCGCCTTAGGGCGCACTGGCCCGGGGGCGCAAATGTCCGGGTGACCGGCAGGAGGGAAGCGCACAACTCCCCTCTCCTGCCGGTCACTTCTTGTAGCGTGGCCGAGCGCCAACCTGCAGGGCCGCGGACTGTATGGAGGGGGCGGGGATATGAACGTCATATCCCTGCTCCCACTGATGCACACAGCGTGGCTGGTGCCCAGCAGGGGCGGAGCTACCACCGGCCCCCTTCTAATCAGCATGGGAGGAAATCCTCCCAAGAAGACTAGCGCAGCAGAAGGCAGAGAGGAGGGGGGCTGGGCAGGACCAGCTCCTCCAACTCCCAACTACCTCAGGCAGCACTCTGGATCCCAGGTAAGCCACCCTCCTGAACCTGTTGGTCAGTGTGTCTGTGTGTGTATCCATGTCTGTCAGTGTGTGTGTATCCATGTCTGTCAGGTGTGTGTGTGTGTATCCATGTCTGTCAGTGTGTGTGTGTATATGTCTGTCAGTGTGTGTGTGTATCTGTCTGTCAGTGTGTGTATCCATATGTCTGTCAGTGTGTGTGTATCCATGTCTGTCAGTGTGTGTGTGTATCCATGTCTGTCAGGTGTGTGTGTATCCATGTCTGTCAGTGTGTGTGTATCCATGTCTGTCAGTGTGTGTGTGTATCTGTCTGTCAGTGTGTGTGTATCCATGTCTGTCAGTGTGTGTGTGTATCTATGTCTGTCAGTGTGTGTGTATCCATTTCAGTGTGTGTGTATCTATGTCAGTGTGTGTGTATCCATGTCTGTCAGTGTGTGTGTGTATCCGTGTCTGTCAGTGTGTGTGTATGTCTCATCTTGTTGTGTGTGTATCCATGTCTGTCGGTGTGTGTGTATATGTCTGTCAGGTGTGTGTGTGTGTATCATGTCTGTCAGTGTGTGTGTGTGTATGTCTGTCAGGTGTGTGTGTATCCATGTCTGTCAGTGTGTGTGTGTGTGTATGTCTGTCAGGTTGTCCATGTCTGTCCCGGTGTGTGTGTGTGTATATGTCTGTCAGTGTGTGTGTGTGTATCCATGTCTGTCAGTGTGTGTGTGTATCTATGTCTGTCAGTGTGTGTGTATCCATTTCAGTGCATGTGTATCTATGTCAGTGTGTGTGTATCCATGTCTGTCAGTGTGTGTGTATGTATGTCTCTGTCCGTGTGTCTGTGTGTATCTAAATGTCTGTCAGTGTGTGTATGTCTGTTAGTGTGTATTTGTGTATGTCTATCATTGTGTATGTGTGTATCTGTATGTCTGTCAGTGTGTGTATATGTCTGTCAGTGTGTTTGTGTATCTATGTCTGTCAGTGTGTGTGTATATGTCTGTCAGTGTGTGTATCTATGTCTGTCAGTGTGTGTGTGTATGTAAATGTCTCTGTCCGTGTGTCTGTGTGTATCTAAATGTCTGTCAGTGTGTGTGTGTCTGTCTTTGTGTGTTTGTGTATGTCTATCATTGTGTATGTGTGTATCTGTATGTCTGTCAGCGTGTCTGTATGTCAGTGTGTGTTTATCTGTATGTCTGTCAGTGTTTGTGTGTATCTGTATATGTGTGTCTGTCTATCTGAATGTGTATCAGTTTGTGTATATGTATATCTGCATGTGTGTCAGTGTGTGTATCACAGTGTGTGCGTGTGTGGCAGTGTATGTGTATATGTGCATATATCTCAGCATTCAAACACCAACACTATACACAAATAAACACCTGCATGCAAACGTCAACACTACATACAAATACACCCCTGCATTCAAATGTCAACACTACATTCAAACACACCTCTGTATCAGACACCAAAATTATATATAAACACACACCTACGTTCAAAAACCAACACTACACATAAATGCATGCTTGCATTCAAATGCAAACACTACATACAAACACACCACTACAATCATACAAACATACTCCATACAAACACATGCTTACAGTCAAACACACAAATACTGCTCCATGCTAAATACAATCCTGCAAGCATGGGGAATTGGTAGAGCCCCAGCTTTCAAAGCATTGTTGAAGTTGCACGACAGATGGGGATCTATCTTTTAGCTATCCTGTGTACATACACAGACCGTCATACAGAGACATACAGTATGTATGTCTCTGTATGACTGTGTAAATGTATTCAAAAGGAATAAACGCAGGCAACACTCCAATAGTAAGGATGGTATATTTATTGATAGGTGAACCACCCCAAAGAAAGTGCGTCGTTTCGGCTCAGCAGAGCCTTATTGCATGAGCTGAAACATCACACTTTCTATGGGGTGGTTCACCTACCAATAAATATACCATCCTTACTATTGGAGTGTTGCCTGCGTTTATTCCTTTTGAAAACTTTACTGGTGGATCCAGCGATGTCCGCCTGACACGGAGCATCCACCACTGTTGATGGCCGGAGCATTTACACGGTATCAGTGTGCAGGGTTCTTTGTTTGTCTGTGTATGTATGTCTCTGTATGCCTATCTCTATGTTTCTTTATGTCTGTCTGTATTTCTGTGAGGGCCTGTGTCTGTATGAATGTATGTCTGTGTTTGTATGACAATGTACCTGTATGTGTAGATTGGATGACTGTGTTTGTTTGTGTGCCTGTTATGACTGTGTGTCTGTATATCTTTGTGACTGTGTGCCTGAAAAATTATGTCTATGTGCTTGTATGGTTGTGTGTCTGTATGTTTGTGTATTTGTGCATGTATGTATTTTTGCCTGTATCTATGTTTATGTGGGAGAAAAAGAGAGATAGATAGGGGCTAGCGGGGAAGTAAGAAATACAATACAAGAGGTGTTGTAGGAGACACACTAAAGGGGGGTGTAAGGCACAAAGGGGCCAAATGGATAAGACATTCAAGAGAGTGGATATGCAACTCTAATGGGGGTAAGAAATTCAAAAGGGGGCTACGAGACACAGAGGTGAAGAGGCATTGTTTATTTTTTTGGGGGGGGCGTCAAAATGCATCTTCGCCTGTGTAGTCAAAAATCCTAGCACCGGCCCTGCATATACATACCGCTCCATATCTTGGTAAAGTTAAAAGAAAAAGATTAGCAAGTTTTAAGATATCAATAATATTTAAACTTGTTTTTAAAGTTGCTTCATTGACCTTAGAAGATAAACTTAGCCACAATCCTCCTGCGTCCTTTTCCTGACTGTCTGTAAATTCATAGTCTAAATACAAGTACAACATGGACTTGTATGTTCTGTTTTGCATTTAACATTTCTTACATTGTGCTCTTATCCAGTGTGTTTTACTATATATATCTATATATATATATATATATATATGTATATATATATATATATATATAGTGCCTTGAGTGGGTACCATTGTTTATAGAAACATATAATGTGACGGCAGATAAGAACCATTCGTCCCATCTAGTCTGCCCAAATTTCAAAATACTTTTATTAGTCTTTTATATCTAGGATAGTTTTATGCCTATCCCACGCATATTAACTTCCACCACTTCAGCTGGAAGGCTATTCCATGTATCAAGAACATTGATAATTATACAGACTGGGGGATGTATAATTAGACACTAATAGAAAAGTAGAAGAGAACCCTGTCCCTGGGCTTTAACCTCCTACAAAGTACTAAGTAAAAACCTGCATAAGCTTGCAATCTAGAGCAGGGTTCTCCAAATTCTGGCCCTCCAGATGATGCTGAACTACAACTTCCATCATTCTCTGGCTATCCATTTCCTATTTCATTCAAAGAATTGTGGGAGTTGTAGTCCAGCAACATCTGAAGTGCCAGGATTTTGAAAACCCTGATTCTAGAGCAGGGGTGCCCAAAAAGTAGGTCCCCAGATGTTGTACGTGAGGCTTTGCATGTCTTTAGAATGCTATAATGGCAAAGCATCATGTAAGCTGTAGTTCTACAACACCTTTTAGGCCCCCCTGTTCAAGAGGATAAACATGCGTTGGGATAATAGGTTGTGGGGAGAAAATCCAATTGCTAAAGCAACAGGAAAGTACTCATAAATATGCCACATAAAGAGTACTGCTTTATAAACAGTATATAGTACACTGTATGACAATTATTGAAATTAACAAGCAATTCTTTATAATCACTATCACTAATCACAAAATGTGAAGAAAAAAAAAAGAAATCAGTGGCTATAAAGCATAGGGATGAAAAAGTTTGACTTATAGGAAGCAAGACATTTTGGAGGGATTCTGTAGAAGGGAAGGTGATAGTGAAGAGAACAGTGACTAGTGGAAGAGAGAAGTTACAAGGTGTTTAATCTGTATAACTAATTGTGTCACATACCAATAGTCAAATTGAAGTTGCATCTGGGGGATTGGTAGAGGCCTGAGTGTTGGCTCTACTGATGGGGCTAAGAAAATGAATGGGGGTAGGTTATGATCAGATATCAGTTGCAAGGGAAAGTGAGGGATTTGGGTAGAAAGTGTTAGGGAATGTAAATTAATGTAATCATTCTTAAAGGATGCAACCAAACACATATATGTACAAACAACAAAATGAATCAATATTATTTATTCACTAAATTGAGTATAGACTGAGCAGATTTTTGTACTGAAAAGTTTATTAACAATAAAGTCCATGAAGGGCTCGGACCTCAAAAATATTTAATTGGGAGTCCAATAATACATTAAAGAAGGGACTACATCTTAAGAACCAGGTCATATCTGGCCAAATGTAGCAATAGGCAGAAACTTCGCTGGCACATCTTACAATTTAGCATCAGTCATCACAAGGAACAGCTAATGAAAAAAATAACTTCATGCATTATTAGCAACATGTGTTTATGGGAAATCACTCTGCATATATGAGATACTATATATGGAATACCCCACAGTTTATTTACCTCTCTCCCTCTGGGGCATTTATGTGGACATGTCACTTTGGTGGGTCTTTCCAAAAAGTTCAAAGACCAATACAAATGTCTAGTTTAATGAAAGTAATCTTTGTGGGGTTTTTTTGTTTTTTTTTATTACATTTAAAAATAACCACCCAGAAAACCAAATTCAATTACATGTGCATTTGATAAATAAAACTAATTTAAAAGCTCTTCTTAATTAGATACGTTTAATAAAAGCAGGGTTGATAAAGCTCAGCTTGAGAAACAGCTCAGCATTTTGGCTACTAAATTAGAAATAACCCCTATGGTCAATACATACACAAGGTGCATGCTTCAATTTTAGTTGTATATGTCTCTTGCTTTCTAGTTTAAATTACAATGTTAAACTATAGTAAAACAGTCGGGCTTGTTTACAATCTGGTCGGTAAATAGCTGCCATAAGATGTCACTATTAGCACAGGACAATGGCAGGGAGTACCAAGGTAAGGCTGTATGAGCAGCACATACTTTGGTTCTAGATTGCTATTGTTTTTTGTTTTTTCTATTGGCGTGTGGGGGATTGTAATTTTATTGAATGCGCCAAACTGACAGTGTACATTCTTTACATAAAAGTTATACAATGCTCCCTAGGTAAATATGAGCAAAGAAGGCTGTGAAAAATTGTCTTTATTTTTTAACCTTTTGATCTTTAGTTTAAACACAACAAAGTTTATAACAAAAAAAATAAAATAACAAAATCTTGAGAAAAATGCATTTGAAGTATATTCCCATTGATATTTTATTTGAGTACACTAGAAACAGGAAATTGTTCAGTCATGACAAGGGTAAAATTATGAGATATCAAACAGGCCAAATTCCCTTAGTCAATAAAGAAATTTTTTCACAGCCTACTTTGCTCATATTTACCAAGGATGTCAATGTTAGTGGAGGGCACTGCATGTGTTGCACGATACATTATACAATGGTTCACAAACCAGTCCTCATGGCCCAACAATGGTCTAGGATGTGTGTGTTTCACTTTTCCTTTTCATTGAAGATACGGACAAAACCTGGACTAATGCTGCGTAATGAGGACTGGTTTGGGACCCACTGCATTTAAAAGGGTTACTCCAAACAGAAAACAGTGTTTCAAAAAAAATAATAATTCTGTTAGAGTAACCCTTTCTGGAATGCTCCTCGATTTTCTCCAACTCTCTTTAAAGTAAAAATAAATAACAAAAGAATGGAAAGAAGTACCTGCAACCCCCCACCAGGTCAATCAGAGTGCTATTGCAGGCCAATCTCACAGTCCCTCAAAGCGAGCATGTCAGTTCAATGCTCTTTCAGGGCAGCCCATGCGCAGAGCCCTGCTGAAGAGTTCTCCCATGAGAAAAAGTCCCTGTGTGTATTTTACGCAGCACAAGCAAAGTTAATGACACGCTTGCAATAAGTTTGCTTGTGACTTGTCTCTGATGTATCCACAAGTGGAATACAAAAGGACAAAAGAGCCAGGAGAGCATATAGTACATGTATTTGGAGGCTGCGTGTGGGATTATGTGTGTTTAGAGTGAGTTGATTCAGTGGCGGATCCAGGGGGGGGGCAACGGGGCAATTGCCCCCCCCGAGAATTCCGCCGGTCTCCCTCCCCTGCCAGCCCTGCAATGTGCCTGTGGACCGGAAGGGAGATCACAGATCTCCCTCCCCGGTCCGCAGGCACTGTGCTGGCGGCCGGCGGCGGAGGGAGTGAGATAGAGGGAGGACCCGGAGCTCAGGCTACAGCTCCTCCGGGTCCTCCTCTCGTGAGATTTGAAGCGTTGCCGCGGTTACCACAGCAACGCTCCAAATCTCGCGAGAGTGAACTCTAGCCCGGGAGCGCGGGCTAGAGTTCACTGTAACCACTGGGACCACCAGGGAATCACCACTGGGACCACCAGGGAATCACCACTGGGACCACCAGGGATATGTCCCCCCTCCTCCCCAGTAAAGGTAAGAAGGGAGGGGGGACATAGGATAATATTTATTTTAATTAAATAAAAAATATATATATATATATAATAAAAAAAATCCAAACACACACATGTATATTGCCCCCAATACTGCCCCCCCAATACACACAAACTGCCCCCCCATTCACACAAACTGCCCCCCCAGTCACACAAACTGCCCCCCCGTCACACAAACTGCCCTCCCCATCACACAAACTGCCCTCCCCATTCCCATACACAAACTGCCCCCCATACACACATACTGCCCCCCATACACACATACTGCCCCCCATTAGAAAAACACTGCCCCCATTCACACAAACTGCCCCCCATTCACACAAACTGCCCCCAACCCATCCCCATTCACACACAAACTGCCCCCATTCACACACACAACTGCCCTCCCCATTCCACACAAACTGCCCCCTCCCCATTCACACAAACTGCCCCCCATACACACACTGCTGCCCCATGCACATTGCCCCTACATACACACCCCATGCCCCTGCCCCATGCACACACTGCCCCCACATACACACACACACACACACACTGCCCCCACAGCTACACACACTGCCCCACACACACTGCCCCCACACACACACACACTGCCCCCACATACACACACACTGCCCCACATACATACTGCCCCACATATACACACTGCCCCCCATACACACACAAACTGCCCGCCATACACACACAAACTGCCCCCACATACACACATTGCTCCCCCATACACACACACATTGCTTCCCCATACACACACACACACACTGCCCACCCATACACACACACACTGCCCCCCCATACACACACACACACACTGCATCCCTGACATACACTGCCGCCCTCACTCACACACTACAACCTTCACACACACACTGCACCCCTTACACATTGCACCACTCACACACACCACTGCTCCTATGCCCTACTACAGCCCCATTTCCCAGCAGATCTCAGGTAAGTTGTCAAACTGTTCTTAAACGGTTTGACTACTTACTGTGGGAGGGGGTCCCGGCACTATTGACACCATAACCACTACACTGAGCTGTAGTGGTTATTGTGTCTGGATTATTTCTTTAAATAATCTACAAGTGCCCCTCCCGAGATCAGGCTCTGGATCCGCCACTGAGTTGATTGTGGTCTGGTGTTGTGTTTTGTATAAATAGGTTGGTTTCAGATGTGTTATGTTCATGGTATAATATGTGTGGCAGGCTTTCCCAAACTTCGGCCCTCCAGATGTTCCTGAACTACAACTCCCATTATTCTTAGCCTATCTATTTCATTCATAGATTCATGGGAGTTGTACTTCAGCAACATCTGGAGGGCCGGAGTTTGGGGAAGCCTGGGTTATAGGGTGTGTAGCTATAGGCTGTGTTTAGAGAATGTAGTGTGTTTGTGTACAGGGAATCTAGTATGTGCACAGGGGATCCAAAGTGTGTATAGGGGATGTGGTGTGTGTGTGTCAGAAATGTAGTATCGTCAGGGCCGGTGCAAAAATATTTGGGTACAAAGGCGAAGATGATGATTGATTCCTTCTGCTCACCATTTCCCTTTCGCTGCCCACTTGGGAACTTCAAGACTGTTTGCAGCATGTCTTGAGTGATGCCGTCGAGGTCCTCTCCGCCGGCGGCGTGCCCTCTGAGAGTGGGAAACCACATGCTATCACCGAGGACGTGTTGATGACTATAATCAATTATTATTATAATCATTGTACAGAGAATCCAAAGATGGGAGGTTTATTTTTACATCTAAATAAATCCATGCCTATGTATCTATTGATTGAACTTTAGAACTCATACTTTTTATGAATTTTATCATTTACATCTGTAACTTTCTTTTTGTAGCTCTGGAACACATTCCATAGTCCTCATCTGGTCAGACCAGCTCTAGAAAAATCTCTTCAGCAGCTGCAGCTTGACTATATGGATCTATTCCTTATTCATTTACCAACTGGTCTCAAGGTAAGGCCTTGTATTAGTGTAACCCTCCAGCAATCGAACTATAACTATTGTGAACTTTAGCTTTGTTTCTGATTTATTTCCTGACAACGGATGAGCTGTGCTATTATCATAAAGGAAGTCAAATAAGGTGAGAGAGCCAAATGAATGTAGTAAGCATCAGGTATTGTTTTGGCTTTCTTTCCTCTAACCAAGCAGTTCCCAATCATAGCACCGGGAACTGTACTCTACCCTGCTGGCTCTGAAGTACCGGAGGGGAGATCAGAGATCTCCCTCTACGGCCAGCTAGCACGTTGCTGACAGCCAGCAACGGAGGGGGGGAGGGAGAGAGGACCTGGGGGAGTTCTAAGCTGCAGTTCTACCGGGTCCTACTCTCGCAAGCTTGGAGCTCACTTTCACCAATGAGACCACCAAGGCTTCCCTACCGGACCACCAGGGAGTAAATGTCCCCCCCATGCAAAAGGTAAGCGGAGGGAGAATATCATTTTTATTTTTTATTAAAAAAAGTATATATTTATTAATTTGCCCTCCTACCCCCACAGACCCCACAGCTCACACACACTGACCCCATACACACACACTATCCCCCATACACACACTCCCCCGATCCTTCCCCATACACACACACACTATCCCCTATACACACTTATTACCCCCCATACACACAATTACCCCCATACACACACACACTACCCCCATACACACAATTACCACCCCATACACACACACACACACACACACACACACTATCCCTCATACACACAATTACCACCATGCACATACACTGCCCCCCATACACTGGCACACACTATCCCCCCATACACACAATTACCCCCCATACACACAAGTACCCCTGTAGCGGATCACCTGGCACCCCGACTGGGTACCTCCATTGAAGGATGCTCCTAGTGCTTCCTGAGGGCTCCAAGCACTCCAGCAGACACCATAACCACCACAGACTGCTTCAGGTAGCAAACCAGGAACAAGCTCTTATAAGAGCTTAGTGATTATAGCAAGAGAGTATGACGAGCATAGCAATCCCTTGTAGCAGATTCCCCCAATAAGAGACAGGACTCTAAATTGAGGGTGAAGTAGAACTGTTTTAATAAGCCTCAAAGGACTTTCTTTTATGCAAGTTCTTACACAAGGTTACCACCCACATGGTCTTGTGGAACAGCCAATCGAATACAGTATAATACAGTCAAACACTCCCAGTTAGGACACACAAACCCTTCCCTCTGCTTGTGATATAATTACTGTACACAATGGGTTAACTTAATTATCACAGGCAGGAAAATATACAGTTTCATACAATATTCATAACGCCTAAAATATACATGCAATCTCCATACTCCAAATACAAACATACTCAAAAATCAGACAATTCCCTCCAGTGGTTTAAAAGTAAGGTGGAAGTCCTTTTTGACCGACCGCAAGCATGGCTTTCCTGCCCAAAACAGTTCCATAGATTTGGGCTGTACGGTCGGTCAATTTTCTCTTCTATCCTGGAGATAATTGGCTTAAGTAACTGTAGTAAACTCAATTATCTCCAGGTACAGAAAATATCACTTAGTCACAACTGCAACAAAACATATTAAAATACATAACTAATATTCTATAGAACTGAACCCCCACATTTGACCTATCCCCAGATAGCTTGGATCTGAGCGCTCACTATAGCCGAACAGCGCTCAGATCCCACGAACACAGTCAAATTGCCCTGGGGTTAAACAATAGCAAGGGCTGATGAGAGACCGAGGAGGGACAAAGCAGCTAGTTCCAACTGGTCTGGCAGTGTCCCTGGGACAACGCCCTGCTGGAGAACAATGCGACAGGAAATGGGGAAGGGGAAGAGGCACACCTTCCCATGGATTTAAATGGGCAGAAAAAGTGTCCCGAAATCCAATAAGCCCAAACAGACTTTTTAAGTACAATACTTCACAGGGGCTATAGTCACAAGGCAAGAGGCTGGCATGCAGGCCTCTCCAAGACCAAGTGGCGAGGTCACTTTCACCACATATCTCCCCTTTGGAGGGTAGACTAACCAGGTACCTGAGCTTCTGTCGGTCGGTGCCTGAGTAAGTCGGACAACCCAACCAAAATAACCAAGTACAAGAATAGCCCACACACAACAAACGGTTACTTGGAGGGCAGAGGCCAGCTGTGCTCTACCACGATGTCAGCACTTCTGCTGGGGTAGCCTGGTTGGGACTTGGCTTGGGAGGGGAAATAACACTTACCCCCTCCTCCTGGTATGGCTGCGAGGGTAGTTGGGGATCTGGACAGGCTATACAGCCTCCCGGTCAGATGGGTGCAGGGACTACGGTCCCATCTGTACTGTCTGGGAGAATATGGTCTCCCCTTGGTAGGGTAAGCTGCCGCTGGGGAAGGTGTCATCCTTTTCCTCCAGCAGCAGTGTGTCCAACAGGGGGCAGAGACAGTTGGTCTCTCTCCCCAGCAGCAGGACAATTTATTGGGAGTCTCCCTCTCCAGCGGAAGCATGTGCTTCAGGGAGGGGAGCATATCGCCCTCTTTCCCCAGCGGCAGCTTACCCTACCAAGGGGAGACCATATATACATACACACATACACACATACTGGCATACACACATGCATTCTGACATACACACACACACAGAAAGATAGATAGATAGATAGATAGATAGATAGATAGATAGATAGATAGATAGATAGATAGGAAGATAGAGGCATACATACTGACATACACACACACACAGACATACTGACATTTATACATACATACATTGTTATATACACACATACATACTGACACATATATACATACACACATACATACATAGATATATACACACATACATACTGACACATATATACATACACACATACATACATACACATACTGACAAACAGACATACATGCAGACACATACATACATTCTGATATACATACACACATACAGACATACACCTCATTTTAAAGCCATTGTTTCTTTAATAATCTACCAGAACCACTCCCAAGATTAGGTGCTTAGTATATGCCGAACCGCTGTACATATGTACTATAATGATATAATTTAATTAATAATCAGACTTGATTTGGTCCTTTGCCCATAATTTTATTTATGGCTTTTACATGGTGTTTCTTAGAGAAGCAATCCTTGGTCACACACGGCCAACCCTTCCCTCCCATAGGATTGTTGACTAAAGTTCGGCACTTCGTCAATTCGGTTCAGCACTTGGGAAAATCCTAACCCTAAGCCTACCCTAACCCTACCCTAACCCACACTCCACCTAACCCTAGCTCTAACCCTAACTATACTCCTACCCCTCACCCTACCCTAACCCTACCCCTAACCCCAATGCTACCCTAACCCTACCCTTGTCATCATTCACGTAAATTTTCCTCCCTCTCTTGTTTTGCCACTTTTCAGAAATCCGAAGCACTTCGGCACTTCCGAAATTCGGCACTTCGGCAATTCCGTTTGGTTCGGCACTTCCAAAATTCGGCACTTTGAAAATTTTGTTCGGTTCGGCACTTCGGACATTCAGAAGCATCCGAATGTCCGATTTGCCTGAAATTCGTCCAAATTCACATTCGGACCAAAATTAATTGCATATGTCTAGCTGAAACTGTGCTTGAAATCATCCAGTCACAGCACCATGGGATTACACCCTGTGTTCTCGATGGTAGGCACCTCTCCAGGATGTCTGGTAGAAGATCCACTGAGTGACAGCATAAAAGGTCCTCAGTGGTCTTTTAGGTCTTGTTTGAGATAGAGGAAAATTACTTAGTAATGACTTATTATTTAGATAGATTTGTTTGATGATTGTTTATTTACTTTATGAGTAGATTTATTTTTAAAGTGCTTCTTCTTTAAGCCAGGTGATGATCTAATGCCTGTTGATGAAAATGGTCATTACATTTTTCATTATACAGATCTGCGAGAGACTTGGGAGGTGAGTTGTGGGTCTATGTGCTTCTGTATGTCTTGGAACGGAACATGTGGCATTCTGTCCTTTAATGTCCTCATGTTTGTGCAGAATTATCATATCAATCAAGTTTTCTTGGACACAAATTATTTATACATATTACAAGGCAGCCTATAAAAAACACTGCATTCTAGTATGTAGAAATCAAAGGTTGCAGGATGAAAATCAAGTTATTTATCATTAAGCATATACCCAGGGAGCAATTTTCATATGTTGTCCATCAAAATGAAGATGTGACATATATCCTGGAAGCATGATGGATACTGCAACACTAGTTATTTGATGTTACATCGTCATAGGACAAACCTTTACCTCTTCTAGCATAATTCTGAATAGGTCCTTATTTACAATAAACCAGGAAGATTATTTATCTGGACACACAATGATGCAACAAAAAGGTGCCCATAAAACATAGTCACCTTCAAGTAATTGCATGTCTGATGCATAGATCAAGTGTGTGTTGTCCTGGATGAAGATGTCACTCTCAGGCAGTTTGATCAAGAATTATCTATTTTGCCACACATTACATATGTCCATAAACTACTTATACTGTCTTTTTTATGAGTGCATGGGATGGGCAGTTTTTTTTTATATTCAATACCACTTATGGACATCGATGATGTCTGATCAATTATACTGTAATTCCAATGGGTATATAACACCAAACATGACTGTGATCAGTCTCTCTTGAAATACCTTAAAAATAGTTATCAGGGGATGTAGTGTCAAAAATGTTTTTAGGAAACAACATTAATATCAAAATCTGCTTACCATAGTCACTAATTAATATAATAAGAAGTATTTAAAGAAGAACCATCAGTAAAACTGGAGGGGCATGATCATAACATTAAAATTAAATTAAAACTACTTCACTAAGTTAAAGGTTTAAGTTAAGCTATAATGCTTTCATAACAGAGGGGTTGAGGTATAATATTTACTCTTTTTAAAATTAGAAAAAACCCAGGACTAGATTGAATACTTTGAAATATGAAACATAGTATATGTAATAAATATACTATACATTTCTCTACGCGTTAATCATTCCACAGTTACTTTTATAGAATCATGGTTTTTAGCAAAGCTGATTTTTAAATTGGCAGATATAAAGAAAATATTCAAGGTTATTTACTTTGGTGAGAATTCAAAGAGAATTTAAAGTGAATTTCAAATTTAAAGTATCACCCCGCCCCCCAAAAATAATTGTATTTTAAATAGAATCTTTAAGAAATACTAATTTTGTCTTCAATTTCAACTTCACTGAAATTCCAACCCAGTCAAGTGATATACAGAGACAAATTAGGGACTACTTTGTCTCTGTCTTTCTCCTTGCTTGGACTCATGGACAAGTCTAAGTGTCAATCCCAACAGCTGTCACCAGTGCTGTAGTGAATTGGCCGTGTTTATGGAGGATCCTGCAGTCTTGCAGGAACCTCCATAGACATCAATGCTGTACTTTTGTGCATGCGCAAGAGTATAGCAGTGGCATCAGCTCCAAAGAGGATCAAGATGGCTGCTCCTATGAGGGACAAGTTCAGGTAAGAAAAGCTCACTGTTACCTGCCCCCTGGGTCACAGGAACACAAGTGCGGATCTATACAGAGTATACCCTGACGGTGACAGTGCTGCCTTAAAGGGACAGTATACTCACAAGAACAACTACAGCTTCCCCTGCAGGGAAAAGGCGTTGTTTACATTACTGCCTAGGAACACCTCTAGTGGCTCAATGCATCTCTATGAGGAGATGCTGATTGGCCAGGCAGCATTTCTTCCTCCGCTCCTCCCACTCCCACCCCCCCATCACCTCCACACTTCCCCCCCCCGGCTCACCTTGTGGGGATATTTATGGGATGATAATATTAAACAGTCGAGAATTGCCCACTATTACAATTCTCTTAGATCTTAGAGATCGTTATCATGTAAGTGAAATGTATTCCATACAAATAAAATCACAGTTTGTTATAAAAATAGATATAATTTATTTTTACAAATTAAATAACAATAATATTAGGCAGCATGCATTATATTAATCAGTGAATATTTAGTATAACGTAAGTATACAATGCAATGGCTAAACACAGTACAATCTACAGCATCAACTGTCAAGATTTTAGATTTATGAGGGTACTTCACACACAGAAAGTAAAGCTTCACACAGCGAATAGCCATAAAACCTTGGCTAACAGTTAAATCAACTGAGTAACCCTTTCAATGCTGGCTAGATCCTCCTAGGCATATAGTATCCTATTCTCTTGTAATTTTCAATTAAAATAACATTTGAACCAGCTCATTAATCATTTCCTGGAACCATCCAATAAGAATAATCTACCAGATTCCATAAGCCGAATTTTAATTTGCCTAAAAAGATATCTTATCTTATTTAGAGCAAATCATTACACCTGGATAAAAACAACGGTATGCTAACACGTGATACTATCACATTAATATATAATTATTCTTAATTCCACCTGCAGAATGGAATGTTTATAACTATATATTCTTCAGTTAACTAAGATTTCAAAATATTGAAATCTGACTGTGATTTATCCACTCATATATCATGCTATTAGTAAATTTTTTATTAATTTAAATTAATTAAATGAAACCAGCATAATTACCAGTTATGTAGGTATTCTCATCAGATCAGTAGGTAATCCCAGGAACTTGCGAGTATGATTGATTGTATGGAGGTGCGTGAGTAATAGAGAAAAGTGATGTTGGTTAGAAAGTATCAGTAAAATTCTAAGTGTCAAGGAGTGTTTCTTGAGTTGTGTCCAAGAGAGTTTGAGAGTTGAATGTTAGTCCCAGAGAGTGTCCTGGATCTCTGCATGTCCAAGTCTGAATGCCCAAACTAACCTCTCTCTTCCCTTTGTCCTAACTTTTAAAGGGCCAGACTCTCTGTACGTCATTAGTTGATAAGGCCAATAGGAAACTGAAGGTGTGTTCAACCTTCAGATCGCAATTTAGGTATTTGATCCATAGAGGGCTGTCTCGCCTTACTAAACCTTCCTATCTAGGAAAGAGTTAACTTTTCCTGATGACGATTTTGATGTCAATTGGCGTATCTAAAATGAGTACCATAACTTAAATTTGCTGTCACTTCAAAGCGTTTGTCTCAGTCTTTGTGGCAACTACTTTGATCGTAATTTCTAAAATTGACAGTTCTAAACTCAATTTCACCCCTTACTTACAATGGGACCTTGTAAAATCTAGAAAGTAAAATTAATTACTTAGTCTTCTCTGTCACTAGTGTCTGTGTTTAAAATTACTTCTATTCCATTAACATTTAAACAGAGCATTCCATCCCCCTGCTTCATTGCTTATCACTTGGCTTGTTTATATAATGCATTCCTTAGCTCAGGCTCAGTGGTTAGTGAAAGCAAGGAAATTGTGTGTCTGAAGATAGCAAAATGGAGTCTGCTCTGTTCTGAGTGACTCTGGCAGAATACACTTTTAATTTCTATTTTAGCACAAAATGTCTGCTGATATAAATATCCTGACAGCCTTCATGGCTGAGATCATCATTATTGACAATTTCAGCCAAGCCAATCCAGTGAGATCATCACTTCTAAATGGCGGTGAAGCCAGCACCTGTGGACCCACACAGCACTGGAAATAACGTGAGTTTTACAGCTATCTAGGAAGACAAGTTGGGGCCAGGGGGCTAAATAGTTTTTTTAACACTACACGGTCAGAAATAAACATTTGTGTTCCTGACCTTATAGTGGTCCTTTAATGACAGAGTGTGAAACTGAAAGCATAGCTCATTTATAATCCAGAGAATTATCCAGGATTAGATGATGTAAAGGGATATTGTAGGTTGATGATAGGTGTTTAGAGTCCAGAGTCCAGGCCTCAACAGGGGGAACGCCTGGTAATAGCTTGCTCCATTTTACATTGTATTATACTTAGTGAGTGGTACTTGGGCCAGCTTTCCACCAAAGGGTACTTCCAGTTCCTGGCTATTGATATTTTGACAACCATTAAGATGTGGAGGATAACCGGTCTAAGGTTTCCATTAATCACCTTCTTATACATATGTAACAAAGCCATTCTATGAGTCAATGTAAATGTTTTTTCTAATAAAGTTGATAGATAATGGTTTGTTGTCTCCCAAAGGTGCTGGATTGCCAGGCAATCCTACCAAATGTGTTTAAAATCTGTTGTTGGCTTGGAGCATCTCCAACAAGTGGAGGAGGCTGTAGAATAAATATTTTGCAATTTTTGGAGGGTTCTATGCCATCTGTTTAATATCTTATAATGAGCTTCATGCATATTTAAACAATGACAAGTTTTATATAATGTTGTAAGAGAATTATTCCATTTTTCATACTTATGTTTGTTTTCAAATCATAATTTCATTTTGTAATTGCCAGAGAAATTGGCTTTGTCTGTGCTTTATAGATTAGTTTGAGACATTTATTGACTAAATGGGTATCTGCTTGTTCAGACATTTCTGTCAAGATCTGAACTGGAGGCTCAAGAGGGTTAAATCTCAGATTTTATTTAAGAAAGATGTTATTTTTTTATATAATTTAACCATTCACTAGATGGTAGGTTGTATTCAGTTTGAAGTTGTTCCAAAGATTTAAACATTTTTCCTCTTATAAGGTTAGAGATCCTTTTCATACCTTTATGGATCCATAATTCTAAGGTTATAATATATTTAAGTGTGTAGCTGATATTATTTTCCCTTTTATACCAATTTTTTATTTAAAAAGAGACCAAGCTGGAAAAAAATGTTGGACTACTAGTGACTTTAAAGTTTTAATAAAGTGGATTTCTACTTTAAAATTTTAAAAAAACAAAAAGCACTGTTACGGCGCAGACAAGATGGCGGCCCAGCACAGGCCCCAACCAAATGGCACAGGCAACCAGCCGCCGCACCAGCCCACAACAGCCATGGACGGCTTTGTGAAAGCTTCTGAGCAATACTCTGTAACCGAGGGGCGACAAAATACCACGCGATGAAAGAGGTGGCCGCGTGGATCCGCCCAGCCACTAGGCGCCGCCACTATGGAACGCTACCGCAGACTACGCCTGCTCAAATGGTCAGTGCCCACAACACCAACACCTAGGAAACCCCTCCGGGCACGCAGGCATGGCCTCCAGGATGGGCATCGGCTGAGGAAATCCAGACTGCCACACTATGAGGCCCGAAGCCTCTGACCCTGCACACAAAGCAGAGACTCCCTCCACAGCATATGTAAATACCAGATGAGAGACACCTTGCACCCGCTAGACGTGGGTAGAGACACTCAGCAACTGAAAAGGTCTTTGTAAATGTAGCTTAACTTACTGCAGAACAAGGCACAGCCTCTCAACAGTACCCACCACTTGTGCCTCGCTTACATGTTAAACTGCATGCTTTGCCCTACTAGACCTATATTCATGTTTAGATTGTTAACCCTCTGCAACACTAGAAAATGCTTACACACATAGACGCACACAGCGCAATCACTAATATTGACCACACAACAGATATACTGGTAACCATAGAACACGAATGATCAATTTGAGTCCAAGCTACTTTACTAAACAAATGTGTGCATGTCTTAAATGTACTCTACTCAACCTTTTAGTTTAATCTTGTATATTTTAATGTTGCAATAATCGTTACAGTTTTAACCTGATATTAACATAAAAATGTGCTGTCTAATCGCATGCCATGTCAAATACATTGTTCAAGTTTGGTCTGCTAATGCTATTGTGGCATCGCAAGACAAAATGTTAACTGTTCCTATATGCACAAGAAAAATAAAAATAATAAAGGATTAAAAAAAAAATTTTTTTAAATTTTAAAAACCCAGAGAAATGGATGGAACTTAATCTTCTACCTTTAACTAAAGAATCTAATATTAATTTTAAAAAATGGAAAACTTTGGAAATCTCATGGTTAGGGAAGATAAATACATTAAAAGCATATATCGTACCAAAATGTTTGTATATTATGAGAAAAAATTATATTAGAGAGAAGAAAAAAATATATATATATACACATTTGTTGTGTCACTATTTTCTTACAATTCTTTCTATTTAAGTCTGTGTTAGGTGATACTATTACAATCTTAGTGATAGTCAGACACCTTTTGTATGGTTTACATTATAATGTCCTATTTTTTTTTTATAACTTAATTCATAGTGATCATAACTTTATAACTTTAGGGTGATACTGCAATCTCTTCTTGTGAATTTTCTCTTTTCCCTTTCTTTCCTTTTACACTCCCTTGTTCCATTTCCATTCTTTCCCTGTTCCCTTGTTCTTTAATAGTAATAAAAATGTAAAAAAATAAAAAAAAACATTATTAACATAACATTATTATTCAATATGTGTATATTTGTAAAATTATGTAAAAAAAAAAAAATTGGTTGGTGCATTGAGTGTTATTTTATTTAGTTTTAAAGTGGTCTGTGATATAAAGTGTAACCATTATATATAGTAATAATATTTTCTCATAAAGTTATAATTGGGTGGGTAGATTTTTTAGATATATAGTAAGATATTTTCCATTCTCCTTCTTTCCTTCCCCTCCTCCCTCTATTCCTTTTCCCCTTTCTCTTTCTTTCTTTTCTTCCTTAATCTGGATGAGGGACAGGATATGATTGCGTTATTTAATTTGGAGTTATAGATTCCCAGGAGTTCTCCCTTTCTCTCTCTCCTTTTTCTCCCCTTTCCTTCACTTTCTTTCCTGGAATCTGTGTCAGTCTACCAGAGCTTATTTGTGTCCTGTCATGATTAGCTGAATTCGATTATTTGAGGAAGACATCATAAAGTTTTTTTCTTTAAGCCAGCTGTCAAGTGTGTCAGGTGATTTGGGCACAATTGTGCTATAATCATAAGATATGATCATTTTTGTTGGATAGCCCCATTTGCATTTCCTTTCAGATCTGGTATGAAAGGACAGATCTGGGAAAATCTTTATTTGTGCATATAGAGAAGTCAAATGGGTATCTCGCACCGCATTGATGATTTGGTCTTTAAGTCTGGTTGATACACAGCATATGGTTACATCACGAGGCTTAGAACTGTGGATTTGAGGGGGTTAAAGGTCTTGTGGCACCTTTCCAGGACATTCTCATATCCTGATATATTTCTGCCAAGTGCTTTTATGAAATCTATTACATAGGCTTCCAGCCCATCATGATTAATAGATTCTGGAATGTGCTTTTTTCTATAAATATAGCAGTTTCAGAGAGTAGTAGAGTAGTAGAATAAAGCATAAAAGCCTAAAAACCGGGAACTAGGAAACAAATGTAACTGAATAAGTAAACTTACCTGGTAGAATCTGGAATCAGATACTTCTCAGGCTCCAGTTCGTCCCAATGGTGTCCAGGGCGGCTCCACACTCCCCCTTTAATAATCTGCTGACTGGACGCAATGCAGCGGTGAGACCTGTGTGCTGGTTCACTGCCGAGCTTTCGATGGATGACAGGTAGTATATCATAGAGAAACTGCTATGTTTACATTAGGGTTAATCCAGCCTCTAGTGGCTGTCTCATTGACAGCCACTAGAGGCGCTTGCGTGCTTCTCACTGTGATTTTCACAGTGAGAAGACGCCAGCGTCCATAGGAAAGCATTGTGAATGCTTTCCTATGAGACTAGCTGAATGCGCGCGCGGCTCTTGCCGCGCATGCGCATTCAGCCGAAGAGGAGGAGAGGAGGCGGGGAGGAGGAGGAGAGCTCCCCGCCCAACGCTGGAGAAGGAGGTAAGTTAGAGCCCTAGAGCCCAGCGGGAGGGGGACCCTGAAGGTGGGGGCACCCTCAGGGCACTATAGTGCCAGGAAAACGAGTATGTTTTCCTGGCACTATAGTGGTCCTTTAAGCCTTAGGTTATTTCTTCTGGATCTGTTTTCCAGTTTGGTTATCTTTTTACCCATGTTGTCATCTTGGTTTTTGACAGTGTCTCCCTGTTGCTGAATAATGGCCTTCAATTGTGCCGTGCACACTTCATTTTCTTGGAGTAGTTTCCTTAGGTGCTGTTGGTCTTCTTTAATATCTCTCCTAATATTATTCATCTCTGATTTAGATGTTTCTAATTGAGAGTCAAATGCCCTTTCCAAGAATGCTTTAGTGATTATTTAATCATCCTTTTCTGTGTCCAGCAAATAATTTTTCGAGGCTGCGTCTGGCATATTTAAGGATATTTCTTCCGGATCTCTTCTATCCAGATGTATTTTATTCATTTTAGGGGAAAAGCAAGTGTGGCGAAAGTAACCTTGCCACTGGGTTTTGAAGAGGCCTGCTTGCCAGACTCTTGCCCTGTGACTATGGCCCCTGGGTTGTATTGCCTTTTATAGAAACTAATTGTGCATATTGTGACTTAGCACAATGCCTCTTTCAAACATGTGGCGGCGGCCATCTTAAATTGTCTAGCAGGGTTTTGTCGTCGAGTGTATGGAACTGTTTTGGGCATGGGACCATGTGCACGGTGGGGCAAAAATAAGACTTCCAGGAAATTCCTGAACCCCTCAACCGATCTGGGTGATTTTTGGATATGTTGTATTTTTGGGTACTTCTTGGGGTTTGTAAAAATGTATGTTTTTCTGTTTAGAGTTAATTGAGTTAGCCCATTGTCTTTGTTAATTGTATCACAGGCAGAGGGGAGGGTATGTGTACATTATCTGAGAGTGTCTAACTGACTGTACAATACTGTTTTGATTGGTTTTGTGACTTTGTGTCCTGTGCTCCGCAAGATCCACCTGGGTGGTGACCTTGTGGGGAAAACTGTATAAAAGACAATAAACCCTCAGATCTGCTGAGTTCCTGTTTTACCCTCAACATAGAGCCTCGTCTCATGTGTGGTGGAAAAGGCTGCATCAACACTGGGGGAAAGCTATACTCTGTATACTCCCCTGGGCTATAATCCCTAAGCTTTTTTAAGAGCCTGTTCCTGCTACTCTCTCTTGGAGGAGAGGTTCACCCACTGGAACCTGCAGCCTTGTCATAGGTCCAGGGTGGGTAGAGGATGGCAAGTTACCAGCCAAGCTGCAACGCTAGACGTGGGGACTGAGGTGCTGATGGGGTCTGGTTCAGTGCTGATGGTCCTTGGTAAGCACTAGGAGCATCGATTGACGGAGGGTCCATTACGTCTGGTGGCAGCAGTGGGATGGCGTCCTAGTGCATGGAGAGGCAGCTCGGAGACACCGGTAACGTCGAGCCCCAGCCAAGCTGCAACGCTGGACATGGGGACTGCTGTGCTGATGGTGTCTGGTGTGGTGCTGATGGTCCTTGGTAAGCACTTGGAGCATCGATTAACGGAGGGTCCATCACAGCAAGAAAGACGTTTCTTCGGTTTATTTTCTTGTTTCTTATTTCTTTTGTTAGAATTTTTTGTTTTTTTTTGGTTTGGTAGTCTTTTTGGTTGCCATTTCAATGTTTTATCCAACGACATAACGTTTATGCTATCTGGTTTAATGTCTGCTTACCTCCCCCACCTAGTATCTCTTTCTTTTAAATATTTTAAATATCTAATATTTATAGATTTTATCTAATTTATAGATTTTATTTATTGGTTAATTATTTGTCAATTAGCTCTTTTGAGGAGCTATATTCTATAAAAAAAAATGTTTATGTTGTTTGAAGCAGTGTCATTAACAGGACACAAGAGAAAAACAAAAAAACAAAAAAGAACAAGAAAACAAAAAAAAACAATGTCTCTCTCTTTCTTTTTCCCTTCTTAGATCACAATCTATGCCATGCCACAGTGGTTTTACAAAGTAGTTAGATTAGCTATTAGTATAAATTTATAGTATAATATTATTGACCTGTGCATTAGGTTTTACAGAGTCTCTTTCTTTTCCTTTACCTTTTTTATATTCCGTTCTTTCTTCTTTCCTTTCAATTTGTCTTTGATTGTTCGGCTCTCTTTTTTCTAGCTGGTTTAGAGTTAGACAAATAGTATGTTTCTCTATATTTTGTTGTTAGATGAACATAGTTGCATTAAAGGAAAGGTAATTTGCAAGTAATCAGCTTAGAAATCTATCTTCTCAATGGAGCCTCTGGGGCCTATAGCCCTACTGAGAATATTTATAGATTTGTGGCAATCAGAGTAGTAGAATAAAGCATAAAAGCCTAAAAACCGGGAACTAGGAAACAAATGTAACTGAATAAGTAAACTTACCTGGAAGAATCTGGAATCAGATACTTCTCAGGCTCCAGTTCTTCCCAATGGTGTCCAGGGTGGCTCCACACTCCCCCTTTAATAATCTGCTGACTGGACGCAATGCAGCGGTGAGACCTGTTTGCTGGTTCACTGCCGAGCTTTCGATGGATGACAGGTAGTAGATCTGCCTGTATCTCTCCTCTTGTTTGCATCTCCATTGTTGGGTAGAGGTCAGTGTTCTCCTGCAGCATGTTCTCCTCTACATCCTCCGCTCTCAGTGCCACGGGCATAGCCATGTGTTGCATGCTACGTCATTGCTCCTCCTGCCAACCCACTTTAAATTTACTTTTAATTCTCACTTTAGTGAATAACATTGATATACTTGTCAAATAGACCTATAGGTTTAATTAATCAAGGTGCTAAAATTTAAACTGCCCTGCAACCGCTTCCAATCTTCTGTTTTCTCTCACCGCCAACTAGCTTTCACTTGAAAAGAGCATTTATTGGAACACATTTGGGCATTTATAGGAGTACATTTGTAATATAAATGGTGGTTACCTGTTCTATGATATTATTTACAACCAAGACACCCACACCCACACCCACGTACTTAGGTGAAAGAGTATAAATATACAATAAATGGAGCAAAAAAAATGAAACCCCCCAAATAAATAAGAGGTCAAATGAGTGTGTAGATTACATAGTGGAATAGCGACTGAATATGTTTGCTTTTTTAGGCTCTGGAGGAATGTAAAGATGTTGGACTGGTGAAGTCCATTGGTGTCTCCAACTTTAGTAGCAAGCAGTTGGAGCTAATCCTTAGCAAGCCTGGACTGAAGTACAAGCCAGTTTGCAATCAGGTAATAGAAATTATTTTATTCTTATAGTTTTTAGGGGATGATAAAATTCTCATTTTGAATTATTAATATATTCTTTTTAGACCACTTGTCCTTTGCCCCACTGTCAACAACCAAAGTTATATCTCCATGTCCTGGTGGAATTGGCAACTCATTTGCGTCAGAGCCTTATACATTCCTCCAGTATCAGTGATAGTTTGCCCAAATTCTATCTTTGCCCAGACTAGTGAAACAAGGCTTATGACATATGGTTTATTATATTTAATTGTATAGACTTTTTCTGGAATAATTACCTTTTTAGATTTTTAATGTTGTTCACCTTATCTCATCTATAAAGGCATTAGTGTCTCATAAGGTGAATCTATTGTGCTTGCTGTTTTCATAATAATTATAAAACTAATAATAATCACATTTTAAAGTACATTTCACGTTGCGAGGATTCAATGCACATTAATAAATTTAAATTGTACTTTCACTAAATCTAGCTAATTAATTGTTGTTAAAATTAACTGCAGTTGCTTTTATCATCACAAATAAAAGCCTTAATTGATGTGAAGTTTCAACTCTTTTTTGTTGCTACAGTGGAAGCATTATACTATGTATTATAATGTGTACATGTGCTTGAATTAAAAGGATATTTTTCTCCCTGCAGGTGGAATGTCACATATACTTAAATCAGAAAAAACTGCTTGAGTTCTGTAAGTCTCAGGATATTGTGCTTGTGGGGTACAGTGTATTGGGAACCAGCAGGGAGGGGAAATGGTGAGTTGCAGCTAAGTATGTGATACTTCCTCAATGTGCCTTGTATTAAAGGGTAACAGTGACCAAATAACTATTAGAAAAAAAAAGTTAAATCAAGGAGCCCCACGTATCATTGGATACCCAAGTTTTATTCTCTTTCAGCTGGGGCCACAGTTAGAAAAAGGGATATGTTTGCTGATAGATAAGCTATGGGCAGAGAACTTTATAGAGCCCTTTAAATGTTGTGCTCAGTCATGATAATCCATCTAAATTTCTTTAAGCTCAGCCACAGTGATTATGAGCCTGGTTAGGTCTACATGCATGCCCCTTTGCCCTGTGATTGTTGCTGGGCTTAGCCAGCTGTCCAGCACCTATCACAGTTACAGGAGCTGCAGCATGAGATCTCCCTCTCATGCTGCAATTACACAGTACAAAGAGCTTATAGTGTTAGCTGGGAAATCCCTATGCTGATGTCAGGAGGACTTTACATATCTATAGAGGGGGACCCTCTAGATATGTAAACTGCAAAACATTTTGCTAGTAAACTATACAGCACATTTGATCTATTTCAGAGAAGGCTTAAAGGGATACTCTGGGTGCCAACTCCCACTATCCTTAACCCTGCAAGTGTAATTACAGCAATAATTACCTTGCAGGGTTAAGTCCTCCTCTAGTGGCTGTCTGATAGAGATTTCATGTTCTTAGAACATGAAAAGTGTTTTAAACGGCGCTGGACATCCTCACGCTATGCATGAGGACCTCCAGCATTGCCGGAATCAGCAAAGGGAAGCATTCCTCTGGGGAGGTCTAATGTGCACGCACAGCCATTGTCGCGCATGAGCATTAGGTCTCCACCGCCGGCTGACGTTGGCGGGGAGGAGCATGGACGGAGCCTGACCGAGGGACATCGGCGCTGGATTCAGGTAAGTCACTGAAGGGGTTTTAACCCATGAATACACTTTGCAGGGAAAAGGGATATGTTTTGCTGGCACTGGAGAGTCCCTTTAAGATCACATGGGGCCCTAAGCAGTTTACCCATTTGCACCCCAACCTTCATTCAACCTTCTTCACATGGTTCCAACTCTCTTGCCTAATCTCTGGGTTACCTTATGGTTAACACTGCCCTGATCAATTTACTGAAATAGCTATGTTAGAACTATACCAGTATTAATATTTTTTTTTACCATATTGATTAGAGGTAGAGGTTGAAAAAGAATCCTAGATAGATCCTATATGATGTTCAGAACAGACATGAAAGGTTAGTCTGTAAGGCAAACTAGAGAGCAGTTTTTAGAGCGTAGCTGAGCGCCATCTAGTGCTAACCATGGGAATTTATAAACTGAATCATAAAGGACCACTATAGTGCCAGGTAAACAAATTTGTTATTAGGACAACCCACCCTCATGGCCCCCGCGGGGCTGGAGGGGTTAAAACCCCTTCAGCCATTTACCTTTCTCCAGCGCCGGGCTCTCCTCCTCCTGCCGACGTCATCGTCAAATGCGCATGCACGTCAAGAGCCGCGCGCGCATTCAAACCGCCCATAGGAAAGCATTTCTCAATGCTTTCCTATGGACGTCCAGCCTCATCTCACTGTGATTTTCACAGTGAGAATCGCGGAAGCGGCCTCTAGTGGCTGTCAGTGAGACAGCCACTGGATGCTGGATTAAACCTCAGTGTAAACATAGCAGTTTCTCTTAAACTGCTATGTTTTTAGATGCAGGGTTAAAACTAGAGGGACCTGGCATCCAGACCACATCATTGAGCTGAAGTGGTCTGGGTGCCTGTGGTGGTCCTTTAAGTAAGGCGCAACGTAGGTGTTCTGAGGGTCTTTTTAAATATTGGTCTTATTAAATACCTATTTTACAGGATTGACCAGAATGCACCCATTCTTCTTGAAGATCCGGTGTTAAAGTCCATCGCTAAAAAGCACAAGAAATCCCCAGCTCAGGTGGCCTTGAGATATCATCTGCAGAGGCACATCATAGTCTTGGCAAAGAGCTTTACTACTGCCAGGATCAAAGAAAATTTCCAGGTGGGAGAATACTGTAAAGGATTAAAAGGACACTACAGGCATCATAACAACCTAATTGGCTTACCTTCAGGTGTTGTACTGTTAATGAACAATTTAACCACAAAGTCTTCAATCTGGCAACTGTGATCTTTGCCCCTTTACTTATGTTTCAGTCCGAGGCTTCCATCAGTAAGCTTCGGATCTGTGCACCGTTGATAGGCTGAGAGCTTCAGCACATCATTCACAAAACTGAGTGAAAAATATACAAACCTTTTTTGCTCCAATTTTTTGAATGGGGACCTACTGATTATCATATATTGATTATGTATATCTCCATTGTCTGAATGGGAAGCTCTCAACCTATCAGTAGCTCCGCTTCCTGACGCTTCAGTTAGGATGTGTGTTAACAGTGTGTGTATGTGCCAGTGTGTTCATCTGTGTTTCAGTGTATCTGTCAGTGTGTGTATCACAGTGTGTATGTGTCAGTGTGTTTGCTGTCAATGTGTGCATCTGAGAATGTGTGTCAGTGTATCTCCCTTTGTGTGTGTGTGCCAGTTTGTATATGTGCCAGTGTGTGTATCACAGTGTGTATATCTTTGTACCAGTGTGTGTATGTACCAATATGTATCTGTGCATCAGTGTATCTGTCAGTGTGTGCATCTGAGTGTGTGTGTGTGTGCGTGTGTGTGCAAGTGTGTGTATCTTTGTGCCAACGGGTGTTTGTATCTGTGTGTGTGTATGTGCCAGTTAATCTACCTGTATGCGAGTGTGTCTTTATGTGGATCTTTGTGTCCGTGTGTGTTTATGTGTGTATATGCCAGTGTGTATGTGTGTATCAGTGTGTGTCAGTGTATCTGCCAGTGTTTGTATGTGCCATTGTGTGTATCTGTGTGCCTGTGTGTATATTCATGCCAGTGTTTGTATCTTTGTGCCTATGTGCCAGTGTGTGTATCTCTGTGTATGTGCCAGTATGTATTTGTGTGTATGTCTGTCAGTGTGTGTGCATCTTAGTGTGCATGTATGTGCCAGTGTGTGTCTTTGTACTGTTGTGTGTATCTGCGTGTCAGTGTGTGTATGTGTCAGTGTGTATATGACTGTGTGTATGTGTCAATGTGTTTGTTTGTTAATATGTATGTATATCTGTGTAAGTGTGTATGTGCAGACATTCCAGCAAACACCAACACAACATGCAAACACACCCCTGTAAACTTAAACATGACATACAAAGACTCCCCTGAACTCCAACTCTAAAATTATTACAAACACTCAAACACACCCTTCACTCAAACACCAATACTACACACAAATGTACATCCACATTTAAAATCCAACACTACATCCAAACACACCATTGCACGTAAATGCAAGCATAACCTGTTACAAAGTAATCACTCTGCGGGCGGCGAGCGAGGGATCTGAGCAGAGAGCTCAGGGGAAAGTGCTCCCTCACCAGCACCGACCGCCCGATCGGAATTTTACTTCGCTGCCCGCCTGCCTGGACTGTTAGCCGCAAGGCTAACAAGACATTTGCCCTGGGCATTTGGGGGCGGCTTTTTTTGCCGCCCCCTGGAAAATGCCGCCCAAGGCAAATGCCTTGTTTGCCTCATGGCTAATACGTCCCTGAGTGTGTATATACATGACAGGATGTGTGTGTGTGTCAGTGTGTCAGAGTATTTATCTGAGTGTGTGTTTGTTTCAGTGTGTATCTGAATGTGTGTGTGTTAATGTGTATGTAGATCTGTGCAAGTATAATTGATTGCTGGGATGTATGCATATGCACACACACACACACATACACTGCCGCATACAGATGCCAACACTACATACAAAATACAAACACACCCCTGCAATCAAACTCCAAAATTATATACAAATACCCCCCTTCATTCAAGCATGAATACTGCACACAAATGTACACCTGAATTTAAAATCCAGCACTACATACAATCACACCCCTGCATTCAAATGCAAACACTTCACACAAATACACCGCTGCATTTAAATGGCAGCAGTACATACAAATGTACATGCACACATATACTCCATTTAAAAACATTCAAACGCACAAATACTGCTCACACATACAACCCTGCAAGGATAGGTAAATGGTAAATCCCCAACTGGCATAGCATCGCAACAGATAGGAATCTACCTTTTGACTAAAAGGGGACCAAAACCAGGCCCTTATCTTCATTAGTATCGCCACTGCACATTAAACAGGTATTTCTTAAACTGCCCCCTCCCTAGTGGAACCATTCTATAGGGCAATCCCACATAAGCGTACCTACCAAATTAGGGAACTATCGACAACCAGTGCACTGCACAAAACTGAAACTAAAAGCCCAAAATTAAGAAAATAACTTTTCTTAATTTTGATATTTTTAATGTTGATCTTTCAGCTGAAACTGAGAAATGGCTTTATCTTTAACTGTAATGATTCAGCAGAGAAATATTATTCACTTTGGTTTGTAGAGTTTTATGGACTAAATGTAATTTGCTATTTCTGTTACAAACTTAAGTTACACATTGTGTACACTTTGTCAGGAGGGAAGGGTGTAAAACTTGACACCTTAGATCAGGAATAGGCAACCTTCAGCACTCCAGATGTTTTGGACAACATCCCCCATAATGCACTTACACCCGTAATGCTAGCAAAGCATCATGGGAGGTGTAGTCCAAAAGATTTGGAGTGCCGAAGGTTGCCTATGCCTGCCTTAGATGATAGTTGTATTGAGTCATTATCTTTATATACATTTTATAACTTTCAGGTCTTTGACTTCCAGCTGCCCCCAGATGATATGGAAGCACTTGAAGGACTAAACCAAAATCTGCGCTATGTTCCAGCAAAATTGTATGCAAATCTAATGGATATTTCAAATTCTAATCTATATTACATAGCTTTCTCTTTTGGTTGGCTACGTGAAAATTCATGCAGGGTTTTTTTCCTAAAGTGAGAATTCAAAGTGAATTTCAAATTTAAGGTCAAAATAGCCAAACTAGAAAAAGTCAGCTATGCTCTCAGTTCAGCTATTTTGGTCTTAAATTTGAAATTTACTTTGAATTCTGACTTTATGAAATAATCCTGGCAATGTTATATCAGTAAAAAAAAAAAAAAGGACCAGCACTCCTAAGTACTTATAAACTCCCTTCAATGTGTACTTACAGCAGCAACATTTGGACCCTCTAATAAAATATATGTCAAAGACACTGTTAAACAGAATTTATAAGTACTGAGGAGTGCTGGACCATTTGTAATGTAATTGGGATCATTGGCTAAATCTGTGGATGATTATTGGACAAGACCAGAGGCACAGGGACACATACTTGAAAGCTGGTCTATTTTTTATCTTCTTAACTAGGTTGTATCAGTTACATAATTACATATTTACATGCTGCCAGCAGTGCATGTCCACTAAAAGCACTAGCAACAAGACAGCAACAGCATCCAGTGGGGTTCATTCACTGTTCACACCTAGCGCACCCACAAAAGGGCTATGAATGGAAGGACTTGTTTATTTATCAACAGTGGTGCCTTTGTGTATATTTCTGTTATTTATTTTGTATAAATTGTGGCTTTTGCTGCAGCACTACTGTTGAGAAATGTATGTGCTGGTTGTCCCCCTCAAATTCCTATTTTTCTGTGTCAACTAATGCTTGTAGAAACTTTGGAAACACAGCATACCACTATGGGATCAAACTGAAGACATCCATTATCTTTTAAGCTAGTTCTAAATTAGAAATTCTAAATTGTAAAATTATGAAATCAGTTTCAAATAATTAATTTTAATATCTATAAATATACTGTCCTAATTATTTATTATTATAAATATATTGTTCTAATTATTTGTTATGATTGGATGGTACCACCTGTGGTGTCAAAATAAAAGCATGATTTATGGGGAACAAAAAGATGATTTATGGTTATGGGAGAGCCAATAAATGTTAATTTTATTTATAGATCAATCGAGAAGTAATCAATAGAAGGAAAAGGAGGAGCAGTAAAACAAAAAAAATATATATTTATATATATATTGGGTTATCTAAATAGTTTTCCTGAATATTTTGCATGCATGATATTCAGATGAGTCAAAGGACCCCAACGAGGAATATCACATTACACAAACATAGTTTTTTGTTTTGTTTTATGCACAAATTTATTTGGCTGAATCAAATTTTTCTGATGGACACAAGTCTAATGCTTATCGATTAACTCAGTCCGGTGTCTTCCAAACATTACAGTGGTGCCCCGTGCTACCACCTAATTAATCTTAATAGTCTCTGTATTTCACCAAACAAAAATAACTACTATGATAGGTCTACCTATGTTAAAAAATAATTATTTACAGTAACACTCTTGAAGTGTGCATCATTATGACTCATAATTTCTGATATTGATTTCCTTAGATTTGAGGCTCACCCAAATTATCCGTTCCACGATGAATACTAAAGAAGATGAGGCAGAAAGCCATGACGATGCCATCTTTTTTGCTTTTGTTTGTTGACTCTTACTCTGTGTTTTTTCATGGCAATTAAAAAGAACATTAATTCTAGTCTTTGAAGATGTCATTCTGTGAAATAAGCCACATTGCATATTAAGCACTGCTGCGAAAGGGTTAAATGAATGATAAATAATTTTCAGCCATTTTGTGCTTAAATTGTCATTGGTTAAAACATAACATTGATAGGTACTTGCCTCACGTTTTCTTTCTACAATCAATACTGAAGAAACAGAAGATGAAAATCTACTTTGTAGTCAGATTAGTGTAATTCTGTTTTTTTAATTACATAACAGACTTTATTTTGTTTTCGGTTCTCTGCAATTCCCTGTGAATAATACATTATTGTGCTTTAAATACATTTGAATAGATTTGCTTATTCTGAATGAAACATTTTAGGCTAAATTGTTAGTCAGTTCAACTCATTTATTTCAATATTAATAAAGATCAAAATGTCCAACATTGTCTTGACAATTCTTTTGTCAGCATGCAGAAAAAAATTGTCTTACTTTCTATCAGTGGTGTAGCTTGATGCTTGATAGATATTAGAGTTTAGTAGATATATCCAAAGCAAAGCACAACTATAAGCTTTCATAGTGCAAAATTTATTTTGAACCTTCATTTAAAACGACCAAATAAACCCCCAATACTCAGTGCTCAAAAAATGAGTGCCCTAAGATTACTTGCATTTAGCATATAATAAAATTCATGCAAATTAAAGTATTCACTGTATAAATCATTTTAGAGGTATGGAGTTCTGCTCAATCCAGCAGTTTTTCTTTTTTTGCTCTTCTCCCGATCTATATTCTGGGCGCCGCCATCTTTGTGTGGGTAGATGAAGTCCCTGTAGGACACGTCATCTGCCCACACTAGATAGCACTGTGAGATTCCCGCACATGCCCAGTTAAACACTTGGACATGCAAACTGGAATTTCATCTATTCATTCATCAGAAAGACGAATGAATAACTAGAAATGTCGGTGTTCGTTTGTTCAGTTTACTACAAGGAGGGAGCTACCGGCACGCAGCTTCCTCCTTGTAATATGTAAAGATAGAAGCGGCAGGGAGCAGTGCTCCCCAACACTTCCTAAGCCCCCCATGTCCTCCCACACTCTATGACCTCCATAATAGCATAAGGGAGATTAAAATCTCCCGAATGCCCCTACTCGCTAAATCGCGAGTAGGGGCATGTCTACTAAACAGTGAGCACCCTGTGTCGGTGGGGCCCCTAAATAACAATGAGGGGGGACACCTACTGTTAGTTATTTTATTCCCCCCTCACTATTTTAGGGTGAGGGGGGTAGGTAGGGGATAGTTTTTTTTATTTGGGTGGGGGGGTGACTAGGGGCTTGGGGACCTCTAGTCACCTTGGAAAGAGGGGTGGGGGAATTTTCCTTTAGGGGCCAGGGGCAAGGACAGTAGGTCCCCCCCTACATTCTTATTTAGGGCCCCCACCCGCCGCTCAGTGGTGGGGGCCGGTGGGGAAGACAGTAGGCCCCCCCCTTATTGTTATTAAGGGCCGCCGCTCACGGGTGGAGGTCGGGGGGGAGGGCAGTAGGTCCCCCCCACATTCTTATTTAGGGCCCCCTCCCACCGCTCAGTCGTGGGGGCCGGTGGGGAAGACAGTAGGTTCCCCCCACTCACATTGTTATTTAGGGCCCCAACCTGCCGCACAGGGATGGGGGCCGGTGGGGGAAGACAGTAGGTCTCCCCCCCACATTCTTATTTATGGCCACCACCCCCCCTCATTATCCTTATTGGCCCCCACCCACCGTTCAGGGGTGGGGGCCCGGGGGGAGGACAATAGGTCCCACCCCCTTATTGTTATTTATGGCCCCCACCCACCGCTCAGGGGTGGGGGCCATGGTGCACAATAGTCCCCCCCCCCATTATCCTTTAGGGTACTAGGGTTATTTTTTTTGTTTTTTTTTTACAGTGAGCAGCCACTGGCTGCTCACAGTTTACTAGACATGCCCCTACTCGCAGTATAGCGAGTAGGGGCAGCATTTACTAATACTAAGTAATCTTTACTACCTTTTAATAGATAGCTCCCTGATAGCGTGGGAATCAGGGAGTTATATTCTAAGCGGCTGCAAGATGCAGCTGCGGCAATGAATAGGATCGGAGTTTCATTCTAATGAAATTCCGATACGAACAAAGTCCCGAATTGCTTTCTAACATGAATGGAGAAACTGTTCTCGTTCTGTTAGGATGCAATTCGGTAGTTTTGCTGTCGTTCTGTCTAAGTGACAGGACATTCGACAATACTGACAGGAAGCATTGCAGGAACAGGGAGGAAATCTAAGGATTGTGGGAAAATTTCTCTGACCACCGGAAACGAAGCACACTTTGCTCCTCCGCTGGTCATAGCTGGTCAGGCGTAGGAAATCTCCATAAGACAAATAGTCCCTACTTTGTCTTAAGTTTTAAAGAAAACTAGAGCAGACAGGAAGAAATGAAGAACAGATCCTGAGAGAGGGAGAGAAGAGAAATCTATTGGGGAAAGCTAAGTTCGGCATGACTGTGCCGCTTTAAGAGGTGATTAAACAGATCTGTGAGTGTAAGAGTTAATGTGGCTAGCATGTGTGAGCATGATAGACAGCATGACTAGGAGGAAGCTGGGCCTTTCGTACAGTTCTACAAAATAGGTTAGTGTTCCAACTAAAAGATATTGGTCTAGATGAAAATGTTTGTTCTTGGGAAGGACATTTGCTTAAAGGGATTCTATAGTGTTAGGAATACAAAGATGGATTTCTAACACTATAGTGCACTCTGGTCACCCCCTCCCTTGCGGCCTCCCACCTCTAAAAAAAAATGTATTTACTCACCCGATTCCAGCACCTCATCCAACAAGGAGGCCTAATGCGCAAGCCTCAATGCTTTTCTATAGGGATTTCACTGATGCTGGATGTCCTCTTGCAGAGCATGAGGGCATCCAGCATCATTTAGGCGACCCTGTCATTTAGGTGAGTCTGGAAAACTCCTGGAAGCACCTCTAGTGGTTGTCTGGTAGGCTGTCTTAATACAGGGACGGGGAACAGGGACAGGGAAAATGCACGAAGACCACTTTAATTAGATGAAGTGGTTTGGGTACCTATAGTGTCCCTTTAAAGGTGTAGTACAGAGAGTTGTCATTGATGGTAAATGTGACGAAATGCCTTTTGTCCCTGGATTGTTAGGTGACAAGCTGTCCTTTGCCCCCGGCTTTTGGAGGAGCCTGATTGCCGGCCTCCTTCCTCATGACTATGGCCCTGGGGTGTATTGCCATTTAAAAAGACTATTTGGGGCTTATTGGCTTCTAAAGACATTTTCTTCCCATTTGAATCCATGGGAAGGTGTGTTTCTTCCCCTCCCCCGCTGACTGCTTTTGTCCCTCCTTGGTTTCTCAATAGCCCTTGCTATGCTTTACCCCGTGGAAAATCTACTCTGTTCATGGGATCTGAGCGCTGTTCACCTAGATTGGGCGCTCAGATCCGAGCTATCTGGGGATAGGTTAAATGTGGGGGTTCTGTGTAATAAAATAAGAATTATGTATTTTTATGTACTTTTACGTATTTTGCTGTTAGTGTTAAATGTAGATATTTTCTGTACCTGGAGATAATTGAGTTTACTGCAGTGCCTTAAGCCAATTAGCTCCAGGATGGAGAGGAGGGATTTCATTGTGTATGTGAAAGTGTTATCATGTTAATTATGTTAATGTTCCCACTGGTTTGTGTCCCTTTTGTCACAGTTTACCACCAGGTCCAGGGGGTGTGCCTCTGACCTGAAAACTTGTATATAAGGAGTAATAAACGCTCATTGGAGTCAGATCATCTTGTACCTTCATGAAGTTTCGGCTCATGTTTGGGGGATTGGAGAAACTACACTCTGGGGATTGCTATAATCACTATACTCCCCAGGGTATAATCACTAAGCTCTGCTAAGAGCTTGTTCCTGTTCCTGCTCTCTGGAATTGGGAGAGAGGTCGACCTGCTGGAAGCTGGACCCTGGTCCTGGGTCCAGAGTGGGTGGAGACGGCGAGACCCCAACCAAGCTGCGGCGGTTCGTGGGGTCTGCAGTGGTTATGGTGTCAGGCAGAGTGCTTGGAGTCCTCGGAAAGCACTAGGAGCATCCGTCGGCGGAAGGTACCCGGTCGGGGTGCCAGCGGTTCCGTTACAGTAAATTTTCAAGCTGGACACAAGTGGTAAGTGGTGTCTGTTCTGGGACCGCTTCTATGCAACAGATTTACAAATGACCTTAAAATAGGCATTGAGAGCTGTGTTTCAATGTTTGAAGATGACATAAAACTTTGTAAAGGAATACAATGTGAGCAGGAAATTGCTTTGCTGCAGAGAGATTTAGATAGATTAGGGGACTGGCCAAAGTTATGCACTTCGAGGTAAAGAATGCACAAGCAACTTACACTCTAAATGGCAGTGAATTAGGGATTATAAACACACAAAAAGGATTTGGATATTGTTATAGACAACAAACTAGGTAACAATGTGCAATGTCAATTGGCAGTTGCTAAGGTCTGTAAGGTATTATCATGTATAAATCGGGGCATTAATTCTCGGTCTCAAAATATCCTTTTGCCTCTTTATAAATAACTGGTAAGACCACACCTTGAATATGCTGTGGATTTTTTGGCATCTGAGCTAAAGAAGAATATTATATATTATATATTACAAATATATTCACGCGTTTAGACTGGAAGAAAAAAGATTTTGTCTAAGGAAAATAATTTTTTTTTTTACTGTAAGAACAATAAGGATGTGGAATTCTCTGCCTGAAGAAGTGGTTTTATTAGAGTCCATACAGATGTTCAAACAGCAACTAGATGCATACTTGCAAAAACAGAATATTCAAGGATATAATTTTTCAATGTAGGGTAATAATAGCTTCTTGATCCAAGGATAAATCTGGAAAATTGGAAGTGCTTCAAACTGATGGGGAGCAGGGGGTTGCCTTCTTTTGGATCAACAGCAAAAAACAAATGTGAGGAAGGCTGAACTTGGTGGACGCAAGTCTCTTTTCAGCTATGTAACTATGTAACTATTATGGCACTACAAAAAGTGCAGAGGCAGGCTATAAAATAAATAAAAGGAATAAAGCATTTTAGTTAACAAATTTAAATCTCTTTAGTTTGGAAAAAATAGCGCATCAGAGGATATGATAGCTTTATCCAACTACAGTTGTGCTCTAAAGTTTGAATACCCTTGTAGAATTGTTCATATATGTACCATGTTTAAAGAAACCATGAGTGAGCAGGCAAAACACATTTCTTTTAATTCTTATGGGATTCATATTCACTTGTAGGTTAACAGAATGGCACAGTCATAAAACAAAACATGTCAACAAAGAAAAAAATGAAATTACATCTTTTTAAAAGTCTGCATACCCTTAGTTCTTAATACTGTGTATTGCCCCCTTCAGCATCAATTACAATATGTCTTTTGTAATAGTTGTCTATGAGGCCTCTAATTCTTGCAGGTGTATAGCTGCCAATTCGTCTTGGCAAAATGCAGACTTCAGGTCATGCAAAGCCTTTGTTCGTCTTGCATGAACCGCACGTTTGAGATTTCCCCAGAGTGGCTCGATGATATCAAGGTCAGGAGACTGTGAAGGTCAGGAGACTGTGATGGCCACTCCAGAACCTTCACCTATTTCTGCTGTAACCACTCAAGGGTCAACTTGGCCTTGTGCTTAGGGTCAGTGTCATGCAGAAAAATGCAAATTGTCTGTCATTATTTTCTGATAACATGTTGCATTCATTTTGACAACAATTTTGCACATGATTCCCCGTGCATTTAGAGCTCACACAATCCCAAAACATCAGTGAGCCACAACCATTCCTTCATTATAGGTCTTGTTGACCCCTGTCCAAACATTGACTATAAAGCTCTATTATGTCTCTATTTGTCTTGTTATTCCAAATTACAGTGTGCCAGAAGCTGTGAGGCGTGTCAAGGCTGTGTCATGCATATTGTAACCAGCTTTTTTGAGGCATTGGTGCAGGAAAGGCTTTTTTTCTGGCAACTCAACCATTCAGCTCATTTTAATTCAAGCGACGTCGTATTGTGCTCCTTAAAACAACAGGTCAGCCTGTATTTCCCCTGTGGGATTTTCTTTGTATACCAAACAATTCTTACGGTAGTTGTGGCTGAAATCTTTCTGGGTCTATCTGACCTTGGCTTGGTATCAAGAGATCCCCAAATTTTCCACTTCTTAATAAATGATTGAACAGTACTGACTGGCATTTTCAAGGCTTTTGATATATTTTACTATCCTTTTCCATCTTTATTAAGTTCCATTATCTTGTTATGTAGGTCTTTTGGCAGTTCTTTTCTGCTGAATGGAGAGTACAAGCGCTTATTTACGTAATTTTATATCCTAGTATATACCAATATTTCCATGAGCTGCTATATCACCGTGCTTATCTTTCTATCAGAAATTGTGGAGAGAAGTATCAGGTGAAGCGCTCTAATTCCCTATAGTAGATATGTAGGTGTATAAAGGAAATATTTATGATATACCTTTAAGGGATCGTATACTTTAATATGATGTCCCAATACTTCCAAATAAACCTTAAATACAAAACACAAATATACAGAACATAGTGTAACCTGTATATAAATATATAGTAAATGAAGAAATAAAAATTTCTGACTCACACTTTTCTGAGCTAAAACACTAGCTCAGGTATATGCACCTTAGGGTCCGTTAACGTGACCCTCACCCTCCTTTGGATCTGAATTTCTCCAGGGGTTATATCCTAGATGGTAGGCATAGGAGGGAATAAAATATATAGCGTAGTACAGTCGATATATTGGGTATAAATTATGAGGTAGCACTTATGTACTCACAAACCCAGAGCCAGTCAGTCGGCTCACTTCATAAGACGTATGTGGTTAAGGACCACATTCCTTCTTTGTTATAGCAGGTGGAAATAAAAGCCGTAAGTGTAAAATATAATTTATTATAAATAAAATATATATATATATATATGTTAACAGTATAGTATAAAAAATATATCAATAAAAATAACACTTATTCAGCTATAGTCCAATAGGTAGTTCCATATGCTCACTGTTGCTCCAGGACGCGTTTCACCAATAGGCTTCCTCAGCTGGAAAAATTCTGTGTGATCTCTATGGACTCCTTCCTGCTTTAAATACCCTGTTGATTGTAGTATCTCCATGTTTAGGCTCTTGATTTTCGCAGGCAATCTCCATGGGAACTGAGATGCCCTGCGGTTCAAGCCTCCTGTTTGTCTATTTACTTCCGTGTATGCGTACTTCCGGTTTCGGCACTTTCGGCATTCTGCGTTCCATGGTGCGTTCCACAGTGCGTTCCATAATGTATTACAGCCTCTCTAAGTCCTTTGTTTGAGTGGTGGATTACTCACAACACACATTATAGATAAATAAATATAATCATATTAAATTACTTCAGTTTTATAAGAAAGAGTATAAGCATCAAAACTATTCAAAACTATTTAAAACTATACATACATATTCAATTTGTGCAGCAAAAAAAGTAGTATTAAATACTTATTAAAATACAATAGTAGATCATTCTACAGTCTCTTTTTGGAGGAGGGATAATTACAATCTAAAAGGTGAGAGAAAAAAATATATATTACAATGTATAAAAGAGAATTCCGAAGTGGAAAAGTGGACCCCACCAATAAAAGTCCTATAAAGTAAGGATAAACCTTATCTAAAATATAAAAAAATATAACCAGGACACTTGTATATAAAAAGAAGGGTCTGTAAGGGGGTACATAAAAAACTCTATTAAAACTATATTGTAAGAAAATAAAAAAGAGAATAAAAAAGAAAGGAGGGGGGGAAGGGAGAAGATGTAAATGATCAATTAGCTTAGGAAATGGCACATTTCGAAGTCTGAATTTAATCCGTTAGGAATCAGACTACTTTTTAATCCAAGGAGATATCTGACTGCCATTCTGGGGTCAAGAATGATTTTTCTTCTAAATTTAAAGCACTTCAATCTGGGTTGTTAGTCTTCTTTTGTATCAACAGAAAAAACAAATCTAAGAAAGGCGGAACTTGATAGACGCATGTCTCTCTTCAGCTATGTAACTATGTAAATCTTTTTAGCAAATTTGGGCTAATTTCTTAAACTGTACTAGTTAGCAAATTAGTAACTTGCAGCTCAGGATTATTCTTTCCCAGTTTTCAATTTAGTAACATTAAACTATTGGTGTAAAAATCAGATACATGTGCACTAGTGCACCTTAAAGAGTTACTCCAAACACAGTGATTTGAAGTGTTCATGGTGCCTGGATTTATTATGTGCAACATTTTGCTGAGAAATGCTGAAGATACCAACTTTAACCCCTTGGCTGCTGGATGTATAACTCCATCTCCAGCAGTGTCATGGGACACATAGTAAACAGGTTTGCCCTAGAAACGGCTAGGGTACTTCTATCATCATAACCCTTGGTTATAATGGTTGTAGTAACCCTTTAAATATTGTTTAGTCCTAACATTCTCCTTAGAAAATGTAGAGCTACAATTCTCTTTTGATGTATTATTTCACAAGTTAGGCATTAAATACACTTGGCTATATTGTTGCAAATGTAACATATCAAACTGTATTAACCTGCATTGTAAAATATACTGGTGATGATTGATAGTTGGGTAACAAATGAATAACTAATACAACCCAAAGTACCAACATTGTGTTTCGTTCTGCGGGAAATGCTGTAAGGAAAGTGGCCTTGTTATAAAATAGAGAATATTAAAGCAATGCATTTTCCAGCATAGAGGTATTTTTTGCCATAAGGTGAATTGCATTGAAAGCAGAACACAAAATCTACAGCACAGGTTTGCCACAACAACTTGTTGATATCTAGATCTATCCATCTGATAGGTGTGAACTCTCTATACAGGTTCTTAGTAGAAGAGAGATTCCTATAACTGCATGATGAATCCTGTTTACATCATGTTCAAATGTTGTGATTAATGATTCATTACTAGTTTATAATTACTAAGAAGAACTGTTTTAGAATTTTTTTTCTTGTCCAGTCATATATTTTTTTATATGCATGTTGATTTTAGTTTGGCAGGATAAATTAAAAACAAATATGTTGCATGAAAATTAAATACACGGTTTGCTTTAATGGTATGAACAGTAATTGTTTGGGTTATTTACTAAAGTGGAATTCAAAGTGAATACAAAGTGAATTTTAAATGTAAGGCCAGAGTAGATGAACTGAAAGTATAGATTACTTTTTTCCATTTTGGCTATTTTGACCTTAAATTTGACATTTTTTAATTCACCCTGAATTTTCACTTTTGTGAATAACCCTGAAGAGGGCCCACTGATGATGGCTCTCTGGACATGGACTATCCAGTACTTACCACTCTGAAAGATCTACGGACTCGACCTAAAAGTGACAAACCTGTCACCAAGGTGGATATCTAAAGCAGTCACTGCCAGAATCCAAACTAACTTCTGTCATGTGTGAAATCTTCTTTATTGTTGTAACCTTGCCTCAATAAAACATTGATTGACAAAACAAAAAATATAATAACCTTATTTAAAAGAGACAGTCCTAATTTGGACTCAAATCTCTCTTTCCTATGTTAATGTTCCTCTTTCTATGAATTGCATATTGTTGAGGTCTCCTAAAGGGTTATTTACAAAAGTGATTAAAAAGTGATTTAAAATCAAATGAATTTAAAGTGAATTCCATAATTTGGGCCAGATTAGTCAAACTAAATGAATTGCTCAATTAGAGAATTTTTCCACATGGGATATTATGATATTATGACCATGGTGGATATTTGAAATTCACTTTGAATTCACCTTGAATTCTCACTTTAGTAAATATCACTCCAAGTGTATAACAGAGTTCCACAGCAATAATACTCAAAGTCATGTGTCCTTAAAATGTGATTAAAGTGTTTAGAAATCCGTCTGTGTAAATAACATACATTGCTATGTTTCTAAATTCCATTTCCATTCCAGTTGTATAACTTGTTATCAGTAAGTCACCTAAAATTCCTCAGAACAGCCTCTCCCTGGCCATACTTACACCCCTAAAATACTCACACCCCTAAAATTAAAGTGTTCCTCTTTTGTTTATTTGAAATGTTGGGAGTTATAAATATGTGCTTGATGAACAGTGATATAATGAAATTTCTTAGTGGCCTATGTATTTTTGAGTTTTATGGGAATACGACTAGGAAAGATTTGGGCCAACATGATAACAATTCACTGTGCACAGAATATCTAGAAGAGCCTTCTAACACTCCAGCTTTAGAGCGCCACTGTCATTTCTTTGTATAAAAAGTCATAATTACGGTGTTGAATTTCACTAAAACTTCAGTGCAATCAATCAAATGACATAGCAGGGATTACTTTTTACATATGATTTTTGGTATCTACATAGTATGTCTACTGTATATCTCTCCTTTCCCTCAGATGTCACATTCAAAATGGACATGTCATCTTGGTATACGGGAAGGGGATAAGGGGTGTACAAGAAAAAGTCAAAGATCTCAAAAGAGACAGTGCCATTTAAAGTTCCAAATAGTTTAAGGGATTTTCTCTGGGTTGATTACAAGGGGAACTTTCTTAAAGAAGTATCTTATAGTGCTCTTAATTCACATTAGCTTAGTTTAAAGTTTCAACATTCATTGCAGAGTCTAAAGTTGACCTGGGCTGAAGTCCAGTTTAGTAGATTTATTCCTTTGATAATTAGTGGATTTAATCCTCACTAGCCTGACCGCTAGGTACACATATTGGGAAATATAAGTCACATACATATGAAATCGTACATCCATTAGGTGGAGCATTAAGGCTGAAAATTTAACATTTTATTTATTTATAAAATATTTTACAAGGAAGGATACATTGAGATTTAACTCATTTTCAAGTATGCCCTGGGCCCTCAAACATTGTATTGTTACAATAGGGCACATTATAATATAAAAATATATATATATATACATATGCATACACACATATATAGATTTACACATAACAGGAAATAAATATAGTCAAACATGACAGGTGCATTCTGTATTTTTCTTGTTCATTATCCACAATCCATTATCATTATCATTATTACCCACAATCCATTATCCACATTTTAGTGAAAATGATCATTTATTTTCTTTCATTGAAAAATGAGAGTTAAGGAGAAAAAAAATGCTACATGGTATGGACTATCCCCCACAATGTTGATAAACATGATACAATTTTAAGTACTTTGCAACTGATCATTTTGGGAAGCACGTTTCATTTAAATTTTTTGAGCAACGTGACTGGCAAGCCATTCAAGTCTGCAAGGTAATTTTTTAATTGAGGACCTTGCAGTCTACTAGTTAACTTGCAAACATAGGTGTCTGCTGCTTATTCCCATTTATCATATACATATATCATATGGAAGGCAGACTTGTCCATACTAGACTATTACACAACCTCCCTTACACAGTTGGTTTGAAGTAGGTAATTGCATAAAATTATATTTATTTAGCACATTTTCCATTTCCTTGTACAATCATTTCTACATTGACTTAGTATGCATTATTATTTAAAATTAAATATTTACCAGGTTATTTCATGAGATCAACATATATTTAAAGTGGTTAATGCATTATCTAAAATGCATCAGTGCTTGTGTAATCAGTAACCAAATATTTTGAACTTCATTCAGAGTGTGTATTTCTTCCCACAGCTGGATCTGTCATTTTACCCATTTGTCTCAATATGAAAACGGTTTCAGAAGAAAATAAATTGCAGGTAAACAATTTTATCTATTGCAACTTAATCACAATCATATTGAAAATTGCATTAATCACAATCATATTAAAATTGCATTCAATTATTATATTTGTCAGAGTGATGCTAACAGAAAATGACTCTAAAATTTAATTATTCTACTAGTAAAAAATTAGAAGTAGTTGCAACAAACTCCATTGTTAAGGGCTCTGGTGAAATATTGGCAGTAACTGTTTATTATAAAGCCATAAAATACAGTTTGATCATTGCAGGCTGCGGCAATGCAATATAAATGACTGAAATGTGGTTGTCAAATTAATTTTATTTTTTCACTGGAATCCCAAGTCCTGGAATATCTGTTGGCAGTGCTTCATTAAGTATCTGAACTTTGTTCAACTGTATTAAGCGTGTTTAAATTGCCTCTGGGGGATCATTGAGGCTCAGTTTTTTTAGAGCTGTATTACTGATTGCTGAAGGGACCTTGTGATTTTGCTAGTTGCTTTCAATATACAGTTAATGTCAAAATGTCAACATTTAATTTAAGAAGTGTGAATGTTATCAACATTTAAATATTTGTAATGTCTGTAATTAAACTAATACCTTTCAACCCACTCAAAAGAACAAGTACCACAGGGAAACTTTGGAATAAAAGTTTGACAATTCCTTCTTTGCTATCAAGGTCATGTCTGAATGCAACATTGATACACATGAACCTCAGGTGTTTCTTGCTGGTAAATGTGACTCAATACAGAAGAACTTGCCAACTAGGTACAATTCTTTAGAACTCTAAACCTAATTTAAGTAATGAGTTGCTCTAAATAAAGTTTACACTGTCTAAGCTAATCTCTTACCGTCACTCATCATTGACTTTAGTAAACACCTAAATGTAAACTTTTCATATGTAACATATTTTTTCACTGTGTAGATACATTACTGATTTACTACATCAGGGTTTCCCAATTAATTTTTCCTGTGGAACCGTTGACATAGTGTATCGACATCGTGGCCCCCCCACCTCACTGGCACATAGTGGCACATAGATACTCACACTGACACAGATACACACACAATGTGTATCTATCTGTTTGTATGTATCTGTGTGTCAAAGTGTGGTGTGTATCTATGTGTCAAAGTGTGTGTATCTGTGTTTGTATGTGCCGGTGTGTGCTAAGGTGTGTATATCTGTGTTTGTATGTGTGTGTGTCTCCGTGTCAGTGTGTATGTGCGTGTATGTCTCTTGTCAGTGTGTATCTGTGTGTGTGTGTGTATGTGTGTAAGTATCTGACACACAGATACACACACATTGGCACATAGTGGCACACCTTGACACACAGACACACACACCTTGACACACAGATACACACACATCTTGACTCACAACTACACACATACTCAGATATACACATTGATATATACACACTGCCGCACTCAGATACACACATACTGACATGTACACATACACACACATGAGCACATACAAACACACTGATATACACTGGCACATACACGCACACACATACTGACATACACACACTCAGATACAGACATTGACACATACACAAACTGTGACACACAGATGCCCACACTGACACACTGACACACTCAGACACACATACTCTTTAACAGACACACATACACTCTCACTGACAAACACACATACTCTTTTACAGACACACATACAAACACATATACACTCTCACTGACAAGCACATATACATTCTCACTGACAAACACATACACACACACTCATTGACAAGCACACTTACACTCTCACTGACAAACACACACATACTCTTGAACAAACACATACAATTTTTGAAATTTTACTCCACCCAATTTTACTCCACCCAGCCCCCCTACCATTGGGAATGCTGGCATGAAGTCTATATTACCCTGTGGTACAGTGGGACTGCTGGGCTGAGCGTGCAGTCTCTGAGGTCCAGTGGGGTTGCTGAGCGGCTAGCCTGCGTAGGCGAGGGAGCAGTGATCTCCCTGCTCAACTCCCTTGCGCACCTCTTACTGATGCCGGAGCCAGAGTGACATAATATTCCGGCTCCGGCATCACTGCTGTGCACACAAGGGAGCTGAGCAGGGATATAACTGCCCATTGCTCCCTCGCTGTGGCTATTTTGCTTTTAGACATTTTGGTGGAACCCCTATTGTGTTAATTGGGAAATGCTGTACTAGATTATCAACAAAATTAGTTTTTCATAATGGTTATTATAACATATACCTATGTAATTAATATATATATATATATAATATAATCATGTCATACAGAATGAAGATCCATATTTAAGTGTACTACAGAATGAAGATCCCCACAATGTAGAAACAATGGATATGAAGAATGAGAAAACTGACATACTATATAAGATTGAAGATACTCCACCATGGTATCTTTGCAGGTAATATATAATATATTATTACAGGTAATATATATTATATATGTTTGATGAACGAAAAAACACAGACAAAAATCTCTAACATTATAGTAATATATTATTTCCTCTTCTCCTCTTCTCTCAGAATTTGTTCTTCTTCTTCTTCATATCTGATCTAGTTTTCTTTAAACCATAAGACAAAGTAGGGTCTACTTTGTATTATGAAATATTCCCACACCTGATATTCTCTGACACAAAGAGGAGCTTAAGTAGGCTCCATTTCCTGTGTCAAGGAGGAGGGTTAGTACTGTTGGAAAACTCTCTGACACAGGAAATGGAGCTGACAAAAGCTCCACCTTGAGTCTGAGAATATTAAGTGTAGAAAAAATATAGAAGGAAAAATAGTCTGTCTGTCTGCATGTAAGTGTGTGTGTGACTGTCTGCCTGTAACTGTGTGTGTGACTGTCTGCTTGCTACTGTGTGTGTGTGTGTGTGTGTCTGTCTGTAACTGTGTGCAGTGGTGTATACTGGTTTTGTGCTGCCCTAGCCATGACAAAACTCACGTTAATTCCGGCCATTCTAAGGCCCGGTAAAATGTTGTTACTGTTTGTACTTGTTATGTGTTTTACTTAATTCTGCGTGTTGGGCAACTGGTTTGTCCTGGCATTACGACAGGGCCATGGACCCTGCAGAGTTAAGTCAACACATGTTGGCTTGCGAAAGAAGGCTGGAAGATAATGATCACCTTATGGATCAATTCGCCCAGGCCTTTCAGACATTGTTGGCCCATACTGCTCACCTCCAACCGGAGGACGTGACCTCCTCCAACCCCTCCTGTTGCTGTTGTACCCATAGTATTCAAGGCTCCATCTATATCCCTCTCACCACCCCTTCATTTCGGTGGTAATGCCGTGGTTTTCTTAACCAAATCGAGTATCACTTTGAGGCCTCCCCCAGCTCCTTTCCTTCCGATAGATCCAAGATTGGTTATCTGATGAAGTAATTGATAGGGAACCTGGTCAAATCCTTTTTGGGAGAGCAACAAGTCTATCGCATATGATTATTCAGAATTCCTAGCTGAGTTCAAGCTAACTTTTGAGCCATTAGGTAAAGAAAAGGATGCAGAAAAAGCCCTCATGTGCATAAGACAAGATAATCGCTCTGTTACTGATTATGCAATTGAGTTCCGTACCCTCGCCTCAGAGGTGGATTGTACAAACTTGGCCTCGTCACCGCTTTTGCTGAAGGCCTGTCCGATACCATTCTAGATGAGGTTGCTGCCAGAGACATGCCAGAAAAACCTAACGAGTATATAACTTATATGATACAGATAGATAACAGGTTAAGAGAAAGGGAAAGGATCAGAAACAAACCAAGAATAAATAGCACTTTCCTTGCTCCTCGCTTCTCCAACCCTTTTGTTCCAAAAAACCCTATTGTAGCTACTGAACCTGAACCTATGCAGTTGGGAGTTATGAGGCTATCTGAAGCAGAGAGACAATTAAGGAGGAGAGAGGGTCTGTGTATGTATTGGGGCAAGAAGGGACATATGAGGGTAAATTGCCGATTCGTCCAGAAAACTCTCACACCTAAGTACCATTCGGGGACCGGCCTTAGGTGTTATGTATATGTCCCCCACTATGCCTCTTTCAAGAAATCTCCTTTCTGTTACCATTCTGTTACACAACCTTGAAACCTTGAGATCAATTGCAAAGCCCTATAAGACTCAGGAGTAGCAGAAAGCTTTACTGATGCTTAATTTGTGTCCACACTCAAAATACCTTTTAGGGAGAGGTCAACAACTTTGGCCATTGAGGCCATAGATGGTACATCTCTTAAGAATCCGCTTACTACACATGAGACCTTGCCTATTTCATTGCAAGTAGGGGCCTCGCATAAGGAACAAATCCCTTTTCAAGTTATCTCCTCACCCTCTTGTCCCATTGTACTTGGTTTTCTATGGCTAATCAAACATGATCCACGTATAGATTGGAGGAAAGGGGAGATACTAAAGTGGGGCGATGGATGCTGTAACAGATGTTTCAAACCTATAACTAAAGAATTGGGTACAATCAATGTTCCTACTACCTCTCCATTGTCCACTACAGTTCCTTCCCAATATGGGGAGGTAATGGATATGTTTAAAAGTACATGCCAATACACTTCCACCATATAGATCTTATGATTGTCCGATAAATCTATTACCAGGCACTATACCCCCGAAAGGGAGAGATTATACCCTGTCTACTCTGGAAAGTAAAATCATTAAGGAATATATACAGGATGCGTTAACTAAAGGTCATATACGCAGATACTCTTCCCCAGCAGGAGCAGGGTTTTTCTTTGTTTCTAAAAAATAGGGTGATCTGCGGCCTTGCATTGATTACAGGGCGCTTAATAAAATCACCATAAGAAACTCTTACCCTATACCACTTAGTTCAGAACTTTTTGACAGGTTAAAAGGGGCTAAGATATTTACTAAACTAGATTTAAGGAGCACTTACAATCTAGTTAGAATCAAGAAAGGACATGAATGGAAAGCAGTGTTTAATACCCATAATAGGCATTACGAATAATAATGCCCCCGCTGTTTTCCAGGATCTTATGAATGATGTATTGAGAGATTTAATTTATTCCTTCGTGTTAGTATATCTAGATGATATACTGATATACTCACCTGAGATAGACATTCACCATGCACAAGTGAAACTAGTTCTACAGACCTTACTCAAGAATGGTCTGTATTGTAAACTAGAAAAACGTATATTTGATCAGAAAGAGGTACAATTTCTTGGCTATATATCTGCCTCAGGATTCAAGATGGATCCCAAGAAACTAGAGTTAGTGTTGCAATGGCCTCTACCTCATGGTTTGATGGCTCTTTAAAGGTTCATCCGGTTTTCCAATTATTGTAGATTTATTAAAAACATTTCTACGATAATAGCCCCAATCACCAATTTGACACGTAAGACGGTTAAAGGTACATTATGACCAAGAGAAGCCATTAATGCCTTGAACAACGCTTCCCAGGATAATTGGATTGACCTCTTGCCCTGGGCGGAATTTGCTACGCATGACTCTTCCAAACGTAGTCCTTTTTATGTTGTATGTGGTCTCAAACCCTACCATATTACCTTCTGTGTTCTCTGATACAGATATCTCCACTCTGGATGAGCATCTAACCTCTATGAGGAAAACATGGGAACTAGTTCATTCTTCCTTAGCCGGTGCTGTGTCCCATTTTAAGCAGCATGCTGATAAGAGATGTAGTGCTGCTCTTTCTTATCAAGTAGGGGACAAGGTTTGGCTGTCCATTAGACACATTTTACAGGGGGCGGCAAAAAACATGTCAGTTAGCCGTCAGGCGCGCGTGCGCGCTCTCCGGCGGGCGACCGGTGAGGGAGCACTTCCTCTGAGCCGTCTGCTCAGCTCACTCGCGCGCCGCAGAGTGAGGCTGGGAGCCGGAGTATGACGTCATATTCCGGCTCCCAGCCTCACTCTGCGGCGCGCGAGGGAGCTGAGCAGACCGCTCAGAGGAAGTGCTCCCTCACCGGCCACCCACCAGCGCCCCCCGACCACCCAGCAGCCACTGGACCCCAGGGAGAAAGAGAACCCCCCCAGCATTCCCAAAGGTAAGGAGGCTGGGGGGTTCAATAAAAAAATTTGTTAATGTGAGTGTGTGTGTATGTCTGTTTGTTTGTATGTCTGTTAGTATGTGTGTCTGTTAGTGTGTGTGTGATTGTTAGTGTGTGTGTGTGTTTGTCTGTTAGTGTGTGTGTGTGTGTGTGTGTGTTTGTGTCTGTTAGTGACTGAATGTGTCTGCTAGTGAGTGTGAGTGTGTCTGTTAATGTGTGTGTGTGTGTGTCTGACTGTGTGTGTATGTTAATATGTGTGTGTCTGTTAGTGACTGAGTGTGTCTGTTAATGTGTGTGTGTGTGTGTGTGTCTGTGTCTGACCGTGTGTGTGTCTGATTGTGTGTGTGTCTGACTGTGTGTGTGTCTGACTGTGTGTGTGTCTGCCTGTGAGTGTGTCTGTTAGTGAGTGTGTGTGTGCGTGTGTCTGCTAGTGTGTGTCTGGTAGTGAGTGTCTGTTAGTGTGTGTGTGTCTGACTGTGTGTTAGTGTGTGTGTGTGTGTCTGCTAGTGTAAGTGTGTTTGCCTGTGAGTGTGTGTGTCTGTTAGTGAGTGTGTGTCTGCTAGTGTGCATCTGCTAGTGAGTGAGTGTGTGTTAGTGTGTGTCTGTGTGTCTGTTAGTGAGTGTGTTTGTCTGTTAGTGAGTGTGTCTGTTAATGAGTGTGTGTTTGTCTGTTAGTGAGTGTGTCTGTTAATGAGTGTGTGTTTGTCTGTTAGTGAGTGTGTGTTTAAGTTAGCTAGTGTATGCGTATCTGTCAGTGAATGTGTGTGTGTGTGTGTGTATTTAGAAGGTGGGGGGAAGGGTTGGGTGGGGGTGGTGCAGGGGCGGGGGGGTGCCTGTGTTTTGTCCTGCCTAGGGCAGCACAAAACCAGGATACACCACTGGTGCCCTGTCGTGGTTTCCGTCCTGTTGCTTATCCGAAAGCGCGTTCCTGATTCTGATTATTGTTTTTTGATCTTGGCTTTGACTTGACTTCCCATATTTCTGGTATCCCTGACCTTTTGGCTTTCTTCTTTCCTTATTTGTTCCTTTCTGTATTCCTGACCTCGGCTCGTGACTGTTTTTTCTTTTATGTTAATTCCAGCCATTCTAAGGCCCTCTAATATGTTGTTACATGTTTTACTTAATTCTGCATGTTGGGCCACTGGTTTGTCCTGACACCAAATTAGTCTGGTTGTCTGCATGTAACTGTGCGTGTGTATGTCTGTCTGTCTGTCTGCCTGTACCTGTGTCTGTTTGCCGGTGACTGTATGTGTGTGTGCCTGTCTGTCTGCTACTGTGTGTGTGTGTGTATATTAATTAAGAAAGGAGCACAACCATAGATCTATACACAAAAATATCTTTATTGAATGGGTCCACAATAGTTGGATATATCTTTAAATATATTCAGCAGAACAAGAAATTATCATATTAGTGATACAAGATAACAGCAAACTGTGTTTGTGACTGTCTGCGTGTAACTGTGTGTGTGTGTGTGTGTGTGTGCGCGCCTCTCTGCCTGTAACTGTGTGTGTCACAGTCTGTAACTGTGTGACTGTCTGTCTGTAAGTGTGTGTGTGTTACTGTCTGCCTGTAACTATGTGTGAGTGTGTATATGTGACTGTCTACCTGTGACTGTGTGCGTCTGACTGCTTGCTATTGTTTGTGCGTGTCTGTCTGTAACTGTGTGTGATACAGTCTGTATCTGTGTGTGACTGTCTGCCTGTAACTGTGTGTGTATGTGTGTGTGTGTGTGTGAGACTGTCTGTACCTGTGTCTGTTTGCCTGTGACTGTGTGTGTCTGTCTGAATGCAACTGTGTGTTTGTGTGCCTGGAACTGTGTGTGAAACAGTTTGTAACTGTGTGCGTATCTGTTTGCCTGTAACTGTGTGTCTGTCTGACTGCCTGTAACTCTGTGTGTGTGTGTGTGTGTGTCTTTCTGCCTGTAACTGTTGGTGTGACTGCCTGCTTGTAACTGTGTGTGATACATTCTCTAACTGTGTGTGAATGTCTGCGTGTAAGTGTGTGTTTGTGTGTGTGTGACTGTCTGCCTGTACCTGTGTATGTCTGTCTGTCTGCTACTGTGTGTGTGTGTGCCTGTAACTGTGTGTGTGGCTGTATGTATGTGACTGTCTGAATGTACTTGTGTGTGTATCTGTCTGCCTGTAACTGTGCATGTGACAGTCTGTAACTGTGTGTGTGTGTGTATGTGTGTGTGTGTGCAACATTATGTAACTGTGTGTGTGTGTGCCTAACTGTGTGTGACTGTCTGCATGTGACTGTATGTGTGGTTGTATGTATGTGACTCTCCATGTGTGTGCATGTGTGTGTGTGTGTTTTTTTCACTGTCTGCAATATAATTGAGAAGGTAGACACACTAATTAAATAACATAAAGATATATCAGTAGAAACAAAATATCTAAACCGTGTGCTCACTCAAAGGTCCTATTCCCCCAAGGACCTAATCAGTCTATAGATAATACGAAATGAGGAGCACAGCCATAGAGATAAAAAAAATTACTTTATCAGTTGGTTCCAGTACAGTAGGTATCTCAAGTGTATACCAAACAACATTAGCAATAATGTCAAAACAGTGCTCAATGCAAAAAAAGCATTCAAGGTATACAATAATCACATGTATTCATGGAAAATGACCAAAAAAGTACATTAATGCTACTTGCAGTATAGAGTCATAATGAACAAGCTACCCAACATAAAAATACATACCAAAAAAAGAAGGGGAAAAAATTGTCAAAAGTGAAAATAGGGAGAAAGTAAAAATAGCCCCTAACATTTTGGCTGGAGCATGCCTTTATCAAGGGATCATGCTTCCTTGATGTGTGGTTTTATGTATGTCCTAACCTCAACATCTGAGGAAAGGGATTTAGGGGTGATTATTTCTGATGACTTAAAGGTGACTTAGATGTAATAGAGCAGCAGGAAATGCTAGCAGAATGCTTGGTTGTATAGGGAGAGGTATTAGCAGTAGAAAGAGGGAAGTGCTCATGCCATTGTACAGAACACTGGTGAGACCTCACTTGGAGTATTGTACGCAGTACTGGAGACTGTATCTTCAGAAGGGCTACTAAACTGGTTCATCGATTGCAGGATAAATTTACCAGGAAAGGTTAAAGGATCTTAACATGTATAGCTTGGAGGGAAGACGAGACAGGCAGGATATGATAGAAACATTTAAATACATAAAGGGAATCAACACAGTAAAGGAGGAGACTATATTTAAAAGAAGAAAAACTACCACAACAAGAGGACATAGTCTTAAATTAGAGGGACAAAGGTTTAAAAATAATATCAGGAAGTATTACTTTACTGAGAGGGTAGTGGATGCATGTAATGGCCTTCCAGCTGAAGTGGTAGAGGTTAACACAGTAAAGGAGTTTAAGCATGCGTGGGATATCCTAACTATAAGATAAGGCCAGGGACTAATGAAAGTATTTAGAAAAGTGGGCAGACTAGATGGGCTGAATGGTTCTTATCTGCTGTCACATTCTATGTGTCTATGTCTATGTTTCTATGTGAATGTCTGCCTGTGTCTGTGTGTGTTTGTCACGGTCTGTCTGTAACTGTGTCTGTGACAATCTGTAACTGAGTGTGTGTGTGTGACTGTCTGCCTATACCTGTGTGTATTTGTCACTGTTTGCTCTGCCTTTAACTGTGTGCATTTACACATGGGCATACATGCATATTTTTATTTGAATTTACTATCCATCACACACAGCCAAAAAGAACAGCACAAATGTCACATTACTCTATGTTTTATAGTTGGGGAGCTCTGTGATACACTAATAGACGCATTACTGGGAGTTTATTGTTGTGGAGCTCTGTGACATTCATACACTGCACATTTTTTGTTGGAGTTCTGTGATAAACTGGTACAAAACACATAGTACTGTGAGAATTTTTTGTTGCTATGGAGCTCAGTGATAAATGGATAAACAGTGCTTTACAATGGGTTTTTATTCCAAGGTGGTCAAGGTAAATGAGAAAAATCCAGAGCTCCAAAGCAAGACAACTCGCAGAATTATGTGACATACTTAGTCTGCCCCTCTGAGGAGGCAGTCTGGTACCTTGGGCTTCCACTTATGTTGGCTGCAGACCACAGGTAGCTGTCTTACGAGCTTGTGCCAATCAGAGCGTTGACGCAGATTATCACAGGAAAGCTCGAGAGACAATTACCCATGTTCTGCACCTGGTGTTGGGGTAGACCAGATTCCCAGCACAATGGACTTCCAGAGATCAGCATGCCCATCTACTAACTATATAACAACAGGGAAGAGCAAATGAATATTTGTTTTAAAATAATTAATAAATAATTTTGTCATATTTTTCTATCTATACAGCACTACCTCACCTGCTTCAGTGGAACCATTGCTATACCTTTTCTACTTGCAAACGCACTATGTGTTGGAAAAGATCAGCATACTGTGAGCCAATTAATAGGGACAATATTCACTTGTGTAGGAATCACTACATTTATCCAAACCACAATAGGCATAAGGTATGTTTATATAGTGTTCTTTTGAACAGGAAATAATTGTCTAAACATGCATTTGAACAATGATAAATCAACTGTAATATAATAACACAGTTGAAACACATCCAGTACAGAACTTTAACAAATGCCTATGTTAACAAATGCTTATAAAGTAGGATACACTATAATTAGAGCAGTGATCATTTTACTGCCTTAGAACCTTTCTAGAATTGTGAAGCACAGCTGCATATGTGGTCTCTATATAAATAATAATAATACAGTGTATCCAGGGCTTACAAGCCATAGCATAATCACCAGGGGAGAATGTGTACTGATACTTGATTTTTAGTTACACTTAGGTATTATTTTTCCATCAAATGTAATTGTGTTACGTTACCATGCATTTTGGGCCAAAAAAAGATCTTCAACTAGAGTTATTATGAATTATATGTACTTCGAAAAAAAATATATTACAATATACTGTCAAAAAAAAAAACACAACTACTAGCCCCAAGTGTTTGTACACTGTTTTATTTTTTATATTATAAATTACAGTAGTTACACAAAACCTAGAAAAATACTGAATAAAAGTTGCTTCATCTGAATTATCCCTACAGCTGTAAAATTCTCTGCTGTAGGGGCAATGATGTCCAGATAAACAATCTAGTAGCAGAGACCTCCAGTTAAACCAAGCCTATTCTATCCAAATTCCTACAGTTGTTTTCCTGAGAAGAGTCAGCATAAATCACTGTTTTAAATTGTACTATATTTTGCTAGTGCTGCTAACAAAGTTAAATGGACAATAGGCACCAAAACCACTGCATGGTAATATAGTTGTTTGGTGGTTGATGATGTTGCCATTTTTTATAAACAGCAATATTTACATTTGTCCAAAAACATGTTTCTATTGGCTGTGGGATAAAGGACCTTTTGAAGAACTTCACATTCTGTGTCATTGTGGACAGCACAAGATGCCAAAATGGAAAATGTTTTTCATAGACAATAATTGGATTGGCAGATTCCAGTTATTGCTGTATATGCTCCATGTGTCCTCAGTGCTTTTCTAAGAGTAGCAACTGATTAGACCAAAGCAAGCAAACTTAATGATGTCACCAAAGGAAAATCAGGCTGCAAAATCAGGCTATCCCGGTGCTGGAATAATGGAAAGTTCTATGGCATTTTTAATCATTTAAAAAAATTTCAAGTGTGGGCCATATAATCTTAAATTATAAAGATCAAACCTAATTATAACACATTATTTTTTAATTAGAACGTTCCTTTAACTATTTTATATACTGTGATAAAGAACATTCTCTTTTGGTTGACAACGTCAACAATCCTGCAATTATGAGCAAATCTATATGAACAAAAGTATGTATTTTGACATATCTGACACAATATAGTAAAAGTTATAACCGAGATTATGACAATATCTAATTAACTAAAATGTGTACATTTTTCTTGCCTAATATCTCAGACTCCCACTCTTTCAAGCTAGCGCCTTTGCCTTTTTGGTTCCTGCACGAGCTATATTAACACTGGAGAAATGGAAATGTCCATCTGACGGTAAATATTGATTTTATGTTGAATTAATTCTAGTAAAAGCAGAATACAGTAGTTTATGTTTGAAATTTAAAGCACATAAAAAATATTTCCTTAAAGGAACAATTTAGGCACCATAACAACTCTCTTACCTTAAGGGTTAAACCGTTCTCAAAGGGTTTAACCCCAAAGGTTCCCTTCAGCGCTCATCTTCAGGTTCCCCAGATAGCATCTGGCTTCTGAATCTGAGTTGCAGAAAGCACGGAGTGCCACCGCTGATTGGTTGGAGTGGTCAGATGATGCTCTAAGCCAGTCAGTAGCTCCCCATTCATCAAAAATGTACCGTTTTAAAAAGAGCCTGCCTGGACGCCTCTTGGCACCATAAAAAACTAATTTAAGGCGGAGCCTAACAGCGGAGCTGAGCGGTCGCAACTTACTGGAGCTCCGGCTACACCGCGACGATTTGGGAGAAAACACAGCATTGATCAAGCTGTTTTGTACCGGGTCCAACCACGCGCAGCTGGGGAGTCACCCGGAGACTTCCTGGAGCAACAACTGCAGAGCTAGCCCCATCACTCGGGTCTGCAGCACGAGTTGGGGCCTACAACATGCGGGCAGGCGGGAAGTGGCCATTCCCCCTGCTAAGGTACAGGGCGACTCAGCTCCCACAGTAAACCCCACCAGAGACTTGCCTCACCAAACCCCCCCCCCCACCGGAGAGGGAGATCCCGGTATCATACACATACCCACAGACGATATGGGGCGCAAGCATAAAAGACAGCTCCAGACAGACAGGCCTGCAGTGCAGGACATTAGACTATCCTTTGGGAGGGCACCCCAGCAAACACCCACAATACAGTACAGCAATACAGTGAGCAAGATGCCTCTGATGACTCCCCTGAAGAGGAGGATTATACCATCTCTCCTCACCCAAATGGAGTGTACCAGCGAACTAACTCTGATGAGGACTCATCCCCCGCCACAAAGGGAGATATTAAAAAATTGCTCCTAGATCTGAGAACAATGTGGAAGTCCGACCTCCAGGAAACACAAACTGAGGTCAAGGCCCTGCAGCATGAGGTGTCTGCAATGGAGAGCAGAGAACAAGCCAGGGACGCTCAGCTCCAGACCACTACACAACATGTGGAGGATCTCACCTCACAAGTTAAACAAATAAGCAAAATGGTGCTCACACTGGAGTCCAGACACAGGCGTCGGAATGTGCGTCTGAGAGGTCTACCTGAACAGGTTGAGGGGGGGGGACACGCTGCAATATGTTCAAAAGCTGTTTACCTCAATGGGCATTCACAGCCCCACAGGCACACCTTGCATCCTGGCCGCCTTCCGAATACGCAAATCCGCAGCGGCACCAGCAGGCGCACCGAGAGATGTCATTGTGACAACCAAAGACATTGCGGTGAGGACCGCTATTATGGCTAAATCCAGATCTATGGGCCAAGTGAGTTTTGAGGGCCATAACCTCTCCATCTACAGCGACCTCCCATTTACCATCCTGGCGGAAAGAAGACAGCTGGCCCCAGTGGCTAGGAGGCTGCGGGACTGCTCCATCAGATACCGATGGAATGTGGATGGATCTTTGGCCGTCACACAAGGCACAGAAACATTCACCCTAACTTCATCAGATAACCCAGAGACTCTCTTTAACAAACTGGGCCGACCAACCGCCAACATGCCAGAAGAGACAAACCGAGAGGGAAAAACACATGAGAAAAAGGCCATGGGGAGAGCGAAACAACAGAGCAGTCCGACCAAGAGACACCTGCCTAACACCAGGGACAGTTCTGAATCGCCATAACTGTTATCAAGGAACTGTCGGAATGCTGTTCCCTTCAATGCTGCCATGTTCTATACTTTTTTATAATTTTTTTGTTTTTACATATATATATATGCATATAACCTTTTATTCCTTATATAAAGTGTCAAGATCTGCGGACACCTACTGCCCGCTGATGCAATATATCATTATACATGACTTTTCTACTGCCAGGCTTGTAATTCCACATATATGCTGTGGTTGAGTTTGTATCTGCTGTCGTGACACTACGAGCATGTGGTATATGAACCTATACTTGCCTAGCACGTGTTAAACTCTGCTCGCTGTTCCTATAGTTAATGTGCAAGTTTTAGACCATGTTTGACTACTTATGTGCTAACTAAATAACCTAAACTGTCAGCTCAACTTAGCCTACTATTCCTGAACTCACTAGTCTGACTTATCTAAAGCTTACTCTTTAAAAAATTGTGCCTAAACATCAAATGTCACATCTTGTATTGCATAGTTAATTTCTATATACCTCAATACTGCTGTTGTGGCATACTGAGGCTGTTTGTTAATTTGTGCACAACAAAAATAAAGAATTAAAAAAAAAAATAAAAAAAAATAATAATTTAAATAAAGTTATTATTTGACCGGAATGTTCCTTTAAACAATAACTCATGTGAGATTTGATTATTTATAGCAAATATGAATTTAACTTTCTTAGTGTTTATCATTTATCAGATGGTATTATTCAAGGCTAATGCTTATCATCAACAGGATAGGCCATGTTTATCTTAAAAATATCAGAACAGCATAGTTAGGGACTGAATGCACTCTCTTTTTTTTCCTGTGTTACACCTCTCCCAACTCATCAATTATATTAACAAAAGAAAAGTTTGTAAAAATAAAAAATTGGATTAAAAAATATAGGTATTGAAAATAACTGATAATTTATATATAAGGGTACGTTAAGCATACATTTATGATCTGGCACCCTGATATGATACATTTTTTGAAAGGAAACTTTTGAAATTTGAATTCCATTGTCTTTTTTTTTCTACATATATACTAACAAAGCTTTCTTGTTTACTTATAGAAGTAATATATGGAAATGGAACCGCGCCCTTTAATACTTCACACATCTGGCAGCCACGAATTAGAGAGGTTTGTGAATAATTTTTCTATAATGTTACCAAATTCAATGATTAAACATAACTTGTTTCAGCTTTTGCTCTGCATACGTCACAAAATTATAAATCAAAATCAACATAGAGCGCAAATCATTATTTGATCAGTTATTAACCCTTACCAGCTATACTTAAATAAGTAATAATCTTCCCCCTTGCATTCATTGAGTAATTATATTCTCTTTTCTTAGCATGCTCTTTCTTTTTTTGTATGTTTTCTTGTTTCTTCTTTTTTACTGTAGAAAGTATTGAACAAGCCATGGGTAGAGAGCGCAGATGCATTTCATGCCTCATAGGCACTTCCTCAGAGATTTCTGATGTGCGAAAGACATTAATGGGGCCAAGTTTGCACAGTGTACTGTATGTATGGATACAGTCTTGGGGAAAAGAAAGTACACCATCTTGGAATTATATGTTTTTATATTTCAGCACATAATAACAATCATCTGTTCCTTAGCAGGTCTTAAAATTAGGTAAATATAACCTCAGATGAACAACACCACATGAAACATTACACTGTGTAATGATTTATTTAACAAAAATAAAGCCAAAATAGAGAAGCCATGTGTGAAAGTTCAACTTAACTGCTTCCAAAGGAATTAATTATAGTCTAAGTAGCAGACAGGTGCTGCTAATTAAATGCCCTTGATTAATTGATCATCAGCAAGGGTGACCACCTCTATAAAAGACATAGTTTTAGTGGTTTGCTAGTCTGCAGCATTCAGGTGTGTATTAACACAAGGCCAAGGAGGAAATTAGACATGTGCACTAGACAAATAATTTCATACTAAATAAAAATATAATTTGTCAATTCCGAATTTCGTCCGCAAATCATTTGTTTTGTAATGAAATTGGGTTAAACAATTATTCATCCATTAGGACAAAAACAGCACTGCACATTTGCAAAAAAAAAAGAAAAGCAAAAAAATTCAAAGATGGTGTACTTTCTTTCTCTCATGACTGTATATTTGGATTCAGTAATACATTTTTATTTGTTGCAACATTCTACTTTCGTATGAATTCCACATATTGTTTTCTTCAAATCCAGGTGTTGGACTTCAATTCACTGAGCCTAATTTGTTCAAATATTTTAAACATGGGAAACTCCTCAAACTCAAGTTGTCTGCCCATTTTCCCCAACTTGAAAATGCTATCTTTGCCATCTTGTCTGAGACTCAGCTGTTTCATTTTTAATTATAATCAAAGTAAATTGTCATTATCCTACTAATTTGCATATACTACTGATTTGCATATGCCCACCCAGAATCCTTTGCGGTAGTAACATCACTGCAAATTTGTGATTCCTGTGGGAAAAGCAAGTCTTATGGATTGACAGGTGTGCAGATTTTTGTTTATAGTATTATCTATCCACAGACTTAAGGTGGAAGGGGTTTTCAATCACAATTTTTCCCCACCATACCTTTTTTGTTTTTTGCTTCACAAGCACTGCCAAGCCTCACTAGCAAGCCAGTAACGAACCTCATGCTGATAATTTGTATTAACAATCAAACATCTGTCCATGAGTGGTTCACTGGCTTTGCATCTTTTCCTAGTTTGTGTTTAAAAGCTGTTGTATACAGCAAACACTGACTCAAAGGAATCCACGTTTAAAATGGAATGAGGCAAAAACATGATTCTTTGTTGACCTATGCATATGCCCACCCACCCAGAATCCTTTGCAGTAGTAACATCCCTGCAAATTTGTGATTCCTGTGGGAAAAGCAAGTCTTATGGCTTGACTGGTGTGCAGATTTCTTTTTAACCTTGTATTAACTATATATATATATATATATATCTCAAAAAAATCCCAGGATTTTTTAAATAAAGCTTCTTTTACGCCAAAATATCGACATGTTTGTTATCCTGATGAAAGTTACTGGTAGGAACTGAAACATCGATATTTTGGAGTAAAAGTAGCTTTATTTAAAAAATCCCGGGAGTGCTGTTTTTTTCTGGTTTATATATATATATTTATATATATATATATATACAGAGTTGGAATCAAAATTATTCAACATCCATTAATAATCAGGTTTATTGTCAAAATGTACAGACTTTCAGCTGTTTACAATAAACAAATTAAACAAAAAGTATTGAAATAGCAAAACACAGCAAATGCTTCAAGTGGCTTTTTGAAATTCAACTGAAAATGCATCTTATAATGACTTCTAAAGTCTCAAAATTATTCAACTACCTTAATAGAATCCCTCACAGGATAGAAAAAGATAGCGAAGGCTCTAAATGTTCCTAGAGACAGGGCTGGAAGCATAGTTCTCAAGTTCAAAGTTGAAGGAACAGTGATTACACTACCTGGAGCGCGCAGAAAAATGAACCTATCAATCTATTAACCAGATTTCTGAGAAGACAGTTTGTGTGATACCCTTGAGTGACTGCAATAGGCCTGCAGCAAGACTTGGTGGCAACAGTGAGCACAGTAAGGCAGGAACTCAACATAGAAGGTTTCCATGCCAAAACTTGTACACCACTACTGGCCCAAAAGCACAAGAAAAGTTGGCCCCCATATGCTCAGAATCATATAGAAAAGCCACATTAGTTTTGGGCTTATGTTTTGTGCAACAATTAAACAAAAGTCGAACTCTTTGGCCAAATGGATCAGCGGTATGTCTAGAGAAAGAAGAATGAAATATATGCTGAAAAGAACACTCTGCCTACAGTTAATCACGTTGGTGGCTCAGTGATGCTGTGGGGCAATCCCCAACCCCTGACACCTGCAGCATGTGTAAGGCAAGATTAATTCATTAAAGTATCAGGAAATCCTAGGAAAAAATGTCATGCCTGGAACCTTTTTCTACAGTTTCCATTACAGTCACCTGACGTGAATCCCATAGAAAATATATGGTGGGATTTGAAGAAGGCGGTTGCAGCACACAAACACAAGAATATTACTGAATTGGAGGCCATTGCTCATGTGCAATGGGCTAAGATTTCTCAGGAATGATGCCAGTGTGGCGAAAGTGACCTCGCCACTGTTTTTGGAGGGGCCTGTTTGCCAGCCTCCTGCCCTGCGACTATGGCCCTGGGATGTATTGCCCTTTAAGGAACTGATTTGGGCATATTGCATTTTATTATGCTGCTGCTGGCCCATTAAGAACCATCTGGGGACATACTGTGGAGTTACTGGGTGGCCACCATTTCATGTATCAGAGGCACATGGTGAGAACAATGGATGAAGCACATGGTGAGAACAATGGATGGCGGCCATTTTAACTCACCGGCACTGTTTTGACTTTTCTACACGGTGCCATCTCGCCAGTATTTGGTGCACAAAGACATCGTTCAGTAGTTTTAAACTACAGAACAGGGGACACATTTAACAGTAATTATTTTTCATATAGCCTGTAAATGTTCTGCGTAATCTGCATTAAACCATATTGTCCAAACTACTGAACGGATCTGGGTGAATTTTGGATATGTGGTTCACCCAGATCCCCTGGTTCCAAAGATATATGTATGGGGTTATTGCATGTTTTGGGGTCCCTGTGATTTGTTTTATAATATTGTATTTTCCTGCCTGTGATAATTAAGTTAGTCTATTGTGTTAAGATAATTGTATCACAGGCAGAGGGGAGGATTTCTGATGTAATGAATGGGAGTGTTAGCTGTGTTGTAATGTGTTGATTGGTTGTTCTTCAAAACCCTGTGGGCAGTACATACAGAATAAGAGGCTGTATGTTCCAGTACAGTCAGTTCTTCTTCACACTCAATCTAGAGTCCTGTCTCTTATTGGGGGAATTGCTATATCACTACAAGGGATTGCTATGTGCTGCATACTCTCTTGCTATATTCACTGCTAAGCTCTTGTAAGAGCTTGTTCCTGTCTTGCTCTCTGAAGGAGTCTACGGTGGTTATGGTGTCGGCTGGAGTGCTTGGAGCCCTCAGGAAGCGCTAGGAGCATCCTTCAACTGAGGAACCCAGTCGAGGTGCCAGGTGATCCGTTACAGCCATAAACTGGTGTCTGGCTATGCATCTCATTTGCAGCAGATCATAACAGTACTTAAGTGCTCTACTAAGTACTAAAATTGCTTTTTATGAAAGGGTTGAATAATTTTGAGACTGGAGTTATTGTCAGTCGAATTTGGTTAATCTATTTGAAGCATTCAAAATATGTAAAGATACTTCACTGCACCTACTGTTTTTGTAGAAAAAAAAATCACCTTACTGAAGAAGCATAGTTTCCAAAAAGATTAATGTTTCAGTCCCTGTCTGGGACTTTCATCAGGATCAGGATCATTCTCTCTATCCCAATTTATGTACGGTAATAAAAATCTCCTATAATTAAAGTATTTCCTAAATATGCAGCTTTCCCAATTGCAACAGCTGTTCTTCCTCATCAATATCAACTGTGACGGAGCTCCAGTACTCCGGCCAAGTCTGCTACCTCTTAGTTATCAGGGACCGTGGAGCATTTCATATCCAGTCACCAAGGCTTGTCTGGAATCACTGGGGGCCTTTTCCACCCTTTTCATCAGCTGATAATATCCCTTTCCCCAAACACCAGACAACACATGGTGAAGGTTAAAACAGCACCTGACTTTACTAGACATAGCATACCTAATTTAAGCCACCAACATCCTAATTTACATACAATGGTGTATAGAGTACTGTAGTATAAGGAAGGGTGGGGTTAGACAATAGCAAAGGCTGATGGGAGATTGAGGAGGGACAAAGCAGTTAATATAAACTGGTCTGGCACTGTTCCTGGGACAACGCCCTGCTGGGGAAATAATAGGACAGGAAAAAGGGGGAGGAGAGAAGCACAGACAAGCAATACAGTCAACATACACTGCACCAATAATAGGCACAGGGTGACCAAAATAAAAAAAAGAATCTGGGGACCCACACATGGTTGGTTCGTAAAATGAACTGGGGTGTATGGACAGCTGAACAAAAAGGAATAAAAGTGTAGCTAGAGCATCCATTCCGCTACACTGCTCCCCCTTAACCACAAGCCGGCATAAACAGTATGATACCTAATGGATCGGCTTGGAGATGTCCGGGAAGTACTGCTGTCCGTACAATCAGTCCTGGAGTTTCTCTGGGGCTCACATCACAGCCAGGCATTCTTGTTCGATGGCGACGGCGCACACCTTTCTGGGTTGAAGTTTCCTACTCATATGTGCCATCAGCTCTGATCTGGCTCAATACTACACCCATACAAACATTCAAGTGTCTGGACCTCAGAATGCAAGTAATGCTCTGTGATGTGGGCCTGGTATCTGTAAGGGCAGGAACGCTGAGGTCAATTGGCCTAGGTCGATCCCCAGTAAGACATCGGTGGGGAGCTCCTGCATCAACCCCACATCAATCAGACCTGACCCAGCACCCCAATTCAAGTTGACCCTCGCAGTGGACTGCTCCCCCTGCTACCCGTACAACTACTGAACCTCCGGTTTGGGCGGCATCTGGGACCAGGTGTCGCTTGACCATGGTGAGGATGGCTCCCACGTCTCAGAGACCTCGAGCTGGCTTTCCGTTTAGCTGGACTGATTGACGATGGTGCTGTCGGTTCTCCGTAGCGGCTTGCACCGTGTCGGGTTCGTGAAGGGTACCCAATTGCTTCTTATTGGATTTGAACTTGGGTAAGACTGGGGGAACCTCGGCGTGATAGTAGGGGGCCATTGTCCATGCTGGAGGGGGCGACCCTGGTCGAATCCATGCAGCTTGGTTCCTGCTCTTGGTACAGTCTCGTCGATAGTGCCCAAACTGCTTGCACCTTTGGCACTGTACTCCACTGCAGGAAGGGTATCTGGGTGTCCCCCTTTCTCTGTGGTAGTTGTGGTGCAGGGTGGGTGATCTGGGGCCTGAGCATTGGTCTGAGGCTAGATTGTTGCTGCTGTGCCCATGCTGGGGAAGGTGGCCCTGTTTGAATCCCTGAAGCTTGGCTCCTTCTCTGGGCACAGTTCATCTGGTAGTGTCCAAATTGTTTGCACTGATAACACTGTATTCCGTTGCATGCTGGGTGTCTGGGTACTTGTGAGTTGGGGTTGTGCTCTCCTGATTGCTGTACTGGCGGCCCTGGTTTGATGCTCAGGGGTCTGGGCATTGGCCTGATACTCGGTCGCTGCTGCCTGCGAGTGTCCTGGTATTCATCAGCTTGGCGGGCAGCTTCGATCAGGGTAGTGGGTTTTCTATCTCTTACCCACTCTTGTACTTCTGGGTTCAGCCTGTTGTAGAACTGTTCTAATAGGATCAGCTGCGTGATCTCCTCTCTAGTGTTGGCTTGGCTGGCTTGGAACCAGACTAGGGCTGCTCGATGCATTCGGCAGGCCCATTCTGTGTGAGAGTCTTTCTCCTGTCTTTTCATCTCCTGAAAGCATCTCCTGTATGCTTTGTGAGTAATGGCATATCTCACCAAGATTACCTCCTAACATAGTCTGTATTTTGTTCATCTAGGACGGCTCTGTACGCCTCAGCTGCTCTGCCCGACAGTTTGCCAGCCAAGATGCGCACCCAATCTGCTGGTGGTGGTACTTGATACAAGTGGCACTGCCGCTCAAAGTCTTGCAGGAACCCATCTTTATTTTTCCCCCATTTCTACTAACTTTTTAAACGCATCATGGGGAATCTCTGTCTTTACCTCAGGTGTCTGTGTTGTAGCTGGCAATCTTTCCAGGGCGTGCTGTTTTGCTAAAAGTAGTTGGTTCTCCCGTTCCGCCTGTGCAGACATGTAGGCATCGACTTCTGCAAGAGTCGTTGTGATGATCTCCATTGGGGGGTTCTCTCCGTAGAAATCTAGCCGGCGTTTCACTTCTCTTTAAATTCAGTGTCCATAGTTGTGGGTGTATTGCTGCGGGACCGGTCTCCCTCTGTTAGTTCTGCTATCAGCGTTGCCTTTGTTTTATTGCTGGCTATCTGTCCTCTTCTCTGTGAGGTTTGTATCCCAACGTTTTTCACCAATTGTGACAGAGCTCCAGTACTCCGACTGAGTACATCCGCCAAGTCTGCTACCTCTTAGTTATCAGGGACTTTATATCCAGTCACCGAGAGGGTACAGAATGACCAAAATACAAAAGAAATCTGGGGACACACACATAGTTGGTTCGGTAAATGAACAGGGGGTGTATGGACAGCCAAACAAAAGGGAATAAAAGTGTAGCCAGAGCATCCATTTGGCTACATCAACATTAGGTGGTTTACAACATATCCTAACCAATCGATTTTCTCTTCTTTTGCCCCAAGCTAATATCTACCCATAAAGCTTCTACATTTTTTTTTTGTTAAATTACACTTGCTTAATAATATTTGACTTAACTCATGGTTAACATATAAACATACCCCGCCACCTTTCCAGTTTTTTTCTATCCTTCCTATATAATGTGTAACCATATAAGTTAACTGCCCAGTCATGTGTTACACCCCTCATGACATTTCTGTTATGCCTATTATGTCATGTTGCATAGTGCATGTGTATAGCCTCTAGTTCCCCATTTTGTAATTTAAGCTTCTTGCAATAATAAGCATATATTTAATATTGTCATGAGGCACAGTTTTGGCTTCACATGGCTTCACCCACAGTTCCCTCTAATGATTGGCAGGTGGTGGTTATAATGAAACCACCTTGGGGACCTATTGCACTATTATTAGTAATAATGTTGAGTGACCTAATTGCACCCCTGCTTCCACTCATTGGTGGTGCATGGGGGCTCTAATATTATTACACAAAGGAACCTAATGTCTCCGTACACAAAACCCCCCTGCCCCAACCCCCTCCTCCCCCCCCCCCAAAAAAAAAAGTTATAGTAAAACTAGCAGGATTAATCATTAAAAAAAAGGTTCACACATTTGATTTCAAAGTACATTTATCATAGGATTTTTGTTAAGCATTCTACCCATTTATCAAGTTCAGCTACTAGAATTTTTGCTGGCATTAAATCCAGTCGAAATCTGAACAAAATATCAGCTGATAAATTTAATCAATTAGTTTAATATCAGAAAATCTTACATCAAAACAGTGCTCAAGTAGGCAGTGCATGTCATGCTAAAATTACCGTAAATATATTTTACAATTCAAATTGTCTTTCTATCTTTAAATATCTCTCTTTTTTACATTTAGATACAAGGTGCAATTATAGTATCAAGTTTAGTAGAAGTAATAATTGGGCTTATTGGCTTACCAGGAGCACTGCTCAGCTATATCGGACCTCTTACTGTTGCACCAACAATTTCTTTGATTGGACTTTCTGTATTTGAAGCTGCTGGACAAAGAGCAGGATCCCACTGGGGCATATCAATCATGTAAGTAGCATCATGTAGTACTATTTGCATCCAATAGCATACAAAAAAAAAGCTCCCAAGCACAAGATAAACTATATATATATATATATATATATGTTGATTTAAAAAATATATAGTAAAAAAAAATGAATAAATAACACAAGAAAGCCATTATTGAGAAATCAGTAAATAATAATCTGCCTCGTTGAACTGGTGACTCAGTAAACTGTTAACAAACACATAAGCTAACTAGAGAAGTAACACTAATAAATCAAATGATAATAATGTGTTATATAATGAATTCTCAATTTAATGTTAGCATCAATAAAAACCTTCATACATGAACAAACAGCACATTAAAAAGATTTGCATATAATGACCAGTTTATAGAACACCCCATGGAAGCATTAAAAGTCACACATCCTGAACTCTAAATAACGAGGGAATAAAATCTTAGACAGCAAAAATATGTTGTGTTGTTAATAATAATAATCACCAGAGCTGAGGCCAATGCCAACATAGTGCCAGATCCTATTAACTCAACTGAAGTAAGAAGAATCTCCATGGACTGGCATGTATAAGCTCTCAGATGGTCTTCAGATAAAGTGTGCTTGAGTAAATTGCTCAATATCTGGAATGTAGTGCAACACAATGCAATAATAATAATGAAGTATCCTCGTATAATGATAACCCAATTATTCAGGAACACTTCCCTAAAATTGAGGTGTAACAGGCCCATAATAACTCTGGTCTCCACATGAATAGATTTGCCTTCTGCGTTAATGGCTATGCGTTTCATTCTGTGGACCTTTGTCAAGACAGGGAAGCTCATAAAGGCATTGAATGAGACTATATCCAGTCAAGTTCACTCTATCACTTTGATACATCTTACTACAATGGTTCTTATTTAATGATACAATGTCATCAGATCCACTTAGAATCAAAAACGTACATTCCATTGCTCTCTTCAGAAAATGTTGATAACAGATTTTAGTTAAATAGAATAAAAAGGAAATCATTTAATAATTCTGAGCATCTTAAAATTAAACAAAAGAGGAGGGGCGTGGCCTGGCTGCCAACCTTCATGGATGCTTAACTCAAAGGCTCCCGCGAATCCACTTGCAATCCTGCACTAGCAATCTGCATCGCACCTCACAGTGCCCATACAAACCCACCTTAATATTCTCCTGGGGATCTGGAGCAAAGCCACAGAGGAAAAAATGAGGGGTACAGCAGTTAACCTCACCGTCTGTTGCGGATCTCTTCATGCCATCACACACGCCACAGGCCCAACAAGATAGCTGCTCGCAAGGCTCACAATCGCCTGCCTTCATCCTCGAACAAATGGTATCTCAGTCCAGCGACGCCTCCCAAATATTACAGAAGCTAACTGAGTTTAAAGCGTGCCTAGCTCAGGAGATATCCCGCAATTCTCAAGAAGTGAAGGTGTAGATTCAAGCACTGGGCGCGCGCACAGCTGCCCTGGAGAGCCAGGTAGAATTCGTGGCTCAGGCCCAAAACGAGTGGTGACCCACTCCTCCTTGTTGAAGAACTAAATAACCAATATGGAGATGATCGTGGAAGACCTATCCAACCGCTCACGGAGAAATAAAAGGCCCTGGAAGCCCAGCAGTGCATAAAGTTGCCTGATGCAGCATCCGAATCAGCTGCGGAAGCCAAGTCACCCTGATGGGAGCTGTATACGGGGTTGGGGGGAAGGGAGGTTAGTTAGCATCTAAACTAAGGGGGATAATGTATTTAGTTGCCAGGTGCTAAGGTTGAAGTACTTTATTATGAGATATCGGTTGTGGGAGTGGGGGGATTAGTGGCACCAGAGATGTGACTGAAGTGCCCACAGAGTTTAGACTCCATCGATATTCAGCACAACCAGTATGTACAGTTGCAAGAAAAAGTATGTGAACCTTTTGGAATGATATGGATTTCTGCACAAATTGGTCATAAAATGTGATCTGATCATCATCTAAGTCACAACAATAGATAATCACAGTCTGCTTAAACTAATAACACACAAAGAATGAAATGTTGCCATGTTTTTATTGAACACACCATGTAAACATTCACAGTGCAGGTGGAAAAAGTATGTGAACCCCTAGACTAATGACATCTCCAAGAGCTAATTGGAGTGAGATGTCAGCCAACTGGAGTCCAATCAATGAGATGAGATTGGAGGTGTTAGTTACAGCTACCCTGCCCTATAAAAAACGCACACCAGTTCTGGGTTTGCTTTTCACAAGAAGCATTGCCTGATGTGAATGAAGCCTCGCACAAAAGAGCTCTCAGAAGACCTACGATTAAGAATTGTTGACTTGCATAAAGCTGGAAAGGGTTATAAAAGTATCTCCAAAAGCCTTGCTTTTCATCAGTCCACGGTAAGACAAATTGCCTATAAATGGAGAAAGTTCAGCACTGCTGCTACTCTCCCTAGGAGTGGCCGTCCTCTAAAGATGACTGCAAGAGCACAGCGCAGACTGCTCAATGAGGTGAAGGAGAATCCTAGAGTGTCAGCTAAAGACTTATAAAAGTCACTGGAAAATGCTAACATCCCTGTTAGCGAATCTATAATACGTAAAACACTAAACAAGTATGGATTTCCTGGGAGGATACCACAGAGGAAGCCACTGCTGTCCAAACAAAACATTGCTGCACGTTTAGTTTGCACAAGAGCACCTGGATGTTCCACAGCAGTACTGGCAAAATATTCTGTGGACAGATGAAACCAAAGTTGAGTTGTTTGGAAGAAACACACAACACTATGTGTGGCGAAAAAAAGGCACAGCACACCAACATCAAAACCTCATCCCAACTGTGAAGTATGGTGGTGGGGGCATCATGGTTTGGGGCTGCTTTGCTGCGTCAGGGCCTGGACGGATTGCTATCATTGAAGGAAAAATTAATTCCCATTTTGCAGGAGAACTTAAGGCCATCTGTCTACCAGCTGAAGCTCAACAGAAGATGGGTGTTGCAACAGGACAATAATCCAAAGCATAGAAGTAAATCAACAACAGAATGGCTTAAACAGAAGAAAATACGCCTTCTGAAGTGGCCCAGTCAGAGTCCTGACCTCAATCCGATGGAGATGCTGTGGCATGACCTCAAGAAAGCGATTCACACCAGACATCCCAAGAATATTGCTGAACTGAAACCGTTTTGTAAAGAGGAATGGTCAAGAATTACTCCTGACCGTTGTGCACGTCTGATCTGCAACTACAGGAAATGTTTGGTTGAAGTTATTGCTGCCAAAGGAGGTTCAACCAGGTATTAAATCCAAGGGTTCACTTACTTTTTCCACCTGCACTGTGAATGTTTACATGGTGTGTTCAATAAAAACATGGCAACATTTCATTCTTTGTGTGTTATTAGTTTAAGCAGACAGTGATTGTCTATTGTTGTGTCATTGATGATGACCAGATCACATTTTATGACCAATTTGTGCAGAAATCCATATCATTCCAAAGGGTTCACGTACTTTTTCTTGCAACTGTACTTGTCAAAACCGTAACCTTAAATGTTTAAATTGGAACGTAAATGTTGTAAATGTGGGAAATGACCTAGGGGGCTCATGGCAGCTGCCAGATATACTACATCCAGATACACCGGGCCATAAGGAAGTAATAGAAGCCTGTAATGGATGTACTCTACTACCCACCCCTAACGCTAGTCCGGGATTGGGGGATGGTGCATTGGGACGTCCCTCCGGTGGGGGGCCACTCCCCTCTTCATGTCCCCATCTCTTCCCTGCCCCCCTCCACCCACCTCCTTCTCTCGCAGGATGGGGGTGGAAGGCATTATTATCGGGGTGAACATCCACTCCGGAGAGGGGATGGGATACTGGGGGAGGAGTGCAAATTTCCACACCACACCCCCTGGACCTCACCCTTGCTAGGATAAGCAAATGCCCTTTCCCCTGCTACCCTTGCTATTAGTTAATTGTGGATGGGTGGGAGCCTTCAGGTACTACATACCAGGTTACCCTTCCCCCTACCCAGGGTCTCCCCCACATAGAGATACCAAGTGACCCTTTTGGAGACTGAAGCAGCTAACTATACACTACAGCCTGATAGGCACTCCAAGCCAAAGGACACAGAATAACACTTTTACAAAGGGACACTGTGGGAAATGCGCTTAGATGCACAGTGGAATGAAACGCTGGGCTGTCAACCCTGGCAGGTAAATATGAATCCGCCTGACAGGGAGGACACACACCCTCAACGTACTCAGGAGATAAGTAAGACCAGAGATGCATACACATGCATGTTTTATGTTTATTTTAGTTTCCAGTTTTAACCACTCTTATTCTCTATCCAACTCTTGGTTCTTTATTTCATCCAGTTGCGCACCTGGACACCGCCCCTACCATTAGGTAACACTCCCAAACTAAAGAACGCGACAAACTATATGAGTATAATGCTAATAAAACATGACACAAAGAATTCTATCCTTTAATGTCAAGGGCCTTAACAGCCCAAACAAACATAAATTACTATTGAGGGATCTCAAAGCGCGCAGGCTGGTTCGGGATACGAATGCTGCCCCTTGTGGGCGTTCGGTGATACAAACCTGCGGCCACCCAGGGGAAGCATGCAGCGCTTGTTTCCCTTGCGGTCTGCGGTTTTCCCACCTCATTAGCGAGCTGTGAACATTCTAACCGCACGTTCTAAATGGAGTATGGGGGTGGTCCAGCGCACAGGGGCTGTGCTTCGGAGCACCCCCATGTGGTTGAAAAGTAACTTGCATGGTTTAGTGTAAAAATTACAAAAAGGGGAAAAATTACAAAGGGGAAACACACATTCCAGGAGAGTAAAAGGGCAATTCACAGTTAGGCAGTGGTCCTGCCACACAGCTCCCCCTTAACCAACAACGGCATACACTGCCTGATCCCGACGGATCAGCTGGGGAATGTTCGGAAGAGTGCTCATGAATCTTTTATCTAGGGCTGTCTGTCTGGACAACCAATCAGCATTGCCATTCTGCTTACTGGATCTGTAGTGAATGGTAAAGTCATACGGTTGTAGGGCCAGGCTCCACCGTAGTAGCCTGGCATTGTGCCCTGTGACCTGGTTAAGCCATACAAACGGGTTGTGATCCAAGAGCAGGGTGAATTGCTGTCCACACAGATAGGGCTGCAGCTTTTTGCTCACACTCTGGGGTTCAGCGTACTTGTCTGGACAGGGACTTTTTGGTCAGGTCAGTGAGGGGTTTTGCTATGGCACTATAGTTGGGGACAAACTTCCTATAATAGCCAGCCATCCCTAGAAAAGCCATCATCTTGGTCTTAGGGGATGGGGCCAGCTAGCTACTGCCTCCACTTCGGCAGGCTCGGGCTTCTGTGACCCACACCCCACCCGGTGCACCAGGTATTGCAGTCCGCCATCCCCAGGGTGCGATATGCACAGACATACTCTTGGAGGCCATCTAACAGATGGTCCACCATGCTTTGGAAAGTGTTTGGGGCGTTCTTCATCCCGAATGGCATTACCTTAAACTGGTAAAGACTAAAGCGGGTGACCCAAGCAACAGCCAATCTGGAAAAATTTCGGGAACCAAATCACGCCAATCAGTGCTCGGGGAGAGGAGGCGTTCCGCCAGCCCATCAGGGGAAAGGGCACAAAACCAAATCATGCAAATCAGCACTCAGGGAAGGTGTTTTGCTGGCCAATCGGGAGAAAGGGCGTGAACGAATTTGAATGGTAACCCTTCTCCTATTAGGTGCAGACCTCCCGGTGGCCAGCAGCAACCCTGCAGCTGTGAGGCCGACTCACAGTTCCAGGGATTCTCTGCTGGGCTCACGTCTCCCCCCCTTCCGGTGGATATCTCCATGCAGGTAGCACCAGAGAGAGCACTCTTTGGGCAGCCAATAACCCAGATAGTGATTAGGCTCTTTTGGACGAGTTAAGGCGATCCGAACTGCCAGTACCCTAAAAGGGTGTCCCCACCAACCTCAGGGACCCGTTCAGGGAGTCCCGATGAGAAGACCCCGCAAGGGAAGTGTCTCCTTACGGGACACGAATGATCCCCCTGGTTGGCATTCGCCTATGCAAATTGGCGGCCACCCATGGGAGCACCGCATTAATTACTTCCCTTGCGGTTTCACATCTATGTTGCTGGTACGAGCGTTCTGATTAATTGGTGTGAACATACCAATGGGATACCCGAGTGACCCTCGTTCAGGAGACAAACAGGTTCCATTCGTATGACTGCTCCTTAACGGTAAACAGGGCATATTACATGAAATATAAGGGGAAACACAGTACTAGGGAAAAAATACACAAACAAGCAGGTGGGCATAAGTGAGGATGGCACTCGGTGATGGCGTTCCGTCACAGTGACAATGGGCAAAACCTTAAATTCCAGTATGCCTTGATAGTTTTCGAGAAGCAAAGCAAGGTCCAGAATATCACTGAGCCTCCTCCATATTACACAGTAGGAATTATATTTTTTTTATACTTTCACTAAAGCTACAATGATTGAAAGAATAGTGATATTTGAGTAGTATTTCCCCATTAATCAAACAAGTGCAGCTATGAGTCAGTTAAAAAACTAAAGGGACCCTCAAGTCCCGAAAATACCAATACTTTTTTTTTCAGATTTTGTTATTTGTTCTCGTCTATTGCTGTCAGAACTGTCTACCCTCTTTGTTATTAATATTAAAGCTTAATAAAGATTACTTACCTCATTTCCAGTGTAGAGACTTCTCTTCTGCAGCAGCCCACACAGCCTTTGAATACATCAGCAAGCTTGTTGATAATGTCCACGGTCCTCGAGCAGCATTTGATTGCCGGACCGAGTTTCACTCGGTTCTAAAGAGGAAGAGCCTCAGAAAGACAGTTACTAGAGATTTATTTAATCCTTCTTAAACATTCTACAAAACTACAATGGCTTACATTTCAGAGTTAAAATGACAGGACCACCGCACCCAGACCACTTCATTAAGATGAAGTGGCCTGGGTGACTTTAGTGGTCCTTTAAAGAGAGCCACTACTGCAATGGGGAACTACTGTGCATGCATTTTAAGAACTGTCAGGATTATTTGATAATTTTTGAAATTTTTTAGTCAAATTGAATTTCCAACTTTAGGTCAAAAATGCTGAATTGGAAATATGCTACTAGTCAGATACGTTTTCAGTTTGGCTATATTAGCTTAAAAGCTACACTTTATCCACACATCCTTGTCAATGAATATATTAGTACATTGGTGAAGTTTAATAATAATCCAAAATAATAAAAATATACTGTACCAATCATTAAAAAATTGATTTAAAAACAAGAAAGAATTTCAGGAATATCTGTGATACTGTATTGCTTATTTTGTTGTACATTTATTTTAGTTTTATTGTGAAAGTACTGTGTATCTTTTACAGGACTCTTGTGTTGATAATATTGTTTGCCCAGTACCTGCGAAACAAAACCTTTACCTTCCCAGGCTACCAATATGGAAAAGGTCTACGGACATATAAAATACAAATCTTCAAGATGTTTCCGGTAAGAGAAAAAAATGCAACAAATTAATAAAGAAAATAACTAAGCAAAAATGAATTTTTTTCTCATTATTTTCAAAAGGCATTAAATAGTTGCAAAGCAAAGAAAAAAATGTGGTTTTGTTGAATTTAAAGCGACATTATAGTCATGAAAACAACCTTAGGTTACTGATGCAGTTTTGTATATCCATTATGTCACTGCAGTCTCACTGCTCAATTCCCTGCCATTTAGGAGTTACATCCCTTTTGTTTCTCTTTATGAAGTCCTGGTCACAACTCTCCAGGCTGTGACTGACACAGCCTACATGAAAAAAATGGTTTAATTTTCAATCAGATGTTAACTTACTTTACAAGTTTTTATCTCCTGCTCTGTAAATTTAACTTTTATTACATATACAGGAGGCTACTGCAGGGTATAGCAAGCTATTAACAGAGCAGATATAAGAAATTCTGAATTAAACAGAATTTGCAATAAAGGAAGGATAAACATTAGATGACTCTTCACAGGAAGTGTTTAGGAAGGCCGTGCAAGTCACATGAAGGGAGGTGTGGCTAGGATTACATAAACACAATGAGTGATTTAACTCCTAAATGGCAGAAAATTGAGTAGTGAGACTGCGGAAGCATGATCTATACACCAAAACTGCTTCATTAAGCTAAAGTAATTTAGGTGACTATAGTGTCCCTTCAAGTATTTTAAAAGAGGACAAATTGTGAACAATTAAGTAATAACAAGGTGCAATGCCTGTCAGCGTCTGGACATATTAGAACTGGAAAGCTTGCAGGTATCAAAGCCTGGCTGAGAGTGATACAAGTTAAAGTATGCAGACTCTTAAATGAGTGCCCCTTTAACCCTAAGTCCCATTAACCTTAAGCCACCGTATAGCTTACTCAATTCCAAACCCTAAGTCCCCCTACACCTAATGCACAGGGAACACAGCTTTTCCCTAATCATTACAGCAAGATACTGTGTGCTGCAAAGATGCCCCTCCATATAACCATATATAATACACATAATGATGTTGCCACATTCATACAATCTTATGTTTTGCAGAATCAAATACAAGCTAAACAATATTTAAGATATGATAGAAAAGTATTGATCTGGCAATGTAGTCAAAGTAGACCTGCACAAATATTTATTTTGTAGGTTAACCCCCACAGCCCAGATTGAGGTTACTTTATTATTATTAGTAGTAGTAGTATTAGTATTATTATTATTATTAGCATTTATATAGTACCAACTTATTCAACAGTGTTTTACAATAATATACAAGTGGAAATTTAACAAATTATAGCAAATAATACTTGCTACATAAACTAAAATGCACGTACTTGGTTCTTGTTTTTTTAGATAATATTGGCTGTTATGGTAATGTGGCTGCTGTGTTATGTTTTGACTCTGAGTGACGTATTTCCAGAAAATAATATGTCTTATGGATATGCTGCCAGAACTGATGCAAGGGGTGAAATTATGTCCAGTTCTCCATGGTTCCAGTTTCCGTATCCATGTACGTGTACATTTCTTGATTTCAAAGTTTGAATCAGATTTATTTGCAATATCTCAGAAACAAAACATTTTTACCTCAGCTCAAACTTTTAAAATATCTTGCTGCTACTAACTCAATCTGCTGGTAAGTCCAACCAGGAAGTCAGCCGACCCCACGTATGATTTCAGGAGAGTGCATATTCCTCTGCTGTTGTCACATTGTGCTCTCTGTCCATCTTGCCTTATGTCAGTCTGCTCCCCTAACCAGGTTGTGCCACTTTGACCCCCTTATCCCCAGTCCCATTAGCTTAGTATTACTCTGTATATAATCCAGTGCCCTTCTATCCCCTTTGTCACTGTGTTCCCATCTGTATCACTCTGTCAATCTAGAGTGTTTAAGCCCTCTGTTATTCTGTCCCCATAGCCCTGTGTCACTCTACCTCTCTAACTTCCTGATCCTAACCATGGCCACTCTGTCCCTCTAACCCCCTCCAACTCTCTAAACCCAATCAGACAGCCACAAGAGGTGATTCCTATTATGGTCTTGCAATCTCTAGAGGGTCGACATTCTGGGTCTTCACTCTCTGCATGAAGATGCTAAATTTGCACTCCATCCAAATTTGAAATATGAGAAACTGGAACTTATTCCTGGTCCACCCATATGAGTGCAATGAAGAATATTTGCTTTATTTCTTTGTGCTAGCTGCTGTAGACACCTGCTTCCCCCCCATATTTGGATCCCAGTATTAAAACTGACAATTCCGACATTTGTTTGGATGGGTAAGTCTCAATGGATTGAATAATACACACAGATTACACTTCACAGAAACTAGGAGAGAGATAAACAAAAATATAATCAAGCAGTCAGTACACCTAATGCAAATAATTTTATAGTGCATCACCCAGTGCATACGTTGTAGGTTAGCTTAGAAGACAATAATACCCTTATTTACTTACTAGGTTCTCCCATGCAAGGTAGGTCTCTCATGGGACTAGCACTTTTGAGACATGCAGTATTTTTAAGATATCAAACCTGTCACCTGCATATCTTAAATATTATCTATTTCCATGCAGGCACAAGGGTTTACATTTTAGATATTTCCTGGAAACTCAGAATGCTCATGTAGTGATCTCAGGCCTTGTTGAACTCTAAAACCTTACTGTATACCTGTCAGACATCTCATTAATATCAATATGTGGAGTTTTTTCAAGCAAAAAAACCTTACACCACATGGGCCGTGCACTCCTTCAAGGAAAGCTATTTCATCTATATATCATGCTGATCTAGAATAGATGTATTAAGATTCAGTAGATGGAACAAAATAAACTCAGGGGATTCTGATTTTTGATATAGTGAAAGTAGTCCATAGCATTCACGCATACTCAGGTATTAATAATTATTTTCAGGCATAGTTTATATTCTTATACTCAGAATGTATTGATGCCAACTGTATTTAATTCCAACAACAAGCTACATGTAAAGTCACCATTGGTTCTTCACTAGTGATGTCCCGAACGGTTCGCCGAACGGTTCGCCATGGACTCCAGTCAGACACATTCCAGCCAATCAGCAGCAGACCCTCCCTCCCAGATCCTCCCACCTCCTGGACAGCATCCAATTTGAAGCTGCATTCTTAGTGAGTTGTCCAGGAGGTGGGAGGATCTGGGAGGGAGGGTCTGCTGCTGATTGGCTGGAATGTGTCTGCTGACTGGAGTCTGTGGCGAACCGTTTGTGGCGAACCGTTCGTTAACCGTTCGGCGAACCGTTCGGCGAACCGTTCGGGACATCACTATTCTTCACTAGCATTGGTTCACCTCTACAAGTACATCCTAATTAGTGACAAAATGGACTCCATCATATTTGGAATAATATGAAAATCTATTAAAGGGAAAATAAAACGTTTCTGCTAATTACATTATTATAACGTTTCTGCTAATTACATTATTGAATAAAACATATTAAATCTTAATAGGTAAACACAGTGGTGAGAATTTCTATGTGTAATTTTATTTAACAAACACATACTTATTAAACATAAATATAGGGGATAAGTAAAGCATAGTATAAAAAAAAACATGATGACAGTTCTCTTTCAAACAAAGCAACATGCAGTCATGCATCAAACAGAATCATTTGTGTTCAGTCAAGCTCAGTCAAATTATAAACATTGGTTACGCCTCGCCAGTCAACAATCATTTGTCAAACTTTAAACTTTATACTAAAATAAGCTCTTTGTTCATTAATGAATCCTAGTTAAGTTTGTGTAATGGGTGTTTTGTTGAGGGGCAACCTGGATAGGCCAAACCAGGCAAATCTCCTAAGGGTGAGGGGTAAACCTTTTACGAGCACATGATATTTTCAAGTACTATTTGGCAGTGCTAACAATGTAAGGGTTATTTCTCCTACTTATTTATGTAACGACTGGCCAGTGCTTGCTAGCGAACCACCACATACAAAATAATAAAATAAATAGAAACCTATAGGTGTCAATTAGACCCCCATAGTACTATAAGGGAGGTTTTAGACATTTATATGCCCCCCACCTGCTGTGCAGCAAGGAATATGAATGGATCCACATACAATCACATATTTTTGAGTTGGCGTTTTGCCAACTTCTACACTGGGCACTGAATGGCACCCTAGCACTATGAATTGCACTTAACACTTTTTTCTTGCTCTATTTTTTATATTCCTATGCCTGTCTAGTTAGTTTACCAGGGAGAGAGGCTTTATAAATTTAAATATACATGGCAGTTCACTTTTGACTGACCATTTGTTTCTACAAACTCCTTTCTCTCTACTTTATATTTAAGTCTCTCTCCATATGACTATTCTGGACTTTTATTTCCTGTATATTGGTAAGGTCTGCTGTTTTGCAAGATCTCCTTCCACATATGGCTTGATTTAACACAAACTTTTTTTGCGTTTATACATATTCTCAGCAGACCTTTATTCCATGGTTTTTTACAATATATATGGATACAGGATATTTGTGGGCTTTTGCACTCAGGAAGATAGACACTGGCAATTAGACAGATATACGAATACCTTTTCCTATTTAGTATATGTACTTCATTAAAGCTGTTATATAGGAGTAAGGGTTTTTATCAATTTATATGATCTATTGCCAGTTCTTGTTGTGACCTATGTGCATTCCCTTTAGAGAGCATAGGACTATTAGTATTGATGTTATATTTATTCTATATTTCTCACTAGATTGTCTCTACTGGATATATTCCCTAGCTATTATTCCTTCACGCTACATTGCTACATAGTATTTCCAGGTAATGTAGACAGACTGGGATTCGTTAGACATCCTAAACCTGCCTGCATTTTTTCTATTCTTTTGTGGCATTTTCTATTTGGGGTTAAGCCCCGTTGAGACCCCTGGAGTCTCTTGGCGGTATTTAAGACTATACTGTATAGGTGTGTTCTCCCTGTTTTCTAGGGAGGTGATACACACAGATACACGCATGGTCTTAATTAATTGTTGTTTTTTCATCATTAAAGGAACACTAAAGGGTCAGGAACACATACTTGTATTCCTGACCCTATAGTGTTAAAAACCACCATTTAGGTGGCTTGTCCCACTTACTCTCCTTATAAGGAATTAAAACTTACCTTATTTCCACCGGCACTGGCCCCACCCCAGATCAGTCTCCTTGGTGACATCACCACAATTGTTGATTTTTAGCCAAATTCGATCCTTTCTTGTAGGGAAAGTATTGGGTCAGCTCAAATCAGCAAGGAGGCTGGATGAGGGCGGGGCCAAATGCTGTTTTGACCAATCAGCACCTCCTCATATAAATGCTTTGAATTAATGCATCTCAATGAGGAAAATTCAGCGTCTCCATGTAGAGAATGGAGATGCTGAACGGCAGTGCTGCCTACTGTGCAGCAATGCCCCAGGAAGCACCTCCAGTGGCCATCTGAGGAGTGGCAACTGCAGATGCCCCTAGGGGGGACAATGTAAACACTGCATTTTCTCTGAAAAGGCAGGTTTGCATAAAAATGCCTGCAGGTAATGATGATACTCACCAGAACAACTACATTAAGCTGTAGTTGTTCTGGTAACTATAGTGTCCCTTAAAAGATTGAGGGGGATATACATACACTCATTCACTCTTTTCCACACATATGTAGCAAAGCAATTTTGCCCTTTCCTGTCCTTTCCTGTGCAATTATTAACTATTAGTAATCATTGACAGTTAAATCGTGGAAAAAATCATTATGTTATGCAATTTCACATCATAAAGATGTGAGAGCCTCATCCATCTTGAGTAGCGTGCTAATTCTGTCTCTCACTTTAAAAAGAACACTTATTTCCAAAAGATTGCAGACGATATTATGGAAGTGTAATATGTGTAAAATTTGCTGAATGTGGCAGGGCCATCCGAATTGTCTTGCTCCTGTTATAAACTCCTACATCAAAAAATAAAAATTCCAAATGAATCTTTTGTTATCTTAACAGCTGGAAAAATGCTAAATTAAAACTGTTCTTTAAAATCTCGGTAAATATCAATTCTTCTGCTGATTCCAATAATATTTCCCATGTTGAATAATGTTGCTATTAGTGATATCTCCATTAATTGCAGATTGAAAAGCCAATTGCCAACATCATTCAAATAAATTGTCATGTAAATGAAAACAAATAATTACTCCAGAACTAACAACTCTAGAGGGGGACAACATTAAATATAGTTTTATGTAATCCTTCATTTGAAAAAGTAAATATGACCATCTGTTTCTAACAGGTCAGTGGGGAATGCCTACAATAACAATAGCTGGCGTTTTAGGAATGTTTAGTGCGACCTTGGCTGGAATTGTTGAATCAATGGGGGATTACTATGCCTGTGCTCGGTTATCAGGGGCTCCTCCTCCACCCGTTCATGCTATAAACAGGTACTGAATAAGTTTCTATGTATGTTTGATATAATTCTAGTTCTCTGTTTACACATACACTACATGACCAAAATGACAAGTCTTGAAAATTACATTCAAAATCATAGGCAATAATTAGTTTGTTGTTTCACCTTTTCGTCACATAATATCATCATCACCTCTAGGACAACTAGAGTAAAATAGACTCTAGACTAGACTAGAGTAAAATATGATGTTGAAATATTTATGAGTATTTACTCCTATCAATATTGAGATTTGATACTGATGTTGGGCATTTTGACTTCCTCCTGTTTTATTTTAATGCATCATGATCATTATTCTCTTATTAATATTAGATTGCACCTATTACACAGAGCTGTATTGACTACAATATTCCAATTTGACTTGTGATATTCAGGCTTAATGTATAGGGGAGGCCCACAATTAAACATGTGAGGACTTATAACTGCCATATAGCAGAGGTAGTCAAATGTAAACATACTTATTGCACATTTCTGAGACTGTCCAATACTTTCAGGGGAATTGAAAATCACTTTGAAAACATTCATCTCCCTCCTACAGTTATATTAAGTACACTGAATGCTAAATGTACAAAAAGAACCTATAATATATATATTATTTTCTCCAGGGGTATATTTATTGAAGGAGTATGCTGTGTTATTGCTGGTTTACTAGGAACTGGAAATGGATCTACTTCATCAAGTCCAAATATAGGTGTTTTAGGAATCACAAAGGTAAAAACATTATGTAGGCTGGGTTTATGACTTTTAAAAGGGGGACTCTAAGCACTTTAACCACAATATCTCATGTAGAAAGTCTGTAGGGGTCATCTCCTTGGTTTTCGTCAATCTATTTTTAAGATGTTTGATGTTTTGATGTCAGCTGGTGTTCTTCTGATACTGAAAGTCTGCCTCACTGCTGTGGATCCATAGCAGGAGATGAAATTTCATCAATATTGGAGGCAGTAATAGTCTAAGAGTGCTTACAGAACATACAACGATTAAAGGGACACTATAGTCACCTGTACAACTTTAGCTTAATGAAGCAGTTTTGGTGTATAGAACATGCCCCTGCAGCCTCACTGCTCAATCCTCTGCCATTTAGGAGTTAAATCCCTTTGTTTATGAACCCTAGTCACACCTCCCTGCATGTGACTTGCACAGCCTTCCATAAACACTTCCTGTAAAGAGAGCCCTATTTAGGCTTTCTTTATTGCAAGTTCTGTTTAATTAAGATTTTCTTATCCCCTGCTATGTTAATAGCTTGCTAGACCCTGCAAGAGCCTCCTGTATGTGATTAAAGTTCAATTTAGGGATTGAGATACAATTATTTAAGGTAAATGACATCTGTTTGAAAGTGAAACCAGTTTTTTTTTTTTCATGCAGGCTCTGTCAATCATAGCCAGGGGAGGTGTGGCTAGGGCTGCATAAACAGAAACACAGTGATTTAACTCCTAAATGACAGTGAATTGAGCAGTGAAATTGCAGGGGAATGATCTATACACTAAAACTGCTTTATTTAGCTAAAGTAATTTAGGTGACAATAGTGTTCCTTTAAGTACCAACAGTAGGACATTGTATCAAAATTCATTATTACAACGTCTTGTTTTCCTGCATATTAGCTTCACAGTAGATGAGGTACAAGGAAGAAAAGTTAATTCCTATTAAGTTCTGACCCTCACACCAGTAATATGAATGTTTCTTTAGGTCTCTACCCCAAAAATAACAGAATAATGAATAGATAGCTCTGATGTCTATGAGTAAGGATAGAAATGTAGATGTACACATCTTAGACATTTTCTAGTGTAAATGTTTGACATCAGCATGTGGTAAATTTGCAGCTTAGTACATTTTCTATTCAGGTGGCATTCTTTCAAAGATATTTCTCAAAAAGCTAAAACATTAAAACATCTTCATGCGAATTTGCATAAGAAATTTTATTTCAGTTTCTCACGTAACAATTGTTAGAACCATGCTTTCTATTTTCTCAACACTATTTTTCAAGGTTGGCAGTAGAAGAGTTGTACAATATGGTGCTGGAATCATGTTTATTTTAGGAACAGTAGGAAAATTTACAGCACTATTTGCTTCAATCCCTGATCCAATTCTTGGTGGAATGTTTTGCACATTGTTTGGTAAGTTCTATATATCCTTGTTTATTTGTAATAATTATTATAGATTGTCTCAAATACCCCATATGATTGTAAACTGCTGCGGAATATGTTGGTGCTATATAAATGATAAAAATAATAGTAAAAATGATAATAATTTAAGGATGCTTACTTTTCTTTTCAAATGTTTTTTATTGTTTTTAAAAAATAATAAAACATTTATACTTTTTTGTCAATGTTTTAACAAGCAGCAATGTATAAACAACATGATATGTGAGCATTGACATAAAGAAAAAAGATCTTCAATATAGAGACGTTATCAATAGTATTAGTAACAGCATTAAGATCATAATTGAAAAAAACAGAAAAAAAACTGGTGAAAATGAATACATTTCACATTCATAGTATGATATAAAATAATTAAATGCAAATAAGTGTATATAAAGAAATAAAAAGTTTTTATAAGTCATATATATTTGCATAGATGTCATATGACAGATAAGGTAGATAATGAGTCAAACATAAGTGAATGTTTTTATCAGTCAGGTGGGAACATGGTCAAGCTTGTACTTGCTCCTCGTAGTTTTCTCCCATTCAAACCAGTCATGTCTGAGAAGTACATTGGTAGCAGATGGTACACCGAGAGCAAGCTCGCATCTTTTAATCCTTAACAAAAACTGTAAAATGTCTTTAACAGAGGGAATAGTAACAAGTTCCAATATCTAGAAATAATTGATGTAGCTGAGATAAAGAGGTGGGCTATCATAATTTCTTTGTGTGCTGATAAATCTTCAGGGAAGTGGTTAAGTAAACATAATCCAGGTGTTAAATCGACATGGAACTCAGTAATAGATATGATTCATTCTAATGTTTTATTGCCAGTAATCAGATAATTTTTGGCATGATCAAAAAATATGGTATAAAGTACCTGTCTCTTTATAGCCTTGCCAACATAAATTAGATGTGGAGAGGTGTAGTCTGAACATTTTAAATGGGGAGGATACTTGCTTTTCTCATTTCCTAAAATCAAATGTCATATGGACAAACCTGATCAAATATGTTTTGAACATAATGGATTTAAACCATTTTTAAACCTTGATTATTATGTAGTATTTGCTCTAATTTTCTATAAACTGCACATTTCTGGTAATTATTTTTTTATTAAAATAAAACACATTTTAAGCTACATTAGTATTTACATTGTCACCAGGGCCAGACTGGCCCACCAGGATACCGGGAAATTTCCACATGGGCTCCAGAACCTGAATTCAGTCAGTGCAGACAGGTTTTTTAAATAATTTTTTATTAAATATTTGTTTTGCCACAGACTGTTTGCTGGTTCCTGGTGCAGCCGAATTGGTGGGCGCATTGAGGATGCCAGTACACCCTACTAATAGCAGTGAGGCGTGAGAGAGTACTGCAAGTGTCTCTCACAAATACCCCAGCACCGTTTTCAGTTCATCCAGCATGCCCGTCTTCTGGAAGTTTTAGTTGGCTGCTAAATGCAAGGAGCAGAGGGAGCCAGACACTTCTCGTAGAATCAAAAAATATACACATAGGATAAGCGCTAGAGTATCAACTGATTATAAATATATGACAGCAGGCAGCAAACACTAATAGTAAGAGTCACCCTCAATCCCTTACTGAAAGATAACACACAAATCACAAATCAGAATCAAAATAAATAAATATATAAATAAGAGTGGAGCAGTATGAAAAAAAATAAAAATAAACGTTTAGGTGAAAAACCCAAGACCAAGTATAAATTGTAAAAAGTATTGCAGTAATACTCAATGGTCAGTAGATAGCGCCAAGTTAACACAGCTCACAGCACATGTAAAGGAAATGCATTAATACACATAATAGTGCAGATTATTTTAAATATAAAATATTTTCAACACCATCACTAATGTACCAAAATTCCCCCAATAATTATAATAAGGAGATCGGGTATCTGTCATATAGTGATGGAATGCTTATATAAGCAAAGTGCAGACAAATGTATTAAAACTCTGTGACAATAAAAACAAATAAACAAACTGTCTCTTACAAGAGAACGTGGTATTTATTTAATTTTTTGGGGGTACATTTTTAATCATTCATCCACTCTGCCAGTCCACCCCATATTCCTTAATTTCAATATAAATCTGTAGATTTTTATATGCATGTAATCAATATGCACCAGTAGACAATCACAGTCTACTTAAACTAATAACACACAAAGAATGAAATGTTGCCGTGTTTTTATTGAACACACCGTGTAAACATTCACAGTGCAGGTGGAAAAAGTATGTGAACCCTTGGATTTAATAACTGGTTCAACCTCCTTTGGCAGCAATAACTTCAACCAAACATTTCCTGTAGTTGCAGATTGCAGTTGCAGGAGTAATTCTTGACCATTCCTCTTTACAGAACTGTTTCAGTTCAGCAATATTCTTGGGATGTCTGGTGTGAATCGCTTTCTTGAGATCATGCCAGAGCATCTCAATCAGGTTGAGGTCAGGACTCAGTGACTGGGCCACTTCAGAAGGCCTATTTCTTCTGTTTAAGCCATTCTGTTGTTGATTTACTTATATGCTTTGGGTCATTGTCCTGTTGCAACACCCATCTTCTGTTGAGCTTCAGCTGGTAGACAGATGGCCTTAAGTTCTCCTGCAAAATGGGAATTAATTTTTCCTTCGATGATAGCAATCCGTCCAGGCCCTGACGCAGCAAAGCAGCCCCAAACCATTATGCCCCCACCACCATACATCACAGTTGGGATGAGGTTTTGATGTTGGTGTGCTGTGCCTTTTTTTCGCCACACATAGTGTTATGTGTTTCTTCCAAACAACTCAACTTTGGTTTCATGTGTCCACAGAATATTTTGCCAGTACTGCTGTGGCACATCCAGGTGCTCTTGTGCAAACTGTAAATGTGCAGCAATGTTTTGTTTGGACAGCAGTGGCTTCCTCTGTGGTATCCTCCCATGAAATCCATTCTTGTTTAGTGTTTTACGTATTGTAGATTCACTAACAGGGATGTTAGCATTTGCCAGTGACTTTTGTAAGTCTTTAGCTGACACTCTAGGATTCTTCTTCACCTTATTGAGCAGTCTGCGCTGTGCTCTTGCAGTCATCTTTACAGGGTGGCCACTCCTAGGGAGAGTAGCAGCAGTGCTGAACTTTCTCCATTTATAGACAATTTGTCTTACCGTGGACTGATGAACAGCAAGGCTTTTGGAGATACTTTTATAACCCTTTCCAGCTTTATGCAAGTCAACAATTCTTAATCGTAGGTCTTCTGAGAGCTCTTTTGTGCGAGGCATTATTCCCATCAGGCAATGCTTCTTTTTAAAAGCAAACCCAGAACTGGTGTGTGTTTTTTATAGGGCAGCTGTGTGGGGATATTTATGGGATGATAATATTAAACAGTCGAGAATTGCCCACTATTTAAATTCGCTTAGATTTTAGAGATCGTTTATCATGTAAGTGAAATGTATTCCATACAAATAAAATCACGTGTTGTAAAAATAGATTTAATTTATTGTAACAAATTAAATTACAATAATATTAGGCAGCATGCATGATAATAATCAGTGAGTATTTAGTATAACATAAGTATGCAATACAATGGAATGACTATACACGTTCCAATGGCTAACAGCATCAACTGTCACTTGATAAGATTTATGAGGGTACTTCACAGACAAAAAGTAAAGCTTCACACAGCGAAAAGCCATAAAACCTTGGCTAACAGTTAAATCAACTGAGTAACCCTTTCAATGCTGGCTAGATCCTCCTAGGCATATAATATCCTATTCTCATGTAATTTTCAATTAAAATAACATTCAAACCAGCTCATTAGTCATTTCCTGGAACCATCCAATAAGAATAATCTACCAGATTTTTACAAAAGCCGAATTTTAATTTGCCTAAAAAGATATCTTATCTTATTTTAGAGCAAATCAATACACCTGGATAAAAACAGCGGTATGCTAACACGTGATACTATCACATTAATATATAATTATTCTTAATTCCACCTGCAGAATGGAATGTTTATAACTATATATTCTTTAGTTAACTAAGATTTCTAAATATTGAAATCTGACCGTGATTTATCCAGTCATATATCATGCTATTAGTAAATTTTTAATTAATTTAGATTAATTAAATAAAACCTATAATTACCAGTTATGTAGATATTCTTGTCAGATGAGTAGGTAGTCCCAGAAATATGATTGGTTGTATGGAGGTGTGCAAGTAATAGAGAAAAGTGATGTTGGTTAGAAAGTCAGAGTAAATTTTAAGTGTCAAGGAGTTTAAGAGTTGAGTGTCAGTCCCAGAGAGTGTTTCTTGAGTCTCTCTCTCCGCATGTCCGAATCTGAATCCCCAAACTCCACCTAACTCCCTCTCTCTACCAACTTACCTCTCTCTTCCCTTTGTCCTAACTTTTAAAGGGCAAGACTCTCTGTACGTCATTAGTTGATAAGCCAATAGGAAACTGTAGATGGGTTCAATCGATGGATCGCAATTTAGGTATTTGATCCATAGAGGGCAGTCTCGTCTTACTAAACCTTCCTATCCAGGAGAGCGTTAACTTTTCCTGATGACGATTTTGATGTCATTTGGCTTATCTAAAATGACTACCATAACTTAGATTTGCTGCCAGTTCAAAGCGTTTGTCTCAGTCTTTGTGGCAACTACTTTGATCGTAATTTGTAAGTTGACAGTTCTAAACTCAATTTCACCCCTTACTTCCAATGGGACCTTGTAAAATTTAGAAAGTAAAATTAATTACTTAGTCTTCTCTGTCACTAGTGTCTGTGTTTATATAATGCATACCTTAGCTCATGCTCAGTGGTTAGTGAAAGCAAGGAAATTATGTGTCTTTGTTATCCTGAAGATAGCAAAATGGAGTCCGCTCTGTTCTGAGTAACTCTGGCAATATACACTTTTAATTTCTTTCTTAGCACAAAATGTCTGCCGATATAAATATTCTGACAGCTGTAACCAACACCTCCAATCTCATCTCATTGATTGAACTCCAGTTGGCTGACATCTCATTCCAATTAGCTCTTGGAGATGTCATTAGTCTAGGGGTTCACATACTTTTTCCACCTGCACTGTGAATGTTTACATGGTGTGTTCAATAAAAACATGGCAACATTTCATTCTTTGTGTGTTTTTAGTTTAAGCAGACTGTGATTGTCTATTGTTGTGACTTAGATGATGATCAGATCACATTTTATGACCAATTTGTGCAGAAATCCATATCATTCCAAAGGGTTCACATACTTTTTCTTGCAACTGTATGTTTTTAACTAATTCAGTGCAGTCAAAAAATGTATTTACTACTTTTAAATGCTATTTTGTATGTATTTATTTTTTATATGTGTTTTTTACAAAGATTTTCAATCTGCAATGATGTCTATTTTATAAATACTATTTTGTAAAACACAAGGACTCTTTCAAGTAAGGACCTTTTTTTTATGCCATCTAAGATAATGAGTATATGGGAGTATGCAAATAAAGCTTAATTGATACTCCTATTAGGAACAAGAACTAGTCTTTTCTTTAATTTAATTGTCTCAAGGTATTAATTACGATATAAGCTAAATGTGTTTAGGACCAATGCAGAGGAGGGTGACTGATGAGCTTCTAGTCAAGGACAGGGCTAGCATCAGAAATCACCTCTTACAAAATCATGTTGCTAGGCCCCTCTGGCACACATTCCCAGAAACAAAACCTACATACACATCTCTAGACATATGCATACATGAATATGCTGTCAGATACAGAAACGTAGATACACATTCTAAGCTACACGTTTACATTCCAAAACAAAGAACATGCATCAAAGACTAACACAGACATACATTGCCAGACACACACAGATATATACAGCAAGCCATGCACATTACCAGGCCTAATCTGCCATTAATATACATACAAAAACAAAATGATCCACACATAGACAATTACACGTATGCAATGACACACAAATACACATAGATAAACTTACTCTGACCCACACCCTGCATACACAAACACACATGCACACATTGAAATTGGTTGCAAAAGGCTGACTTGACCAGGTTCTAGTGGCAACTGGCTGCAAGTAATTGTTTCTACTTTCTCCTATTATCTGTGTGCCAGGAGGAAGTAATATTTAATCACACCATCCTAGTTCCACAACTGCCTTTGGAGGGAACAGTTACAGTAAAGTTGTTCTATTCTTACTGCCTGGGCTGCATTTACCAGCGTCCAGGCTGGTGCACTGGTAAATGCAGTCCAATTTGGGGAGACATTTCTATCTCCCAAACTGGATCACAGCTGGAGAACATAGGTTTCAAAGAAACATTCCATGCACCATAACAACTACAACCCTTTAGTTGTTATTCTATAGATATCTCAATAGGATAAAACACAGCAGATGCCACATCACGGTTATTGGCTGAGAGTGCTCTACTAACATTCTCAGTCAATGAAAGCAGTTCTGCATGACCCTGGTTTTCTCTGTGCAGAGAAAAAAATCCAGATTCTCCTGCAGGAATAGACTGGGTGCAAGAGATGCAGCTGCAAGTGCCCAGAGAGACCCCGTACTAACCATACTCTGTAAATACATTTTTTCAGTCTACTCTTACAGCAAAATTGTGCCAATTTTGGGTTTAGTGAAAAACAAAGTAGAGGATAATATTTTGCTTTTCTAAATGTGTGTAAGTTTATCTACGACACAAATAAGCATTGTAATACATTTATCAAAGCATTTGCAAAAATATTATGGTGTAAATTTTGTATTTGTTAAATTTATTATAATATGACAATTTGAGGAATTATGAATACAATATATTATTTTTATTTATTTTCAGGCATGATAACAGCTATTGGCCTTTCTAATCTTCAGTTTGTTGACATGAATTCTTCTCGAAATTTGTTTGTGTTGGGTTTTTCCCTGTTTTTTGGATTAGTATTACCAAACTTCTTAGATTCACACCCTAACTATATAAAAACAGGTAAGAATTTTTACGAGTGCTAAAATTTACAATCCTAACCTACCATTCAAGACCTAAAGTTACTTGCTACTAAAAATGAATGTGACAAGAATTTTGATTCATATATTATTACTGCATGGAGAGACAATGTGTGTTTGATGTGTAAATGCATTAATGTATGTGGATGAAGGATAAGTGTGTGTGCGTGAATGCAGGGATTTGTGTGTGTGAATGCATAGTTGTGTTTAAAATGTAGATTTTGTATTGTACAGGACACAGAGATTGAACAAACACGCTGGATAGAGACCTATGAGTGCACTTCTTTTCTGTGGTTTATATATATATATATATTTATATATGTACAATAAGATACAAACAAATGCAACTGTTTAACACTAGGAAAGGGAAGAAAGTGATACAGCCTCTTTTGATTAGCAGGATTATTGCTGTAAATGTCAATCCATATTGTTGTTACTTTCTGCCTTACCTATTATTTTACTTAATAATAATTTGCTTTTATAGGGATAACAGAAATGGATCAAATATTGACTGTGCTTTTAACAACAGAAATGTTCGTAGGTGGCTGCATTGCATTTTTTCTGGACAATACTCTACCAGGTATATAAACAGTTCGTATTTTGCAAAACAATATATAATACAAAAAGAAAATATTTCAAGAAAATGTTTTATTGAATGATTATGCCTAATTCATTTCTAATACCTGTTTGACATGAATGGGTGTTTGCACAGGTAATAATTACATGTTTTATACTTAAAGAAAAAATTGTATAGGCTGTCATACAGGATCAGGTTACCTTTCTTGTTTTCCTTATAAAACACATTTCTTCAAATGACATCCTCAAATGAAAGCACCCTGCCTAAAAATACATATTACAAATCTATATAACATTTTGAGATTAGAAATACAGCATATAGCAAAATACATAGAAATCAATACGTTTCCTGGTTTATAAATCTATTTATGCTAGCCTACATGATATAATGTTCTGATAACTTCTTATAACATACCGTTTTAAATGGCCAGTCTTACAAAAATTGGCCCAATTTTATGAATAAATGTAATGCATGAGATGTCAGAAACCAAAGTGCACCTTGCACTTTAGGATAGTATTGGGTAAGATATGATAGATAAAGCATATCTTTTTAGAAACTAAACAACATGGGGAATAAATTGACTTGTCACTTCAATTACATAATAACCCAAACATAAATCATTCACAAATTTCCAGTTATTGCGGTGATAGCAATAACAGATAATTATTGTCTTCTCCAATTTATAAATGAGTAAATCTAATAGAATATGACAGTACTATACTTTCCACTGTAGATGAAAACCCTTCTGAGAAAAACAGTACGCAATTTAAATGTGTTGACACAGTGACGGATCCAGAGCCTGATCTCTGGAGGGGCACTTGTAGATTATTTAAATAAATAATCCAGACACAATAACCACTACAGCTCAGTGTAGTAGTTATGGTGCCAGTAGTGCCAGAATCCCATCCCAGAGTAAGTAGTCAAACTGTTTAAGAACAGTTTGACAACTTACCTGGGTCTGCTGGGATATAGGGCATAGGAGCAGTGGTATATGTTAGGGGTGAAGTGTGTATTAAAGGTGCAGTGTGTGTGTGAGCGGTGAAATGTGTGCGTGAGGGCGGCAGTGTATGTCAGGGTTGCAGTGTGTGTGTTAGGGGGCAGTGTATGTGTGGAGCAGTGTGTGTGAGAGTTGCAGTGTATGTGTGTTTGGGGCAGTGTGTGTATGGTGTGGCACTGTATGTGTGTCTGGGGCAGTGTGTGTATGGGGGGGCACTGTATGTGTGTGTGGGGCAGTGTGTGTATGGGGGGCACTGTATGTGTGTGTGGGGCAGTGTGTGTATGGGGAAGCACTGTATGTATGTGTGGGGCAATGTGTATATGGGGGGCAGTGTGTGTATGGGGCAATGTGTGTATGGGGGCAATGTGTGTGTATGGGGCATTGTGTGTATGGGGCAGTGTGTGTGAATGGAGCAATGTGTGTGTATTGGGGGCAGTGTGTGTATGGGGGGGAAATGTGTCTATGGGTGTGCAGTCTTTGTATCGGGGGAAGGAGGGTAGGGAGGCTTTTTAATATATTTTTTTAAATTTTTATTTAATAAAATTAATATAATTATGTCCCCCCTCCCTTCTTACCTTTATTGAGGAGGAGGGGGGACATTCCTCCATCCCTGGTGGTCCGGTGGGGATTCCCTGGTGGTCCCAGTGGTATTTGAGGCTGCCTGGCCATGCCGGTATTGCAGTAATACAAATGCATGTATTTTTCTCAGTAAACTGTGATTACTCTGCAATACCAGCACCGGCCTGTAGGGGTGTATGTGGAGAGAGGCAGGGATAGGAAGTTGCAGCATATCCCTGCCTCTCTCTACTACTCACTGATCCATGGGTGAGCAGCTACACAGCACAGAGAGTCCAGACAGCAGCTCTACAGCTCAGGTAACTGAGGGATGGGGGGAAAGGCAGCAGGGAGACATGGGGACACAGACACTAGGGGACACATGGGGACACAGACACTAAGGACACTGGGAGACCTGGGGACACTGAGATACTTGGGGACACTGGAAAACATGGGGACACTGTGAGACATCGGGACACGGAGACACTAGGGACAAAGTGCCCCTAGTGGCTCAGTTTCCCCTAGTCTCCCAGTGTCTGTGTCCCCATGTCTCTCTGTGTCCCCAGTGACTCAGAGTCCCCATGTCTCCCAGTGTCCCCATGTCTCCGAGCTAGTGTCCTCAGTGTCCCCCAGTCTCTCCAAATGTCTGTGTCCCCATTTGTCCACAAGTGTCCCCATGTCTCCCAGCCAGTGTCCCTAGTGTCTCAGTGTCCCCAAGTATCCAAGTAACATGGGGACACACTGAGACATGGGGACACTGGGAGAAATGGGGACACTGATACAATGGGAGACTAGGGGACTGGGTGACATGAGGACACTGACACTGTGATACATAGTGACACTGAAACACTGGGTGACCTGGGAGACAGAGAGACAGTGGGAGCATTTCATCTATACAGCAGAATCAAACTGTGTGTAGTTTGTTGGTGATTTGACAGAATTTTCTCTTATGTCACTCGTCACTTGTGATTTATGTGATGTCATGCATAACTAATAAATTATGCAAATGATTAAAGTCAGTATTTTTTTCCAAGAAAGGTTGCAACCCTAACTACTCTTCACATACTCTTGCTTAAGGTAACACTATAGGGTCAGAAACACAATCATGTATTTCTGACCCTATTATGTAAAAAACACCATCTAGCCCCCAGGCCCCTCTTGCCTCCCTAAATATAGTACAATCTTACTTGTATTCAAGTCTGCAGCTGCTGGCTCTGCCTCTGAACTGACTCTGTCTGCTGACATCATCAGAAGTGGTGGTCTGAGCAAGTTACAATGCTTCCCCATAGGATTCCAATTCTTTGGACAAACATGCCCCCTTTTTGGGCATGTTCACCCCTTTTGGCAGGTCTGGTCAAATGATTTGCGCCAGTGGCACACCCTTTTTTCCTGCCCATTGACTTCCTGCTTCACTGGACACTGCTGTTAGGGGATATGGATTTACTTGAAAGATGAAAGCATAAATTAGGGAGAGATTAGCATAGAGTATTTGTTTTCTGCATCCTTTGAGTTTCCCTCCAACACTATCTCCATCAGATACATGACGCTTGGGAGGTACGGTTGTTTTAGTATTTTTGGTCGATAAGATTCTGTAATTAGGCCCATCATAATTGTCAGCTCCAGGCCCACTGAGCTCTTAATCTGGCCCTGGCTAGAGACCCCCAAAGATGGTATACCCACAATAAATGATGTACGCAATGACATGCATAAGAAATACATTTAAAATATAAACATTTTAGGGCAGAGCTAGAAGCCATCGTGTTAAGAGGCACTCACTGAGTGCTTTACGTCCACTATGTGCTACTTTTGGCCAGAAAAAAAGCTCAATATTACTCTTTTTTGATGGAGCAGACTATAATCAATAATGGGGAAAAGAACCCACAAGTCTTGGCCTGATCCAAAGATATTAGGGACTCCCTAGCAAAGGCATAAGATGGTGGCTCCTTACAGATCACCCTCTAATTCATCGAAGTATCAAGACTTAGACAACCCTGACCCAGTCTCTGTTACAGGGGCAGATGAAATCCCTATTTCATAAGGGGAGGATGAATCCATGACGACCAAGGCCGACATTAAAGGCTTTCTGTAGGATAACTGTAAGCTATTCCAGGCTGATGTAGCAGTGGTGCGACAGGAGGTTCACACTGTAACGGGTCGGATAACGGCAGTAGAAGAAGACTTTCCAGATCTTCACCAAGCTCATTTAATTAACTCTCTACTTACCCAGCAATATTTACAGTCACATGAAACCCTTCCTAGCCCTATGGCAGTATTGGAAGATAAACTGAGACAATGCAATCTGAAGATCAGAGGTGCTGTAGGTTCTGTAGAGGCTACTGAACTGCCACAATATGTCAGAATATTGCTCTTCATGCTGTTTCCTTCAATGCAAGTAAAAGCAATACACTTGGAAGGAGTGTTCATGGTGGGATGCTCAACCTAGATTTACAAATGCATCCCCCAGGGACATTGTGGTAAGATTTCAACTTCTCTTTGACAATCGAGCTGTAACGGCTGTGGTCCGTTCGAAACAACCACTGGTGTTTGAGGACTCAAGCCTCTCTTTCCACAAGAATCTCAGAAAGGCAACACTTACCTGGAGCTTGCCCCATTAAGTGCTTGCAAACCGCAGGAATCAAATACCGATGGGGCCTTACGCGAGCTTTGCTGGCTGTCAGGTTTATTGATGTCAGGTACTGCCTAGTTTGGACAAAGCAGGAAGATGCATATATCCTTTGAGATTTGCAGCACATGCACAAAATTGAAAAATTAGTAGATTTTTTTAATTTTTATATTTATTATTATTATTATGATATTTATATAGCGCTATCAAATTCCGCAGCGCTTTACAATGGGTGGACGAACAGACATGTAGTTGTAACCAGACAAGTTGGACACACAGGAACAGAGGGGTTGAGGGCTCTGCTCAATGAGCCTACATGCTAGAGGGAGTGGGGTAAAATGGCACAAAAAGGTAAGGATAGTATTAGACTAGTGACAGTTGCAGAAGAGGAATCAGTCAGGAGCTATTAACAGTTTAATTGATACGCTTTATGGAGAAGTGGGTTTTTAACAATTTTTTTGAAGGAGTGGAGACTGAGCATTTAACAGAGGAGGGAAGCAAGTTCTACAGGAACGGTGCAGCCCTCGAGAAATCTTGAAGGCGAGCATCAAAGGTGGGAGTACGGACAGAAGATAGACGTAAGTCTTCAGCAGAGCGTAAGGGCCTAGACGTGACTTGTGTATAAGGGAGGGTAGATAGGTGGGAACAGCATTATGTAGAGATTTGAAAGCAGGAACCAGAATTTTATAGTAAGCCAATGTAGGGACTGACAGAAGGGTGAGGCATGGGAGATGCGGGCGGACAGGAAGATGAGCCTCGCTGCCGCATTCATTATGGACTGTAACGGCGCAAGTTGGGAGCACGTAAGACCACTGAGAAGTGGATTACAGTAGTCAAGGTGAGAAAGGACAGTGGAATGGACCAACACCTTAATCACATCTAGCATTAAGTAGGGGCGGATGCGTGCAATGTTTTTGAGATGAAAATGACAGGATTTGGTGATAGATTGAACATGAGGCTTGAAGGAGAGGTCGGAGTCAAAGAGAACACCTAGGCAGCGAGCCTGCGTGGTGGAGCTGATGGTAGCACCGTTGACTTGAAGGGAGACAAACACAGGAGTAACAACACTTGAGGGAGGAAAGACCAGAATTTCAGTTTTGGTCAAGTTTAGTTTAAGGAAGTGGGCAGCCATCCAGTTAGAAATAGTAGAGAGGCAGTCAGATACACTAGTCAAGAGGGACGGGGAGAGATTAGGAGAAGACAGGTAGATTTGCGTGTCATCTGCATAGAAATTATATTGGAAGCCAAAGGAGCTAATGAGTTTACCAAGATAGGCAGTATAGATGGAGAACAGTAGGGGACCAAGGACTGAGCCTTGGGGGACACCAACAGAGAGGAGTTGGGGAGAAGAAGCAGAGCCAGAGAAAGAAACACTGAAAGAGTGCTGGGAGAGGTAGGAGAAGCACCAGGAGAGAGCAATATCTTGTAGACCGATATTGCGGAGGATGAGAAGAAGCTGTTGATGATCAACAGTGTCAAAAGCCGCAGACAGGTCAAGGAGAATTAGGATAGAGTAGTGGCCACGAGATTTTGCAGCGAGTAGATCATTGGATACTTTGGTCAGTGCCGTTTCCACAGAGTGCTTAGCGCGGAAACCAGACTGAAGCGGGTCTAGCAGAGAGTTAGACTCGAGGAAGTCTATCAATCTCGCATACACAATTCTTTCAAGGATCTTGGATGCAAAAGGCAGTAGCGAGATAGGACGATAGTTGGATGGGGAGTTAGGGTCAAGATTGGGCTTCTTTAGAATTGGGGTTACAGTTGCATGTTTGAAGGGTGATGGAAATATACCAGAGGAGAGAGAGAGATTGAGCATTTTAGTGAGAGGTGGAGAAAGAGAATAAGACAGAGTACGGATGAGATGCGAGGGAATTGGATCTAGGGAGCAGGTGGTGGTGTGGGAGGACTGGAGCAGAGCAAAAACCTCTTCCAATGTAGCGGGTGCGAATGAACATAGAACAGCAGAGGGAGTGAAGTTAGGGGAAGTATTGTAAGGGGAAGAAGAAAGATGAGAGATCTCTTCTATGATTGTAGAGATCTTGTCAGTGACGTGAGTTGCAAAGTCTGAGGCGGTCAAGTTAGTAGGTGGAGGAGGAACAGCAGGGCGAAGAAGAGAGTTAAATGTGTGAAATAGTTGTTTGGGTTCGCGGGAGAGTGTGGTTATGAGGGTATTGAAGTAATTAACTTTTGCAGCGGAAAGAGCCAAGCTGTATGAGCTCAGCATACATTTATAGTGGAGAAAGTCAGATGCACAGTGAGACTTTCTCCAACACCGTTCAGCAGTTCTGGAGCATTTTTGGAGGTATTGAGTGAGCTTGGTGTGCCAGGGTTGTTGTTGGGGGGGCCTGTGGCGTTTAAATATACAAGGTGCCATGATGTCTAGTTGAGTGGAGACGGTGGAATTGTAGAAGGAGGTTGCAGAACTAGGACAGGTGAGGTTTGAGATAAATAAAAGGAGAGTTTGTAGATTAGTGGAGAAATGCTCTAGGTCAAGACATTGGAGGTTTCTGTGAGAGTGATGTTCAGACAGTGGTGTCAATTGGGTCTTAGAATTGGGTCCCAATGTCAAAAGTCAGCAGATGGTGGTCAGATAGAGGAAAAGGAATATTGGAGAGATTAGAGGCAGTACAGAGGTTGGTGAAGGCAAGATCAAGAGTGTTTCCCGCTGTATGGGTTGCTAAATTGGACCATTGCGTAAGGCCAAAGGAGGAGGTTACAGAGAGCAGACGAGAGGCATCACTGCAATTGGGGTTGTTGATTAGGATATTGAAATCCCCAAGTATAAGGGAAGGAGTGCTAGATGAGAGGAAGTGGGGAAGCCAGGAACAAAAGTGCTCAATGAATAGTCTAGGATAACCAGGGGGGAGGGGGGGGCGGTAGATGATAGCAATTCTTAAAGGAGTGGGTTTAAATAGGTGGACAGTGTAAACTTCAAAAGAAGAAAAGGATAGGGCAGGGGGAGTTATGATAGGTTGAAATGTACATTGAGGGGAGAGAAGGATGCCTACGCAGCCTCCTTTACACTTGAGTCTGGGAGTGTGAGTGTATTGTAGCCCACCAAAATATAAAGAGGCAGGAGTAGCGCTATCAGAGGGGGACAGCCAGGTCTCTGTAAGTGCAAGCAGTGTGAGTGAGTTATTATCAATAAAATTTTTACTGAGCTAAGTGCACACAATAATACCAGTACTCCATGATAAATAACAGGTACAGTAGGCAAAATACCTCAGTTTTATATTTATAATTACAAGATGAATTTGGTCCAGTGTTGCTATATAAGGAGATAAGAATTTTGAGTAAGAAAATATTAATAAGCCTGACAAACATTTTACAATGCTTTCCTATGGGTCTGGCCAAATGTGCTAATGTGCATTAGGACCCCGATGTCGTGGAAGGAGGAGCCAAGGCGGAGCTTTACCCCGCACCGAGGGCCACTGAAGTAGGCGGCAGCCGCTTGCGTCACAGGAAAAAAGCACGGTAAAAACAGCCAGATTGGCAGCGCAATTCTCGCTGCAGCAGGGCCTGATTAGTAGAGTGTTGGGAAGATAAGAAAAAAGTTGCCATTAGATCACGGTCAACAAAAAACCCTGAACCGAAAGGGAGGGGAATAATTAGAGCTGAGTGTAAGAGGATAAAATGGCCAGTGGGAGTGAAAGAAAAAACCCTGTGGGCCAACAAGATGTCGGCCCTGAGGGGAGAATCTATATAATGAAGTATAAAAAAAAGATGTAATAATAATAATAATTAAGACCAAAAAATACAATTAAAACAATTGTACTGAAACTGAGGTACACAAAATATACAGCACTAAGGCCAATGTAATCAGAATTGACTCACCTGGAGGCAAGCAGCAAAGAAAGAGGGGTTGGGAGGAGTCTCATAGCCACATATTACTGTCTAGATGTCTTCTGATTGGTTGATTTTGTTTTCAATTGTTTAACTGTTTCTTTGCTGCTGGGAGGATTCAGTAAAGCAAGTAAAGCAAATATGAAGCTTCCTGTGTTGCCATAAAATGTAAATGTTCACTATTTTTAAAGGCACAGCACGCTTTAATTTTAGCTTTTTGATAGATGTTTTTTGAGCTAGTACATTTATAAGGTGCTCTTAAGTTAAATAGTGATTATATTAAGGTACTCTATATTTTAGAGAATTTTATATAGAGTTTATTTTGGGTGGTTTTTAGGACAGTTTTATAGCTTCAGGCATTTTTAGTAAATGGCTCCAATTATAAGTATATATGTGCAGAGAGACAGGGCAACAAAATCTATTTAAGGGCCATGTAATTTTAAGGTGCATGGAGTGTCCTTTTTAAGTAGTTGACATGTAAATGCATTTAAAATGTAAAATCTTGCTTTAATGTTAAACCTATCTTTTTTGAGACTTACCTGGTCTCCTCAGAAGTGGGGAAGCTGGATCTCAGTTTTGTTCGCATTTGTATGCACTATAGTTTGCATTTGTATGCACTACAGTATACCTTTAAGCATATCAGAAACTGTTGATCCCACACATAACAAACAAAAATACAATTGATGCAAAGTGTGAGAGGTCATTAACAGAGGCTCCTTAAATGCTCAGTCTTGAAAATCTACCTCATCAAAGGCCACAAACTGAACCATCCAAAATGGTGCCGACAGGGCCTACTTTCTCAACTTACTCAAAGGAGAGCTCAAACTATAAAGCCAAGAGTCACCCAACTCCTTCCTCCCAATTCAAGCCTTGGAATCATATGATGACACTACATCCTCTACTAAAGGGAACATTAGAGCCTTGTTCCAAGAATTTAAGGCAATGTTCCACAGTGAACTGGAAGGCCTGAAAATTGAAGTGAGAGCACTGACCATAAGATCACAAACCTTGGAAGAGGTCCTGCATCTGGGATGAGACTGCCTCTGGTTGCGTTCCCACAATGGCTGTCACAGATCACTTAGAAAAATTGGAAGCTACTGTGGATGGTCTCTTGACCCAAATATGAGTTTATAACATTCATATTTGAGGCATATCTGAAAGGGTCATGACTTTGAAGGACTATGCAGAGGCTATTTAGCAAACTCTGAGTTTGGAACTTTGAGAATTGGCAACCCAATTCAAGTGAGTAGGTCATACAGAATCAGGTGAGCAGTTTTGGCTCCAACAGACGCCCCTTGAGATGTGATTGTCCAGATGGCAACTGTGGGTGGCAGAATGGCAACCTGGCAGCTGTCACATACCTTACCAGCAGCACACTATGACAAACTGTAATTTCTTGTTTTTACAGACTTGGCTTATCAAACACTAGGGAAACCTTTAGGGGGGTATTACAGCTACACATTCTGGAAAACAATAATATTTTACTTCACCGGAAATCCAGAAGTATTTCTTTCAGGCCCTAGTATTTCCTGCTACTAATGACACCAGTGAGCTGACATATGGTTGGAGGAGGGCTTTGATTGAGCCGAGGGAAATCCCACTACTGAGAAACTTTAGCCTTTTGTGTCTTTGAGTGAAGATTGGATTCCGCACTAAGTTCCATTACTTTATACAGTTCTAGACCCGAAGCTGGATTTCTTGCTAGGTGGAGTAGGCACCTGCATACAGGCACCTGACCTGTAGGAGGCACCAGTTTTCAGCACTTATAATGTGCTTTTTTGGGTTGATGGGGACACACTAGCCACAAGTCTCCAAAAAACTACTGTGTCCTCCAAGTCCCACTAAACCACCTACATTTTATGTTCAATACCACAATATTCTTTATGTCATTCTCCCACCCACATTGGATATTAGAGTCACCCCCCTAAACACATTAACCCTTAACACCTCAAAAAGACAGAACAAAAATTATAACTTTCCTAACACCTCTATAAATATAAAGTAAATATAAGGTAGGCAGGTCAGATCTACTGTCTTGTTTGGGGTTCCCCACAGCACCTCAGACTTTCATTGCGGTCTTGCTTGGGGCCAGGCAGAGATATCCCGCCATGCCACCTCACTCCCAGATGGAGTGTGCTGCATGTTCCGCTGCCGTGATGGGGCTTTCACTAACGACCAGCTTGGCTTCCTCTCCTTTCCCCTGGAATCAATGCCACGGAGCGATCCAGGGCCAGTCACCTCCCTTCTGCGGCGATGCTCTCGTTGTTGACATGAGGCCCAAACAGGAATTGGAACCAGTGCCTAGCGCTGCAAATTCTGTCCAGGCAGGAGATGATTTCTGCTTGCTCCACAGCCAAGACAGTGGATCTCATGGCATCTGCCATTTCAGAGAAGGCCCGCAGGTTGTGGTGACTCAGCGAGGCCTCCAAAGAGTTGACCGGTATAACCCCTGCTGGTCCAGAGGGGAGGGGGGATAACGGTGCACTAATGGGACACCACAGAGGCTGGGGGCACTCCAGACCAAGAGATCAGAAGACTCTCCCACTCTATACGTACAACAGGTCGCACTGTATCAAGACAAGTATGCCAGTAAATGGCAAGCTGGATGGCATTTAGCTGAGTCCCTGTACTCTGCTTCGGTTGGGGAGCACGAGAGGCACTGTTAGAGTTGTGCAGGGTACAATAATGGGCAAATATATTGATATAAATACCCTACAAGTGAGGAGCTCTTGTGAAGTGCGACTATCCGCCATTAAGGTCAGGCCCGCCCCCCAAAACACTGCTATTTACTACATATGGTGATGTTTCCATTGCAGGGCTAAATACACCTATAGTGGCTTTCTTCCTCACAGACCCAAGAGGTGTTTCCACTGTGAGAACATTTAGACTCGGCAGTCACAGCTAACCTTCTCAAATGTGATAGATAGACAAAAAATTTACCAAAACAGCATGGTCCACATACCTTTGTCTCATAAGAGCTGCAGTTGTGCTCAAAAGTTTGAATACCCTTGGAGAATTGGTAATACATGTACCATTTTTATAGAAAACATGAGTGAGCAGGCAAAACACATTTCTTTTATTTCTTATGGGATTCATATTCAACTGTAGGTTTTAACAAAATGTCACAATCATAAAACAAAGCATGGCAACAAATAAAAAAATGAAATGACCCCTGTTCAAAAATCTGCATACCTTTAGTTCTTAATACTGTGTATTGCCCCCTTTAGAATCAATTACAGCGTGCAGTATTTTGTAATAGTTGTCTATGAGGCCCCTAATTCTTGCAAGTGGTATAACTGCCCATTCGTCTTGGCAAAATACCTCCAGGTCATACAAAAGCTTTGGTCGTCTTGCATGAACCGCAGGTTTGAGATTTCCCCAGAGTGGCTCGATGATATTAAGGTCAGGAGACTGTGATGGACACTCCAGAACCTTACACCTTTTTCTGCTGAAACCACTGGAGGGTCAACTTAGCCTTGTGCTTAGGGTAATTGCCATGTTGGAAAGTCCAAGAGTGTCCCATGTTCAGCCTTCGTGCAGAAGAATGCAAATTGCCTGCCAGTGTTTTCTGAGAACATGCTGCAATCATCTTGACAACAATTTTCACAAGACTCCCTGTGCCTTTAGAGCTCACACACCTCCAAAACATCAGTGAGTTACCACCATGCTTCACAGTGGGAATGGTATTCTTTTCACTGCATGCCTTATTGACACCTCTCCAAACATAGTGGTTATGGTTGTGACCATAAAGCTCTATTTTGGTCTCGTCCCTCAAAAGCAGTGAGGCATGTCAAGGTGTTGTCGGGCAAATTGTAACCAGGCTTTTTTGTGGCATTGGCGCAGTAAATTATTCTTTCTGGCTATTCGACCATGCAGCTCATTTTTGTTCAAGTATCGTCGTATTGTGCTTCTTAAAACAATCACACCATCTTTTTCCAGAACAACCTGTATTTCTCATGAAGTTATCTGTGGGTTTTTCTTTGTATTCTGAACAATTCTTCTGGCAGTTTTGGCTGAAATGTTTCATGGTCTACCTGCCCTTGGCTTGGTATCAAGAGATCCCCAAATTTTCCACTTCTTAATAAGTGATTGAACAATACTGACTGGCATTATCAAGGTTTTGGATATCTCTTTACAAATTTTTCAATCTTTGCGCAGGTCTTTTGACAGTTCTTTTCTGTTCTCCATGGCTCAGTATCTAGCCTGCTCAGTGCATCCACGTGACAGCTTACAAACTCATTGACTATTTATACACAGATACTAATTGCAATTTAAAAAGCCACAAGTGTGGGAAATTTAACTTTAATTGCCATTTTAACCTATGTGTCACCTTGTGTGTCTGTAACAAGGCCAAACATTCATGGGTATGTAAACTTTTGATCAGGGCCATTTGGGTGATTTCAGTTATCATTATGATTTAAAAAGGAGTCAAACAACTATATGATAATAAATGTCTTCATATGATCACTATCCTTCAATTAAATACTTTTTTTTGCATGATCAGTCATATTTTCAAAATCCATGCCAACATTTCACAATTTCTGCAAGGGTATGCAAACTTTTGAGCACTTTGTACTTTTATGCGGCCCTTTTAAGTCTGCCCTATATATTGAATTCCACATTTGTAATATAACATAAAAATAATAAGGTACTTGTGATAAAATGTTAATTTTAGACTTTTTACATGTAACCTGTGCATTGGATTTTAAATAGACATATTTTATATTTGTTTATTCAGGGACTCAAGAAGAACGTGGAATAAAAAAGTGGAAGCAGGGAGCTGATGTGAACACTCAGACGTCTGAAGATCTTAAAAGTTATGATTTCCCCTGTGGAATGAATATAATTAGACATATACAGTGCTTTAGAAGTATACCTATTTGTCCACTTTTTAAAGGATTTAAATCGATAAACTTGCAGACATGGTCAACGAACACAGGTAGTAAAGACAACATGTCTATGTGTACAAAAGTGTAATATACATCATTGTTTATTTTCATAATGCATACCATGCATGTTCAAGATGTTTATCACACATAGAATAAGCTATTTAAAGACAATTGAATGGTGGATTTTACCAACTTTAATGTAATACATTAAAAAAAAGTTTTCTATGAATTAAAAGACAAACTGATATATTTGCCTTCTTTGTAATCTTGAATCAACTTAATCCTTCAAACTGTCCTCTATTCCAAGCCGAAAGGGGCTGATATATCTAAGTTGTTCCTTCTTGTTCAAGTCTGCACATAATATTAACCAACAGGGCCAGCCTTAGACATTTAGGCGCCCTGTGCGAAAAATCTTCACAGTGCCTCCCTTTAAATCCCTTTAAATGCTCAAGCTGAGTGTCAGATATTGAGTGAAAATGGCATTGTAAACAAGGAACGCAAGAGATAGATTTTCTACTTTAAATTGTGTATGTATATAAACATAATGAAACCTCAGTGGAAAAACTAATTTTGTTATAGAAGTTTCTCCAACTGCTGTGGTCAAGTACAACAGTAGCTCATATATCCCTCTCGCAGCCACATTTATTGCTGAATGTCAAGTTTATTACACTGCAATGCATTTCACAGATAGCCTGATTACTGAATTATATAAATTCCCTGCAATGCAATTTAATAAGTCATGTCCAGAGTACCTGATTCTAACGTCCAAATAAACTCTCAATTTAAATGTGTGATTTGCTGTTCAATTTGTGTGAATAAACCTGTGCATAAAACAAACAAATTAGGAAAATCTTGAAAATGGGAAACTGATTTACAACTTATTTCAGGAATCTGTATTCCTAATGTTATAGTTTTCATAGAGGAGCATTGAGGACCTAATGCATATGCCACATTAGATACATAAACGAGAAAAGGAAGTACAACTACCTCAATCAAAATTTTTGTTCAATATTTACAGATGAAAATTAAGGAAAGGGACTTCTATTAGGTTAAAAGACTTAATAATTTCTTACATGTGAGTTTACAGAAGAAGAGGAGCTATTTCAGTTGTCTAAAGTAAAGACAAATAAGGCAATGGGACCTGATGAAATACAACTTAAGTTATTAAAAGAGCTTTGTGGTGTACTAGCAAAACCATTAATGGATTTAATTAACCAGACATTGTTAACGGGAGTAGTCCCAGAAAACTGAAAATTAATGAATACTGTACCAATTCACAAAAAAGGTAGTAGGGAGTAGTCGAGTAACTATAGGCCAGTCAGCCTTACTTCAGTAGTGGGGAAAGTAATGGAAACCATATTAAAGAATAAGATTGTTGAACATCTAAAATCACATGGATTTCAAGATCAGAGACAACATGGGTTTACTTCAGGGAGATCATGCCAAACTAATCTTACTGATTTTTTTGATTGGGTAACTAAAATTATGGATCAGGGTGGTGCAGTAGACATTGCTTACCTAGATTTCAGTAAGGTTTTTGACACTGTTGCACATAGAAGGCTTATCAATAAACTGCAATCTTTAAGTTTGGATTCCAATATTGTTGAATGGGTTAGGCAGTGACTGAGTGACAGGCAACAGAGGGTTGTAGTTAATGGAATATATTCGAAGCTTGGACTTGTCACCAGTGGGGTACCTCAGGGATCTGTACTTGGACCCATTCTCTTCAATATTTTTATTAGTGAAAAGGCAGAAGGTCTTGATGGTAAGGTATGTCTTTTTGCTAATGATACTAAGATATGTAACAGGGTTGATGTTCCAGGAAGGATAAGCCAAATGATTTAGATAAACAACTGACATGTAATGTGGATGAGTGCAAGATAATGCATATTGGGTGTAAAAACCCAATGGCAGAGTGAGACCACAGAGAGTGCTGTATTCACCAACTGACATTCACAGAATGAGACCACAGAGAGCGCTGTAGCGGAGCTGCAATATTAAATCCCAAGATCTCCGCTGGTACAGAAGGTAATCCAAAGTCAAGTGCCGAAAAGTATGGCAATATCCCAAATCCCCCAGTAACCGGACGAAACACAGTTCTGGGAGTCAACTGAGGTTTTTATTCACAGGTCACAGTATTTATGCAAGTCCCCATGCAAGGGATTCCCTACTGACATTGCAGGGGTTATACAGTAGGGGACTACATGGGGGACTTAGCAATCTGGATATTTCTCCCATCAGGCACTGCTGGACGAGAGGAATACTCCCACTGGAATATAACATTAAGTGGATTATCCCTCCGTGCAGCAGACCCGACATTTTACATTAAAATATATAACTTTGCCTTTATTCACGTTATTTAGACAAATGGACGTTCGGTAGATAGCTGGGGTCTGAGTGCACATTTTGTGAGAATACCGCTCAGATCCCAGCCTAAACAACCGAACACCGCACGAAATACACTTTAACATTATGTTCACCTAAAAGTACCGAACACCGATGGGGAAACCAGAATAGTGAAAGACCGGAGCTCCCGAACGGCCTGGAAGCCCAGCGGTGTTCGTGCCATTGAGCATCCGATTTCAGCTCCACGCGCTCGACAACCAAACACCGCTGGTGAAGATGGCCGACCGCCGCATGGTCGGTAGCCGAACGGCGGCCACCTAGGAAAGCCCTTAACTACCGATTGCAACAATGTTGCAATCGGTTAATGAGTGCCACATGACCCTCTGTGTGTGGGCTACTGGGTGGTAGCTCATTCGTTTCTCTGTTCATGAAATGAAACACATGAATGCTAGCGGCATGAAGTCACAGACAGAGACCACTGTATTCACCAACTACCTTTACAGAGTGAGGTCACAGAGAGCGCTGTATTCACCAACTGCCATTCACAGAGTGAGATCACAGAGACCGTTGTATTCCCCGATTGCCTTCACAGCAAGAGCTGTATTCACCAACTTCCATTCACAGAGTGAGGTCACAAAAAGCGCAGATTTTTGTTATTTGATATGGTCATCTTGGTCCTTTTCTTTGTTATCTTTGCCTTTTATGCACTTTTGCACTTTTTCATACGTACTCTTTCTTTAATGGTGGATAATTGTAGGAATCTTTTTGGACATTACTGTTTAATAAATTTTTGGGAGTGTAACATTATATGTCACACTCTGTGCTATATACCAACTCGGGATCTTAGAGACAAGAGCTAATAAATAGAACTAATTTGAATAATTATTTGTGGGTAATATTTTATTTTATCTTTTAAGATTACTGTTGTAAGTATAATTAATGTTGTGTATATATATGTTTTTTACACATCCTTTATGTTTGTGGATGTTTTCCGCTTTGTGAATGAGCGGTGGAACGCAAGGATGTGTATTCGGATCTGATCTGGAAGGGAGGCTTGAGCCGCACTTCCGGTTGCGTCATAAGGACGCACCCGGAAGTATTACGGATAGACGAACCCGGAAGTGAGTTGCTAATTGGAGGACAACTTCGGCGCGCCAAAACCGGACGGATTAAAAGCACATCATAGCCCTATGGACGGTCATGCCTGCATACAGAAGGACTCTCACCTTATGCCCCTGAGGAAGATCAAGGACGTTTGAACAAAACGCGTAGGGCTGTAATATAGTGTTTTAGAGTGTGTTTTATTGGTTTTTATTGTCTGCTGTGTTCATGTTCTGGTTCCATCGATCCTGTGATTGATCTTGTGATCCTAAGACTGGTTAATTTTACATGCCTGCTTGCCACTTCAATTCTGTAAGTGTGCCTTATAATTAAAGTGGTTATTTTATCAAGATACTCTGCACTATTATACTTTTTTGTTTCCTTCTATATATACCATGATGTCTCACCAATTTTGAGGTTTCCACCGTCTTTACGATATGCCTACAATCAATTTTGGTTTGTGAGTGTAAATAACTATTTGAATTTCCACTCCTTTTTTATTACAACAGTATTGCGCTATGTCTTCTTCTGTTATTATTGTATTGTAGATTATTTCCTTTTTCACACACTGCATTATATACACACACTGCATTCATTATATACACACACACTGCATTCATTATACACACACACTGCATTCATTATATACACACACGGCATTTATACAAACACACACTGCATTCATTATACACACACACTACACACAAACACACACTGCATTCATTATATACACACACACTACACAAACACACACACACACACACACACTGCATTCATTATATACACACACTGTAAATAAATATTCAATTAATGTAATTTTATTGGGATCTAATTTTATTTAGAAATTTACCAGTAGCTGCTGCATTTCCCACCCTAGGCATATACTCGAGTCAATAAGTTTTCCCAGCTTTTTGTGGTAAAATTAGGCTTGGCTTATATTCGGGTCGACTTATACTCCAGTATATACGGTAGGCTCATGCATTCTGCTTACTGTATTCAGTCCTCATTTGACCATATTAATTTTATCATGTACAATTAATTTAGTCACCCTGGATTTAGTCTGTTTTTCATATTTGCCGCTTCTTATTGTTGGCCCACATGGCCTTGGTTATACTGGTCAGCTTTAGGAAGATCAGCATTTGTTACTTATGTTCACCAGGCCTTTTCCAGCTTTAGTACCTATATGTATTCTGTATGCCTGCCCTTTGGGTATTCAGGCACTCATTGGATTAGTAAACATATGGCTGGGTGTTGCACCTGACTGTCTAAATTTATGTCAGGGCCTGTTCACGTGGTTAGCATTTATGGTACTGCTTGTTAATAATCCGTCTTATTTCACTGTCCATCACTACTTACATTGTTTTAAGCCATTTCTGCGCTCCACACAGGCTGTCAAGTGTATTTTAAATTGTTATCGCTCATAATTATGACTTTATTATGGTTATACGGCCACGTACACAGCCCTCATCTAAGTATGTAATTATTAAATTTCAAATAAAGATATGGCCCGAACAACACTTGGGTGTCACCGATAACATACTAAATTGCAACTAGTCTGCTCAAATATTTCACCATTCATTAAACCAAATTTAATTGTATCATTATGCACCTGTAACTTCTCATTAGGCCCTCAATTGGCCA